TCGCCTGATTGATCTTGTTATCCGCCTGCCCAACAAACGAGTTGAACAGATGATGTAACGCATATTCTCCCACCGTCTTCGAGTCCGAGTGATGCTTCGAGTGTGACCGGCTATGTGATCTCTCCCGTCGTGTCTTCCCTCCCGAGTTCATGCGTTTGTGGACCAAGTTCGCGGGATTGGCATCCATACTCTCAGTATCGTTGTCTTGTATGGTGCTTAACGTCGGAGGTAATCCATGGCCAGCGGCCATCGCGGATGGGGTGGAATACCCCGAATGAGAATCAAGGGGATCGAATTTCGCAGGTAGAGTGGCCTCGTCGAAAGCGCCGCGACCGAGAGACGCGATAAGTTCCGGACTGAGCGGACTGGTGGAGGCGGTTGAACCAGCCATGCTCGGGTTCCGCGAATGCTGCACGCCGTGTACAATCGAAGTCTGGCGGTGATGACCGTACGAGTTCGAAGGCCGTCGTTCTAATCCTTCATATCCTGTGGGCCGACCGGCCGAAACGTCGGGGCTCTTTGAACCGGAGATACCGCGCCGCGTGAGAGTAGGGGCAAGGGTGGAGGGGTCAGCAGCTCTTCCTCTGACGGCGGAGGACTCGCGACTGTGCATAGGAGTCGACTGGGTAGTCCTGGCTCGGCGATCCGCTGGTGAAGCTAAGTTGTGGTGTGGCGCGGATTTTAAGTCGTCAGGGATGAGGGGCGTTGTTTGCTGGCCGGGGCCAGCTTTGTGGGAAGCCACTGTTTTCAGCAATGTCAGACCGTTGGCTCCGAGACGCAGCGGGTGACTTACTGTGTATCAAAGAAACCTCATTGCTTCAGACCTGCAGGCAACCGGTGTATACTTTTCGAGTTGATGTTTTTATCGGGTGCACGGGTGCCCAGGTGCCTTGGAGTAGAAGGATATTATTAAGCCTCTATAACTTCACTTCCACACTTTTACTCTTTACTCTTTTGTTCTTTCATTTCTGATGTTTCGCAAGATCCTAGTCTTGTATTTTGTGCTCTAAAGCCTCGCAAGTCTATAGAAACATATGGTTGAAGCTCGGAGGGAATGCTCGCTTGTACATGTCAGAGTACGGAGTAAGGTTACCAACAGCGTCAGACGTACAGGAACAGGCAAAGATTTCACCTGGTCAGCTATGTTTCGGATGCCGAGCTGGGTCTAAGACTTGTCTTTTGAAACAGATCTGGCGATGCCTCTCTCCCCACACGGAGATCCCGTGGAGGCATACCGTAGAGCATCTGTCCATACTCTGTACGAAACCGGGTGTCTGGTCTATAAGCTTTATGTGCTTGGTGAAAAGTAACTTCTACAGTATACTCCGTATCAGCTAAAATGACTATCTAAATTGAAATACAGACTCTTAGGTCTCTACGGTTTAGCGTCGTTCTGATACGAGGCTCAAACTTGGACCGTTTGTTCCAGGTCCCCTGAGTTTTCAAGCCTCAAATTATATCCACTGAGGGGTCAAGGGCGAGCAACTCCTTGATACAGTGTGTGTCTTCAGACATAGAGTTACCGTTGGAAAGCCTATAGTGCACGAATATGACTGCAACCTCGGGACTATGTGGGGGTTGACATAACTGGTCATACCTAGCACCACCTAGTAGCACAGTCGACATCGAAGAATCAGTGGCAAATAGATATCATAAATTCATAGCAAGACAGAGAGAGATCCAAGTCACACATGGTTGAAGCCATTTGACATAAGTTATCAGTTAACGTTCAACTCCAAGGATATCTTCACATGGGAATCCTGATTCCGCCGCAGCCGAGCTCAAAGAGGAAACTCGCCACGGGTCTGGGGATACCTTCACAACCAACGAACGGAATGCATTCCGCGGGGTTGAGAGGTACGAAGGCCGGCAAACTCGGGGGTGTGGGGAGTGCGGCGAAGAAGATAGAAACTTGCAATCTCCCGAATAGCCTTGCCGCGCAACCCCAATAGTACCCGCTCTCCGCCTTCACGTAAGGCAAAACTATACAGAACACTGGTAGTCAACAAGTGGTCGCTGATGAGAGGCTGGATGTTATAAAGGCTGATTTCCCGATTGATTTCCCCGGGATTGCCCACATTAGAAATTATATATACGGGGATGTTGTGACTTTTACTATTCCCTGCCCATTTCCCTATCTCTGTACTTTACACGCCAAACATCCCTCCACAGTCAGCGGTGAGTGGCAGATCCACACGGAGCCAGGACATTCCGACCTGCAGATCAGACCACCGTTACTTCTCTCTTCCTCTTCCTCTTCCTCTTGAGGTTTACCTAGGGGTCTTTTTGGTGGGCTTAGAACTACTTTTTGTATTTGGTTTTTGCCCGCTTTGTCTTGGAACACAGTCCAACCCTCCCGGAAAACATCCTTCTCCCCCGTTCCAATGGCGCAACTGGACACACTCGACCTGGTGGTTCTGGTCGCTCTCTTGGTGGGTAGCGTTGCCTACTTCACCAAGGGGAGTTACTGGGCCATTCCCAAGGACCCTTATGCCTCTTCAGGCGCCGCCCAGAATGGTGCCGCCAAGAGCGGCAAAACTCGCGACATCGTGGAGAAGATGGAGGAGACAAACAAGAACTGTGTGATTTTCTATGGCTCCCAGACCGGTACCGCGGAGGATTATGCGTCGCGTCTGGCTAAGGAAGGCTCTCAGCGCTTCGGCCTGAAGACCATGGTGGCTGATATTGAGGATTATGACTATGAGAACCTCGACAAGTTCCCCGAGGACAAGGTCGCATTCTTTGTGCTGGCCACCTATGGTGAGGGTGAACCCACTGACAACGCCGTGGAATTCTACCAGTTCTTCACCGGTGAGGACGTCGCCTTTGAGAGCGGTGCCACCGGCGACGATCAACCCCTCTCCTCCATGAAGTACGTCGCATTCGGTCTCGGTAACAACACTTATGAACACTACAACGCCATGGTCCGTCAAGTCGATTCCGCCTTGACCAAGCTTGGTGCGCAGCGCATTGGTGACGCTGGTGAGGGTGATGACGGTGCCGGTACGATGGAGGAGGACTTCCTCGCCTGGAAGGAGCCCATGTGGGCTGCTCTGTCCGACGCCATGGGTCTCCAGGAACGCGAATCTGTCTACGAAGCGGTATTTTCTGTGAGCGAGGAAGACGAGAGGTCCCCCGAGGACGAGACTGTCTACCTCGGTGAGCCAACTGCTGCCCACCGTGAGGGACGCGCCAAGGGTCCCTTCTCTGCCCACAACCCGTATATTGCCCCGATCGTCGAATCCAAGGAACTCTTCACTGTCAAGGACCGTAACTGTCTGCACATGGAAATCAACATTGCCGGTAGCAACCTCAGCTACCAGACCGGTGACCACATCGCTGTCTGGCCTACCAACGCTGGTGCCGAGGTCGATCGTTTCCTCCAGGTCTTTGGTATTGAGGACAAGCGTCACTCGGTCATCAGTATCAAGGGCATTGATGTCACTGCCAAGGTTCCTATCCCGACTCCTACTACCTACGATGCCGCCGTCCGCTACTACATGGAAGTCTGTGCCCCCGTCTCTCGTCAGTTTGTCTCGTCCCTGGCTGCCTTCGCCCCAGATGAGGCGAGCAAGGCCGAGCTCGTCCGCCTCGGTAATGACAAGGATTACTTCCACGAGAAGATCGCCGACAAGTGCTTCAACATTGCTCAGGCCCTCCAGAGCATCACTTCGCAGCCGTTTACTGCCGTTCCTTTCTCGCTGCTCATCGAAGGTCTCAATAAGCTTCAGCCCCGCTACTACTCTATCTCCTCCTCGTCTCTGGTTCACAAGGACAAGATCAGCATTACCGCTGTTGTCGAGTCCGTTCGTCTGCCCGGTGCTTCGCACCTGGTCAAGGGTGTCACCACCAACTACCTCCTGGCCTTGAAGCAGAAGCAGAATGGCGACCCCTCTCCCGATCCTCATGGCCTGACTTACTCGATCACCGGTCCCCGCAACAAGTACGATGGTATCCATGTGCCTGTCCACATCCGCCACTCCAACTTCAAGCTCCCCTCTGACCCCTCCAAGCCCATCATCATGGTTGGCCCTGGTACTGGTGTTGCGCCTTTCCGTGGATTCATTCAGGAACGTGCTGCTCTCGCCGCCAAGGGTGAGAAGGTTGGAACGACACTTTTGTTCTTTGGATGCCGTAAGAGCGACGAGGACTTCATCTACAAAGATGAGTTCAAGGTATGCACTTTCTATTCTGGTTTTGATCACTTCAACGTACGCTAACTCAATTGATTCAGACATACCAAGATCAGATGGGTGATTCCCTGAAGATTATCACCGCCTTCTCCCGTGAGGGAGCCCAGAAGGTTTATGTCCAGCACCGACTGAAGGAGAATGCCCAGCTGGTCAGCGACCTGCTGAAGCAAAAGGCCAACTTCTACATCTGTGGTGATGCCGCCAACATGGCGCGCGAGGTCAACTTGGCTCTTGGCCACATCATCGCTGAGCAGCGTGGCCTTCCCGCCGAGAAGGGCGAGGAAATGGTCAAGCACATGCGCAGCAGTGGTAGCTACCAGGAGGATGTCTGGTCATGATTGATGAATGTTTCTTTCTCTACGCACTAGATCTGAGCATATATATCCATGTTCTGTTGGACATTCTTTGCGATTCATGTATGCCTACCATTTTTCTCATTGTCCTGTTTATGGCCCAGAGGCTCCTGATGGAGTAACACGGCGGGTGATAACTTTAGACTTGTCATTTAAAACAAATTTAATCTTTTTTTTTGCGAATCAACAGTTGTACATTAATTGCACTTACATGTACAGAGTAGCTCGGGACTGTTCTGCAGTTTCCGGTAGTAGCGGACTTAACGTCATTGGGGAACTTCCACCTCACCCCACACCGACTCAATCCCTTCCTCGCCGAACCCGAGAACTTTTTGAGATGTCCACCTAGGACAAACACAAACAAAACCCAAACCCAGTCCTCCCATTCCATACTCAGGCGTGCAAAGCTCAAGCCTACCCAGCTCGGAGCTGTCCCATCCGCAGCTGACCCAAAATGGCCTACGTTGTGCCCATCCACCGGGCAAGCAGCATCCGGCACGCAGTAAAGCTCAACTTCTTCAACGCAGAAGAAGAATGCCTAGTCGCAGCGTGAGTTCGAGTCTCTTGTTCCCGGGAAACCCGCGCTGTCCATCCCAAAGCGAAAACAGCGGACAGTCAACGCTTCAATATGACATGACGGTATCCACAAGATCTCTAAGTTAACCATCCTACACCACATAGCAAATCCAACCGTCTCGAATTCTACACCCTCACACCCGATGGCCTCGTTCTTACTGCGACGCGCGCGCTCTACGCGAAGGTCACGATGCTTGCCCGCTTGCCCGCGCCTTCACATTCACCCACCGATCACCTCTTCGTCGGAACAGACCAGTTCAATTACTTTACGGTAACGTGGGACGATACAACGAATGAGATTAAGACAGCCCGCAGCTATGTGGATATTGCAGAGCCCGCATCCCGCGAATCGCAATGCGCGGCGCGGTGTCTGGTCGACCCCACGTGCCGGTTTATGACGCTAGAAGTGTACGAGGGTGTTGTTGTCGTCGTGCCAATTGTGCAGCCGACGAAGAAGAGGGGTCGGGTATCGACGGCGGCGTCGATGCCTGATGTGCCGCAAGTCGGAGAGCTAGATAAGCCGACAACATCACGCATTGACGAGCTATTCGTTCGGTCTTCTGCGTTCTTGCATTCGGAGTCGAATCCGTGGCTTGCACTGCTGTATGAGGATAATCAGCAAAAGGTCCGGTTGCGGATTCGCGAGCTGGATTTCACGCCTGGGACTTCGGGGACTTCGGCTGACGCTACGTTCAAGGAGGTGCAGGAGAAGAAGCTTGAGGGGGGTGTCTTTGGGCAAGAGCTTGATCTCGGGTCATCGCATTTGATTCCTATTCCTGCTCCGCTCGGTGGGTTGATCGTTCTTGGGGAAACATCGATCAAGTATATCGATGACAATGCGAACGATGTGATCACAAAGAATCTGGATGAGGCGACTGTTTTCGTTGCTTGGGAGAAGGTTGATAGCCAGCGGTGGCTGTTGGCTGATGACTATGGGAAGTTGTTCTTCTTGACCTTTGTGCTGAATACCCGTGGTGAGATTGACGACTGGAAGCTTGAGTATCTTGGGAATACGGCCCGTGCTGCGGTGCTAGTATATCTCGGTGGAGGAATGTTGTTTGTTGGGTCACACCAGGGTGATTCGCAGGTTATCCGGCTCAGTGATAAGTCATTCGAAATCATTCAGACTTTGTCTAACATTGCTCCCATTCTGGACTTTACCATTATGGACCTTGGAGCCCGGTCGAACGAGGGCCAAACTCATGAGTTCTCGTCTGGTCAGGCTCGGATTGTCACTGGCTCTGGTGCTTTCGATGATGGCTCCTTGCGGAGTGTTCGCAGTGGTGTTGGGATGGAAGAGCTGGGTGTGTTAGGCGAAATGGATCATATCACGGATCTTTGGGGTCTACAGACTCGGAGTTCTGGTAACTTCCTAGACACGCTGATTGTCACCTTTGTGGATGAGACGCGGGTCTTCCAGTTCAGCCCCGATGGTGAAGTCGAAGAACTGGATAGTTTCTTGGGACTGGCTCTCACGGAAAGCACTCTTCTTGTCGCCAAGTTGCCCGGCGGCCGAATTCTGCAGGTTACAGAACAACGAGCCCTAGTAGCTGACATCGAAAGCGGAATGGTGACATTCGAATGGGCTCCCGAGAAGCAGAAGTTGATCACTGCTGCATCTGCCAACAATGATCATATGGTTCTTGCTATCAGTGGCCAAGTCGTGGCATCATTCGATATCAGAGACAACGTCCAACTCATCAGACAGAATGATCTCGGCGCTGATCAGCAGATTTCTGGTCTGACTGTTCCATCATCACCAACGGGGGTCTTTATTGCAGGATTCCCTCAATCAGCCAAGGTGTCAGTCATGTCAGTCAAGGACTTTGCTGTCCTCCAGACAAAATCACTGGGTCCTACCGGAGAGAGTTTCCCTCGATCAGTTCTCGTGGCCAATGTCCTAGCGAATAGTCCTCCTACGCTATTCATCTCAATGGCAGATGGCTGTGTCATCACATTCTCATTGAATCCCGATGACTACTCGTTGACAGGCATGACAAAGCTTGTCCTTGGATCCGAGCAGCCGATCTTCAAGCAGCTTCCCAAGGGCAACGGTCTTTACAATGTGTTTGCTACATGCGAGAACCCTAGTCTGATTTATGGCTCTGAGGGCCGAATCATCTACTCTGCTGTGAATTCAGAAGGAGCGTCACGTGTCTGCCATCTCAACGCAGAAGCATACCCCGAAGCCATCGCAGTGGCAACAGAAAAGGAATTGAAGATTGCCCTAGTGGACAGAGAGCGAACAACCCAGATCCAAACATTACCAATTGGATCTACTGTCCGCCGGGTGGCATACTCCCCATCCGAGAAGGCATTCGGAATCGGCACGATTGATCGCAAGCTCGAAGGCGGAGACGAGGTTGTCGGCAGTCACTTTGTCCTCGCGGATGAAATTATGTTCCGGCGTCTTGACGCATTGGAATTGGACCCAGAGGAGCTGGTGGAAAGTGTCATCCGGGCTCAATTCGCCACTGGCAAAGATGAGAATGGTCGAGACGCTTTCAAGGACCGGTTCATTGTGGGTACGGCGTATGCAGACGAGTCAAAAGAGGGATCCATCCGCGGACGGATTCTTGTTTTGGAGGTTGATCATGGCCGTAAGCTCAGCAAGGTGGCTGAGCTGCATGTTAAGGGTGCTTGTCGGGCTCTTACTATGATGGGTGATCTTATCGTCGCGGCTCTCGTCAAGACTGTAAGCATTGCGTCTGGTCTCATATCCAACTATATACTGACAATATTCAGGTCGTCGTCTATAAGATCACTAGCAATCACTCGGGACCAATGAAACTGGAAAAGCTGGTAGCCTACCGAACATCAACCGCACCCGTGGACGTCAATGTCGTTGACGATATCGTTGCCGTATCCGATCTCATGAAGAGTGTATGTCTTGTCAAATTCACTCCGGGCAAAGACGGTAAACCAGACACTCTCGTCGAAGTCGGCCGTCATTACCAGACCGTTTGGAGCACGGCGGTTGCCTGTGTAGACAAAGACACATTCCTCCAGAGTGACGCGGAGGGTAACCTCATCGTCCTATCACGGAACCTGAACGGCGTCACTGCCCAGGATAAACAGCGACTGATGCCAACGAGTGAGATTGCGCTGGGTGAGATGGTTAATCGGATTCGGCCGGTAAATATCCCAAATCTTGCCAGTACGACGGTGGTCCCACGGGCGTTTTTGGCCACGGTATGTTTCCCTGCTCCGAGGATTAATGTTATGTACTAATTTACCTATAGGTCGAGGGATCCATCTACCTCTTCGCTGTGATTAACCCTGAACATCAAGACTTCCTCATGACCCTGCAAACGGTGGTCGCTGCCAAGGTCGACTCACTAGGCGATCTTCCTTTTGACAAGTTCCGTGGATTCCGCACAATGGTGCGCTCATCGGATGCGCCATACCGCTTTGTGGATGGTGAACTTATTGAGCTATTCCTGAGCTGCTCGCCAAGCATGCAGGAGGAGATTGTCGATGAGGTGGGCTCTATGAGTGTGGACGAAGTCAAGGAGATTATTGAGGCTCTGAGGAGACTTCACTAGTTCCTTGTGCTTCTTTGTTAGGTATCTATGTGATATGTTACGATTATTCATGACTATGGAGAATACGCGGCAATTTTTGTTGTTTAGAGGACTTGGGCAAACCTCTGGTTGGGTTTATGATACATCTTCAAATACAAATAACTCAGACCTATGGCTTGCGAATAGATATTAGTCTCAGTATAACATTCGGAATCTTGATGTAGCCAAAGGCACATGTAGTGCTATTATATTGTTTAACAATTACAATACAAGAATAAACCCAGTCACCATGCAAATGCACACAAGCCACCCAAAAGAGCATCCAAAGCTCTTGGCAAATGTCGAGGTCAAGACAAAGCTCAAGCATCCTTCTTCACACCCTCGTCATCACTCCAATCCAACAACTCCATAATCTGATCCCGACTCAAATCCTCAGCCCGCTGATCCTTCCGCACATTCTTGATATAGTTCTTCTGCCTCCGCCGGGCCATCTTATTCCACTCAGATCCAACCCCACTAGCATGAGGCAACATATCCTCCTCATCCTCAAGCTCAACCTCATCATCAGACCCCTCAATCTCACCCAGAACCCGTCCCTTCCCATCAGCCGCAGCAGCAGCAGCCCAAGAAGAGCCCGACCCGGCAACCGTAGACGAACCCTTACCGCCGCGCAACGAATTCGCCGATACCTTCGCCGTCCCGAATGCAGCGCGCTCCTTTTCCTTCTTCTCCTTCTCCAATCGGCGGTCTCGGTCATGCAGCCATTTAAAGCCCTTTTCTATGTAAGGACGCACCAGGATGTAGAAGATCACGCTGCCGATTACTTTTGTCCAGCGCTTGCCGCTCATTTCCGCGATTGATTTGTAGCCATTTGTACAGAAGCGGGTTATGACTAGCTCGAAGAAGCTGTATAGTTGGGCGAAGAAGTCATTGGCGGCTTCGACGGCCTTTTCGCTCAGGTCTGGGGTTTGAGTTGGGTCGGCCATTTTGGGTGTTTGGTCTTTTTCTTTTTTTGAGGGTGTGGTTGTTTGGGTTTGAGTTGAGGTAGGAGGGAGGGTGCGCAACGGCCTTGCCCGCCTTGAGTTTGTAGAATAGGAGGGAATTGAGAATGCAACAATATCTTATCCCCTGAGTGAGAAAGGAAGAAGAGAACAGAGTAGAGAAAGGAGAATTGCTCTTCGATTCTCTAAAATTCCGCGGTTCCCGCAACGAGAATGGCCTGTTTGGGCTTAGCGCTCTGTGCCGGATTAGCCGTTGTTCCGCTATACGCGTCGGCCAATCAGCGCTGGTTGGTTTGGTACGCGACTTCTACGACTATCAACACCATGGAGCAGAATGAAGAAGCTGGTCTGGAGGAGGTAAGTGTTAGCTAGGTGTGATGGCTATGAGTTGCTAATTTCTGATAATAGCGCCTGAAATCCGCGTTGTGGTTGTCTATTGGCAAGATCGTCGATGAGGAGACTATCAAGCTGGGCGTTAATGCGACGCCGCAGTTTATCGGTGCTTTGACGGAGATGGTGTGGGCTCAAATTGGTATGTTTAGTCTGGTTTACTTTAGACATGTCCTTGTTTGAGACTGATTCCTTGCAGAGACTGTCAGCCAGGATCTCGAGTCCTTTGCGAAGTGCGTTACAACATAAGTTGGCTCTGATGTGGAACCTGACATCTCATCCTTTCTTCAAAAAGATCAATTTTCAAGCGAACAATATACTGACTTGTTAATAGACACGCTGGCCGCTCCACTGTCAACGTATCAGACGTGATGCTCCTCGCTCGCCGAAACGAGGGATTGGACTCGATCCTTCGTGCCTTTGTTGAGCAACAGCGTGAAGAAGCCGCTGAATAGATCGTTGGGAGCCGGTGTATCTGATCAATACCACGATCTATTCTTGCAATGGCGTGTGTTGCTGATTGGCGGGACCTATACCACGGGCTTCGTTTTTTTGAAATGACATATGATGACCTATCCCATTTCTCGCTTAACTACCATTCTGCCGCAAATGTGAGTCTGCCCCGAGTAACCGTAGACGAAATCGTCCAGTATTGTTCGGTCTAGACCTAACGTTTCCACCAGTACCTTATCTTTGCATATTGCAACAGTGGCGGCCACTTCAGGCCGCAGGGCTTGATCTACAAAGACAAAGACGCTGCCTCTCGCAAGACAAGAAAATATCCTGTCCTGTCCGATTTCAAATTCTTTTCTATGTGTTGGATTCACCATAACCATTCCCACGAAGCCACACTCTTCTAAGCCATTCGCTTAGACTCTTTGGCACTATCTCGGACACACAAACCGTGCCGGCATTTGCATTGTTGTGTTGCATCACTACGCGTACCCTAATACCATCTGAGGGAAGTTGAAGCATGCCCTTTTGCCTTCCCAGTCCATATCGTAACAAACTCGTCATACCACGTACGACAATGAAAGGAGACCACAATACAATCCCAATATTGAAAATCATCACTATATATCTCCATTTACCGTAAATTAGAGCTATCTAAAGGCCCTGAGCTACCTGCCGCCTTGTACATTGCATATTACCAATTTGCCACCCTAACCCCTAACCCCAGCCACCTACTTCTACAGTTATACATATACAGGCTACAACCAAAGTCAATCGTGGCACGGGGGCTGGAGTTGCAGCTCCAGCTGCATTGCCAATGTACCCGGACGATCACAGTATGCCGTACTGGGACGCTTCTGCCTAGGCCAAGGCGCAGCAATATGTGGGCCCACAGTGGAAGAGATGTGGATTTGGCCGCGGAGGTTAAGTGGATGCGGACGTCATTTCTGTCAACAGCGTGGAGGATTTTTTTTTTTCTTTCGCATGCTCCTACTATAACTGCTGTACCATGCAAGGGGCCTCGGGAAGGTAATTGTGTGCATGCATATGTTATTGGGAAGGTGGGCAGAGGCTGGGCTGGGATGATGCCGGGCTGGCGTATTAGAATTTAAATATTGTGCCAGTACAGTATGTAGGGAAAGTCTGTAGGTATATGTGTCCTGTATGCAAGTTATAGTAAACTTAGCTCAGGTTAAGAAGAGGCTGGTGGATATATTGTGTAGGGATCATGCCTTGCATGTGCCAGCACTAGTTTCCGGCTATTAAACCTTTTCTAACTTTATTTCAGCCATCACCTCGCATATCTCGTATAAGTTGGGAGGTATAAGAAATACAGTGCAGAGTTACAGTGTAGGCAACAATAAAGTGTGGCTGGGACTAACCTTTCACAGCCTTTCACATGCGTCGAATCAGAGAGCCTGAAAACTCAGGTTAACAAGGCGAGGGATCCACTCGAATCTGTGGGACTGACATCATGTGGGGCAGACTAGCCACTTTTGGTGTGGCGCAGACCGTCTCCGGCCACTCAGTTGGAGCTTCGACCAGGATCGACTCGACGCCATCCACTGATCTTCGTCAATTGCGTCGACTCAGGGTCTTCCCTCTTTATAACCCGCCCGAATCCTGTTGCCTTCATTTTCTGTCATATATTCTCCTCCCACCCCGGACATCGTGTGTTCACATACCCATATAAACAAAACACATATCAACAAAATGGGAATCGGTGGGGTCATCCTCCGGTTCTTCAATCTGGGCCTGCGCGTCCTCCAGTTCCTCGATGCTGCCGTCATCCTCGGCATCTTCTCATACTACCTGGCCGTCCAAGCCCAGCATGGCCAGCACATTGCAACATGGTTGAAGGCCGTGGAAGGCTTAGCAGGTGCAGCAACCGCCTACGGCCTCCTGGGCATCGTCTTCGTCTGTTGCCTGGGCGGTGTGGCATTCTTCGCCTTCCTAGGCGTGGTCCTGGACGTGTGCTTCACGGGCGCGATGATCGCCATCGCCATCCTCACCCGCAAGGGTGTCAACAAGTGTACCGGCACAGTCGATACACCCCTGGGCACAGGCGATGCCAACGCCGAGACAGCGTCCAAGTCGCTGACGTTTGGTATGGCCTGCAAGCTGGAGAAGGTTGTGTTCGCAGTTGCGATCATCGGAATGTGAGTTGACCCAAAAATTAACCTAACCCCATATTCCGTGCAGATCCACTAACATGTCTCAGTTTCCTCTTCTTGATCTCCATCTTGTTCCAGATCCTCCTGGCCCGCCACCACAAGCGTGAGAAGCGTTTCGGTCCTTCGCCTAACAACGGCTACACCTACGGTAGTCGTAAGAGTTTCTGGCGCCGCAACAAGAACAGCCCGGAGGCTGTTGGTGGCGCTGATACTCTTCCCGGCCACCCGACCCCCGCCGACGTCGAGTTGGGTGCTGAGCCGGCCAAGAATGAAAAATCTTGGTTCGGTGGCTCGTTCGGTCGTAACAAAAACACCGCTACCACTCCCGCCCAGAATGGTAATGGCTATGGCTACGGCAACTCAGCCTACACGGGTAACATCTAGAGTTGCCGTATAGCTTGCCGGTGTGGTTTGTTGAGGGAGAGATGGTTAGAGAGTCTGACGCTCACGTCACTCTACCTATACTCTGAATATCTTTTTGTATTAGAGTTGAGTTAGACTGGGTGGACCAGTCGATGATTTACATGACCCTTTGTGTTGATTTGGCCGAGATACCACTATTTTGTTTGTTAAATTGGACCGTGTACAATATGATGGAGGATATCTGGCGGCATATTTGGGTCTTTCGGGACTGGCTGGACGTCACTTCGATAATAATAATGAATCTCTTTACTATTTACTCCACTTACGTAGGTTTCTAGTACGCTGTATTACAACATGGCGACTACAACATGGCGACAGGGTCTCCGCCACCACCTGATTGACTAACCATTTCCTTGGTTGCAACTTTTGTGATGGCGAAGTCTAAGTAAATGTTAGTGGCTTGGACTATACTGTTTGCTTCCCAATCCGACTAAAGTGTACACCATCTCTGTTTTAGTCAGGAACAATTCTATGCTAAGGGTGTGGCATATATACCAAATAATGTCTGGCAACTCTTGCTTTTCCTCTTGCTTTTGCCTTTCCGTTTTAGTGCTCACTCCTTGCCGCTTTTTGTTCACTGAGAATTACATAAGCACCCTGACCTGCTAACATAACTTACTCCTCTTCTCTTCGTCCTTGAATTTTCCCTCAGACCTTGGATTCCGGGGCCTCCTCTTGACAATAGGAACGGAAGCAATAATATCTTAATGTTATTAGTGGAAAAGGTCAAGGAGAGAGAGCGACTCGATACGCGAGCTAATGCTCACTTCTAGAATTGGGTCACGTGACCCGTAGCCTCGACATCCCAACCAGATATCGACTTGAATAATTGATCAAATTGAGCGAAATTGGTGTGGCCCTGGGGTCTGACCCCATTCGGGACTCAACACCGACAGAGGTTACATCGCATAAGGTGTGGCTGGGGTAACTGGTTACATTTTTCGTATTTACTTCTTAGTCTACTTGGCACACAGTAATACGAGCGATAGTTCATAACCACTCCGCGGGGCTTTCTACTACTTGATATTTCATTGGGTAGAACTTCTTCGATACTTCGTGTCAGACATCTAGGGAGCAAACAAGGCGTCGGCTTGTGGCATCTGCAAATACATAAAGCTGTGACTTGACACGGCTCGACTCATTTCTCAACAAACTCTCATCTTTCACAATCACAATAACTTGAAATCCAATTTCACCATGAAGCTTCTTATTATCACCACCGTTCTGGCCTCTCTTCTTACCTCTACAAATGCCACAGTTGTCAAGGCATACAAAGGCTCCTCTTGCAATGGGGAATATGTGGGCTCGGTGAGCGCCTGTGGAAGCACGGGGCTGTCACAGAACTACAAGGTCTTAAGCCTCAAACTCGACTTCCAAAAAGCAACAGCCTCTTTCTACAAGGAAAAACCCGATAGGTACGGAAACTGCGTGGGCGTCCATATCTCCAGAAACACGGATCAGTGTGTGACACTTCCTGTGGGCTGGGATCGATTTAACTGTGTGAAAATCCATGGCGGCACTTGCTGAATATTGGGGCTTGCTTGCTCTGGAGTTGGTGGAGGAAATATCGTCTATGGTCAAAAATTTTACTCATTTCCCTCTTTGCTGTTCATGGCTAGTCCTCAGATGGAGGATTCTGGGAACTGGATCAATCAATGTATGGTAGTTCAGGGATGAGGCATATCGAGACCTTATTTACTGGCTGCTTTTGACCCTGGAATCCAATCTCGCCGGATGGTTCGTTATCATATATATCTCAATCAAAGTATTTTACCAATGATCGGATTACTGTGTAAACAAAGAAATTAGAATACCAAGACGAAGTGGAGGGAATCGCAAAATGAACTTTGTATTTGTTCACAGTCTATGTCTAGTAAGTAAATAGTAGCTTTATTTACTGTGTCAAGTTCAATGTAAAGATCAAACAAGCTCACAACTCCAAGAGAAGTGAAAAAAAAGTGTACACGCCTGGGATTAATCACATTCCCAGCCAAATATTCATAGACCATCATTCATGGAGAATGTCACTCCTCCTGCTTCCAAACCGACTTACGAAAAAAGGGTAAAAGAAAAACGGGGACTCCAATGCCATTATTCAACGCCATATCTCACGGCCCTCGTTCCCTTTTATTAACATTCTCCATATCCGAGAGCACAAATCGGTTAAACTCTTCCCGGCGATCGAGGTATAAATAATGACTGGTTGGCTTATTAACGACAACTTCGGTCCTGTGTGGGGTGGGATTGGCGCCTTCCCAGGAGTCGGATCGACCCGACCAACCAGCCAGAACACCTAGATCAAGCGCAGCACGGGGTACAGAGGCGCTCGAAATCAGTTTTGCCTTTTTATTCTTTCCCAACCTTCTGTTGGTACTCTGACGACGCTGCGACAACAGTGTGTACCACAATGCGGCATGCCGACCTATCTAACCTAAGTAAACATACTGTATTGTGATAGCTACCGTAGAGCGAAACATAATGTCATCAGTGGCATGTTTTGGAAATACGATAGCTACCATAATACAGTCATTCTACGGTAGTCCGACCATTTTATAACCCCCCTAAATCCTACATGGATACCAAGGAAACATTATGAGATCCAAGGGTTTCAATTCTCTCTTCGATTCTCGCTTGACAAGGCTCAAGCGGGCGGGGCCTTCTCACAGGGCACCAAGGGAAGTAAGCGAGCAAATGGTTATGGTCTGATGGGCTATGAACCGGCGTATGGAAGCACCGATCCACTCTATGACTGCAACCCATCCGTCGTGTCAGAAGGGTTCACGCGGTCCAAGAAGGGTCCTATCATGCCAGGAGAAACGGGTATCAGTATGAGTCCCTTCGTATGTCCGTCGGGCTGGAGCACACTCGCAAGGAAAATTATATCCTCGTCCAGCACACTGGCCGAGTGTTGCCCCCCGTGAGCATATATCCATACGTCCGAAATTGATTAAAATTGCCCAGTTAACCCTGTTTTAACGCAGCTCATTTTCTTTAGTCTCCGGAAACTGTGTAGTGGGTGTCTCCGCCGGCCAAACTCTCACGTATGCTTCTCCGACATCAGGCTCGAACTTCGGCACCTTTACGAACACGTTGACTGGCAGCTCGACAGTCGGTGCGATTGCTATCACAGGATGGAATGTCAACTATGTTCGGAGTGTGGCGCCTTCAACTTCCATGAACAATAATATGTCCAACGCCACAGGCACGTCTTCAATCGGGGATTCTCCTGGGTCTACGCTTTCTACCAATCGATGTCGGGTAGAACAGTTCTTGGGTGCCCAAGATAGCGTTGGGCAAGGATTCCCTTGAATTCGACTCTCAACACAGCAGAGACGGAAGCGAACATCTAACTCTTGGCCTTAGGCCGCATATACTATCACCGTGACTCGTGGTTGGGCGTTACATTTCGATGTTGTCTGATCGTTGTCAGAAGATGTATATATTCTTTTACAGGCCTGTTGAAAATTAGAAACACTTTATCGCACTTGAAGACTATAGCTTCCAAAAGAAGAAAAAAAAAAAAAATTACAAAGCAACTCATACGAGAGACGCTACTCAAATCCGAACATTCGAACTCCAATTTTAGCCATCCAACGAAATTGGGGTTTCCAGGGTCCGGCCCCAACTACCGGAGCCAAGAGCTGTCAGCCTCAACGCAATGGGTGTTGTAGAGCCATAGTCGTCATTGGTGAGCTATGAACAATCTGGGGCCAAAGGTGGTGCCAGATGATCAAAATGGTATTTTGGAGGAGCCGAGCGACGAGGGCCCTGCGTCTTGTTATAGCGGGGTTTCATGCGGCTGGACGAAACATAGCCTCACTAGTGTCCATCCCCACGTTACAAAGGAATGGGAGTGAAATTATTATTATATCACGATACAGTACAGTAAAGCACCGGGTCCTCCACGGCTTTGATTCTTCCAGCTCATCGGCGATTTGTGCAGTCCAAATAGGAAGGCATCGATAAATTACGCAGAAACGGGTCTATGAGGTTAGAATCCCACCAAACCTGATGGTGTCATGTTCAAGTCAGGTTTTAGTTTTCTGATCTTTAACCCATTCGCGTCCCATCTTCGTTTGCAATTTCCACCTGTTTGGGGGACTTAATATATAGAATAATCCCAGTATGTATCATTCGGGCTCAATCGTCCATAGTTTGGCGTAACTGCACGCATTGCCTCAAACAATCTAGTCTCGTTATTTCTTATACGTAAGGATTGTGAGGTGCATTGATAAAAGGGCTAATTGAATCGCCAGCCAACTGTCAACCGTGAATCACAAGATCAGTTGATACGTTTTTGCGGCTCAAGGCTAAAGAAAAGCACATTAGTGGAAAGGCGTTGGTGGCCTAACCCCGCAAATATTGATCATAAGGCCCATTTGATCGACGGATCCAAGTGGCTCAGGTATCTCAAATCTTTCGGTCAAACCATTTGGCTCTAGGGGAGAGCCGAGAACTTTTGTGCCCGGTTAGGCTCTTCATTTTGGTTAGACCCTAAGAAGGTGCGGAGAAGGAGAAGGGAGAAAAGCTTTCACTATCCAGGTCGTGAATACACGAGGTTTCTTCCATCGCTGGCCAAGCCTGAGACAAGCTTTGCGGCTGTGTCGATCGGGGTCAGTGCGCTACTTTCTATTTTGGAAAACGGTTAGTCCCTTAACAGCCTCAACCCGCGGCTCCCTTCATTGCTTGAGCCTACGTTAAGAATATTTTTAACTCTGAGGCAATTGTGGACAGGCTCACTCTGTCCGTCGATCGCAAGACTGCCTTGCTCGCAGTATGTATCTGGTTTAGATACGTCTCATTCATACAGTAAAGTATTTTCAAATGTGAAATTGATTCCGATGCTACAGCTTTGCATTATGTCAAAGAAGCCTCATATCACAGCACCACGACAAAAGCCACACTTTTAGTTGCTACAACCAATATATAGAGATAACAGTTGAGGCGGCTGAGTTCATTTGTAAATAACTAAAGGATGCAGTATAGAAAGGAAGGTGATACGCAGAGTCCGCATGGGTTGATAATGTCACGTCTGACCTTGCTGACAACAGAAACTACTCTAGGGTCCCGGTGGCCAATTTCTGATCTAGTAAGCAACAAGCCATTTAGATATAGATCGTTCAGATCTTATGGGGGTAGGCAGCCGGCTAAGGTACACTTGAGGCCGGGGCAGCAACGTCGTTCTGCCGTTTTATCACAGGCTTTCCATTGTTCGAGACATGCCTGTTATTGTTATGTTTTGTCAATGCAAGGAACAATAGGCTATATAGTGAAAAACCTACTCTTTTCTCCAGGCCGCCACTGCCCTTCTTTGGCTCGCAGGTACCCCCAGCACAGTAATAATTAGGGCAACAAGGAGCATAGTGTGGCTCCCCACAAGAGTCAGGCCATTGACTGCATCCCTATGTTGTTTCAACGGTGTAAGCAGGCCCAATTAAAAAGATCTGGTGAAAGAATGGAATATTCACCTTCGCACTTATCTTATTCGGCTCATTCGCCTGCTGAAAATCAGGCATAGCGAGAGCTGAGCCGACAAAAATAGCAAGCAGGAGGTTAGAGAACTGCATTTTTTCTTCCTTTGGTTGATGACTTGATGGTTGTAATTCCTTTGATAGTTCGTTTCTTGATAGTGGAATTCTTCGATGGAGGAGGTATTGACAGGGTATTTAGAAGGGCTTTGTTCTCGCTTTAGGCGTCCAGGAGCATCTATCCTTGGCCCCAGGATGAACTTTAGGAAATCCGACACAACATTCCACGTCATCACCACGCTCGGAGCGCCTCTCAATGACTGTGCGATGAAGAGAAGCATGTAAACAGCACCGATCCCTCTCAGCACCGCCTACCTAGGTGGCCTAAATCCAACCGCTTCGTGGGCGTTCTTGTGGAATAATAGTCATTATGACGGTGATGCATAAGTTCTCGATGCTGGGTGAGAAGTCTATAAACACCTGGTGCCCCTTCTTGATTATGGGCTGGCAATAATCCAAATCAAAGCAATCCAAGAACAATACCGCAATATCGCAATATCCATCATGAAGTTCAACGTTATCCTTGGCTGTATCTTTGCCCTAGCCGGCATTGCTGCCGCCGTCCCTGGTCCCCACTGCATCAACCGGGCTGATCCAGATAGGTAAGACGCTATCCGCACGTTTAATACTATAGTTTGCAGTACCTGAGGCTAAAACCTCCCAACAGAGGAATCGGAAATTGGTGTGAGTGCAACGGGGGTGCTTGTTATGAACCCGCCCCGAAAACGGACTGCCACCCACCTTCGGACCACAAGATCAAGTGTCCTCCGTGATTTATGTTCCTTGGGATATTTTGCGATTCTTCTCAAATTTTGAAGGATTTGAGAGAATTTATATGTTTGAGAGTCTTGAGGAAATCCTGTTTCGCCTTGAATATAACTCTGATGCACATGTTTGACCATCTCCCGTAAATGTAAACCAAATTTTCTGGAAAGAAAAATCACTAAATACACTTCGTAACCTAAAATTTCTCCCAATAGTCCTAACAATTAAAGCGATACCTTGATGTAATTCTTTTACCAAAGCAGAGCCGGCGAATGACATGGTTGGGCTCCGAACATTGTTTGGCTCCGGTAGACCTGATGAGAACAATTAAGAAAGTCGGTGTGCAGATATTGCTGCGAGCCGCCATCGGTTAGAGTCCTCTGGGTACCTGTTGCTACTGTGCTTGCGGTAGGTTAAGCAGAGGGGCTGAAGAAAACTTGAGTAACGAAGAACGGTGGGTAATCCCTCGCATAAAACGGGAGAATTTTGCTCCTTTAAAAGGTTTAAAAAGAAATAAGTACTTAAACGAGTCTAGCACATAGCGATTATTTGTACTTAATACTACCTAGTATCCTAAGAGATATAAAGTATAAGCAGTTTCATCCCTGGCCACTGACAGGGATCTTTGTCCTAGTCTTCGAGTGGGCATGGGCTCAGAATAAAAGGCCCCATAGGGCAGTCGTTCTTCGGTACAGTGTATCGTGAACCAAACGAGCAGGGAGCCCAAGCAATCAACCTGTCTATATAGTCGCAGATAAGGTCATAGCTAGTCCATATCCTTATCTTTCCCTCATTATCCCGTATTCTCTTCATCGCTGATCCGAGTGTCGGCCGAGTTGATAACGCAAGATTGCTATATACTCACAGATCATCTCAACACCGTCTCTCGATAATGCTAGAATATGTTGCGAGAGATCTCACAAAATTACTATGAACCCACAAGAGGAAAGCCTGCGCAGAACGTACCCGAAGGTCAAGTGCGATAAGGCTTGCCGTGTCACTGATTGTTTTCTTGGCGGGCTTCGGAGGTTTAAGGTCCAAAGGTATATGGAGGTTAGTGTAATACCTGGAACTCTCATACACAATATACTAGTTCAAAATCATCGTGCTCATATCTCAACTTATTGCTCGGCCGACTGCGGCCGAAACCAGATCCGTCATGATTGGAGATAGGGGTTTCCCGGCAGAAATGCAGATGATTTAAATAACGTGCAATAAGTAGAGCTACAGATTCGAAGGATTTTTGCGCTGTGTTGCAAAATGTATTACCAAATCTGTGCTCTCGCTCTCCTAACCGTATTTCTCCCCGCGGTACCAGCAGCGATACTCGCAGCACCAACCCTAATGATCAATGGAGTCACATTCCAAACTCGAGCGCACTGGATGCGCCAAGCAAACGAGGCATTGAGTCAACTGAGTGGATCACCATGTCCCTTCGCAGCCTTCGGAACAGCTATAGTAAACCACACGGGCTCGGATAAAGGCGAACTAATTTGTTTGGGGATAAATGAGAACGGGAAGACAGGAAATCCCTCGCTACACGGTCCGATCATAATCGAATCAATCCTCACTCACAAGGAACCATACTAACACGAGATATGCATATGGTGCTACAGGCGAAATCGCAGCTATCAAGAACTGCACTGCCGTTCTAACCGACCCGCATGGAAAATTCCGCCTGACCGCATCCGAGGCACAAGCTGCATTCGTTGATTTGACCTTGTATACCAATGCTGAAAGTTGTCCGATGGTATGTGGAATACGGCATATATGACGAGGTTGGGTATCCTACTAGGGCTAACGAAGATATAAAGTGCGCCTCTGCGATTCGATGGGCAGGCTTCCGAGAATATGTCTATGGATCGTCAATCGACACGCTCATTCAGAAAGGCTGGGGGCAGATTCGGATCTCTTCCGCGGACGTTTTTGAGGCTTCTTACGACCTTCCGAGTCAGTCGCGTCTGATGGGCGATGTCCTTGCTAACGAGACCGATCCTTATTTCTTGTGGCAATTTGATCCATCTTACCCATGTCCTCATGGCTGTTCGCGTACCAAAGATGGATCGAGCTGCCGGGGTCCTTCTGGTTAGGTCTCAATATCGTGGGTTTCTTTTCGGTTTGGCGCAGCCTGGTTTTGGTTAGTTCTATGGGTATTTCATGGCTAGATGTATACGAAATCAAACAGAAATCAGTCTGTATATAATTCGCCGGTTCACAATTTAGAGGGTTATCTGATATGGACTTTCCCTCAGGAAATCATCGGGTTCCGTAGCGAGTTCCATCAATTAGCCATGGGAGCCATTGAGCTCTTGCGCAATTCTTTGAGCACTGTCAACAGTAGCCTGTCCATTCTGGAGCAGAGATCTCAGTTCATTTGCCAATGCAGGTGCCCGTTCCGCCTCCGGTATTTCTCCTTCATCCGCCACCACGGCGTGGAAATCTATCATAATGCCTTCTACCTGCTTATCAATTTCTTCCTGCAGTGATTTAAAGCTTTCAGTCATGACCCGTTCGTAGACGTCTTTAGCATGCGCAGAGTATTTGGAAAAGAGCCTGGAATTTCTCAAATGGTCATCCATGTGATTCTTTCGGCGTTTATCACAGCCTGGCCCTGATATATGGTAAATAAGAAGATAATGTTTTGCCAGATGTATCTCCACATACCTGACTCCTGGTTACAGGCGATGTAGGCTGGCTTCATGAGAATGGAGATGAATGAATCGGTGTGGTGCTCTAGCATGTCTCGCTTTGTATTTCTGAGAAATTGTCAGAATCGTGGCTGAATTTCAGGGTCCGTTGAGGACTGCCATACTGCGTTCTCGAGATAAACCTTTGGATCTCATTCTTGATGTGTGTGTTGATAGTCTCTCGTCTATGCCGCATGCTGAGAAGGATGTTTTGCAGGGCGTGGGGTGCAAGATGCTGATGCCCTGGAGAAAAAAGAAGAAGTCAAAATAAGGGACTGAGGCGTAATTATCAGAACAAAACATTACCATGGATATCCTGAAGCAGCCTTTCAAATGACATGTTGACCTGCCCAGGCAGAGTTTCAATTTGCGACTCCAGCCATTCCAGTATTCTTTCCCATACGGGATCCAAGTCTTCGTAGCTTTGCTGCACGAATTGCTCGTTCCAGGGGCGTTCATTTGGATGTGACTCGGTACTCCAGGACCCATAGTGGAGACAGAATACAGCGTATGAGTGTACGTGCCACTGGAACATCGGTTAGTGAGGTGCGACATCTTTCAAGTTCATCGGTCAAGAAGAGGTGAGAATTACCCCTATCCACTGCCGACTGACTTCGAGGCTTTTCTCTTTCCACTGCGCGCGAGAATTCTCTATTGTATGAAGTTGTTAGGGCTAGCAAAGGAAAAGCGAGGTGGTTTCGCTTACCGATACATGGGATAATGGAAGTATGAAAGAGCACTTTCAAGGTTTGAAACATGCAGGAAACATGTGCCTGCGATGATTGAAAATCCTATTGACTATCAGAAAGTGCTCTGCGTCTCTTGATAACGAAGTCTGGGCCATTCAAGGCATTCCTGTTTCTGAGCATACCCGACGAAGAGCCTCTTGAGACTGATTTAGAACACGGCGGAGGGCGGCAGCCTTTTCTGCAGTGACAGGATCTGTCCCAGACAACGCCCATTGGCGAATAGAGCCCATCATCGCCGGGACTTCGTCCTCCAGGAACGCAGTTGTTGCACGCATTTGAGCTTCCGCTGGGACTAGCTGACAATAGCGGCGGAGCTCTCGTATACCAGTCAGGTCGAGGTATCTATCTGCCTGGGTCGGATCGCCGGCCCGAAGCTCAGAGTATAGTTCATTGCCAACACAGAATACTCTGACGCCTTCATACCTTCTGGCAAGCTCGCGTGAAACATTGAGGTTTCGCCGATTGATCAAGAAACGTGTGACGCTGAATTGAAGTCAGTGTTAACAACCGCTTCCATTAAATAGGAGGACATAATCTCACTCGAATTTCAATTTCACTATTTTGTCACTGTCCTGGAGTCAACATGGGTCACAGCAACGAGGGAATGACATACTCACCTGAGCTCCAACTCTTCGAGTCCCCATTTGAGCCGATCATCGCCCTCCGATTTCATTCTTTGCGACTTAGCCTTTATGTGTCGGGCCTTGACTTTTTCGACTTCCTTGTTCATTTCCCGGACACGCCGTCCGTCTGGCCCCTCCTCACGGGAGGCCTCTTCGGCTGAAACATTCTACCCTCGCCGTCAGAAGAAGCTACTGTGCGAGATTAGTGGCATTATACATACTTCTGAATTCGTGCAAATGATTCTTCGTGGCTGATCCCTTTTACATCTTCTCATGATGTCTCCCACAGACTCGTCGGATCCAGCTCGTGAAATATTTGCCACAATAAAGACCTCATCGCATTGATGAGCAAGATATCTTTCAGTTGCTCGCACTCTTGCAAAGTTAAGATCTCGGAGACCTGTAGCTCGTTAGTCAAGATTAATAGACTGATATTGATACACTATCAACGCATACCCGGCAAATCAGTCAAAACCAAACCGGTTCTCAAAATAGGCGAACTGAGGTATACCCTGCAAGAACATCAGATAACAGCTCGTTGATTAGTACTATGCTTCACGAACCTAATCAACTTGATAAAGGGCCACAGTGCGGGGCCACCGTTCCCTGGATCATCAGCAGCAAGCTGGTCCAGAATAGATTTACATTCTTCAATGTCACCGGCAATGACTGAGTATTCGAGTGCATCAGACCCGCCCTGTCGGTATGTTAAGCCGGCGTATGCCCATCGCTCTAACTGCGCAAGGAGATCAAAGCGTGCGCCATCAGCCTCATTTGATAAGAACTCAATTGTAAGTCTTGGTTGAGTTTTGAATAGCGATTGAAGTGTTTCCCATGCTTTAGCAGCTGCGTCTTGGCATTTTCGTTGTTCATCGCTCGTCTGAAGCTCCCTATATAGCGAACGGACGTAGAACTGTCTGAAGTCCAGCAGGAGATGCTCAAGTAACTCTCTCATTTCCTCTGGGTTCATAAATTCTGCTTCGATGGTGAATGGACCGGTGTGATCGTCATTAGTGTGGCGGAACTCTGTCACCACATAGGTGCAGGCAGCACCCTCCCTGCTCTGAAATTATGTGTTAGTGAAAATGCATTCAGAAACAAGGGTGATAAGAGCACATACGGATCGTGCGATTTTCTGGTCGAGAAGTGAGTTGATTAAGGAACTCTTGCCTGTAACAACGTTAGACGAAGGAATCGAAAAGATGAGAAGACGCAGAAAATCCCATACCGACTCCAGAGTCTCCGATGAATCCCACAGTTCGTGTCTCTGGATATTCAAATTTGCTCATCTTTTCGGTACGCTTCCATAGCGTGTGTAGGCTCGTCGATTGATCTTGTGTCAACTCCGAAACGTGCATCGTGCTGGCAAGACTGGCTAAGTGGTGTTTAACATCTTTCAGTCCATCCTGAAGCCGACCGTTGTAGATCGGGGCTGGGGGGAGAGTTTCGTCGCGTATATCATTTGATATTATCTCAGTCTCACCACTATCGTCCTGAGAGGTGCCAGCCTCTGAAGCATTGTCACTAGCCACTGGAAAAGCTCCAGGAATTTGTATGTCTTCGGTATTCAAGGATGCTGGTCCAGATTGCGGGCCTGAGTTATTCGATCCCCTACCAGCTTGGCTGATATTATATGATCGGGAGGCGCTTCCTCGAGTGTTTCGCCTCGGACGGCAAGGATGTATGGGTCTTGGCCTTGGACTTGGGGAAGCATTGTGTTGATCTGCATATGTGAATTGCGAGCGACCGGGACTCAGTCGTGAGCTTGGTGAGCTACGTCGAGAAGTAGTTTCTGATGATGTTTGACCGAGTTGTAGGTCTTGGAAAAGGAATAACGGAGGTTGGGCTGTTGACAGGCTCCTGGGTACGCTCGAAGCTTGCTGAAAAGTAAAAACGCTCTCACTGCCACTGCCATCTTGAGAGGATGATGGTGTGGGATTCCTCACAGACTCAGAGGCCGTCGAGAAGGTGCTCCCCGAAGAAGGGACACTCATTTTGCTTGAGCTGGGTTGAGTCGTTTGAAAAACGCGTCCGTTGGATCTTGCGGTCTATTAAAAGCATTCCTTGAGATAAGATCAGCATTCCCCTGGCGCCTAGTCTCAGCACCTGTAACAATGGTATGGGTCACTCGCCCCTCTTGCTGCAAGGTGCTGCGCCATCGTTGGTGAAGCTTTTAGTCGCAGATCAACAACCTTCGTTTACTTTAGGGCTTCACCTGAACGTGCTCTTTGTCTCTTCCTCAAACAAATTAGACCCGATTGCCATGTTTTTTGGTTGTTGGCACGGTGAAATTATGCCAGAATCAATCTTGTGGATTTGATGGTCCCTGATGCCATTTTTGGCCCCCACGAGTTAGCGCGCGCGCGTGCCTTATATCCCTGTACAAAATGTGCGCGAACCCATAAGTGTATCGCTAGTAGCCAATAAATCCCATGAAGCTGAGAACACGATGTACTTTTGTCGTCTACAGACCCCCAGGTAAGAGGGGTAACCCGAAACAAATTGGATTGTCTCATTGAGGGTTCCTGGGTGACTAATATCGGACTATGCTTGACGTCAAACGTATAGAAGTAAAGACCAGAGAAGGAGGAGACAGTTTGGAAAACCGAAAGCCTCCAATATCAAGCCTTTGCTGCATCATTCAAATAGACTGAAAAGTTGTTAGCAGTTAATGGAGACAGTTTAGACTAATAAATGAGATATAAATCCTATTACCACAAAGTACGTCAATCGGCTCGACAAGATTGTAGTGATACTATTACATACTTCACTTGTTAATCGGGTTCTAAAACGCTTTTCGCACGCAAATGGCGACAGGGTCTCCGTCACCTAGATGACTATCCCAGATTTCTCGTAACAATTTTGCTGTCAGGTAACGACATAGAATATTTCCAGCCAAGTGAGTACGGTCCCAGCTCTAGGTCACCGAGTTTCTCCAGTTCCGCGTGGCTTTAGTCAGACGATCAAGCCTTCCTGCATAGAAAAGAAATACGTCCTCACCTTCCAGTCCGATTCAGCTGACGCCCATTCTACATCGAACTCCCGCAGTAGCTGTGGCACAATCTTACCCATTTCTGATCCTGAGCCCAGGACCCTAGATCGCTCGCCATGTGTGAGATGAGTTGTGTCATGCTGCTAAGGAGAAATCCAATGCCGGAGAAAAGGGCACCGCTAGGGCTGCAGAAGGATGATTGTACTTCCCGGTCGTTAAAATGGTCCCTTACATTCCAGGGTCTCAGCTGCAGTAGCCCCTCAGAAGGATTCCTAGCCCTAGCACTACGTCTTGACCGACATTCACAAATCCAACTGGGCAATGATTCAGTCGAATTTGAAAGTAGCCAGGGTTCCTATCAAGAGTATACGTAAAGAAATTACCACTGCGGAGTAATTAGCTGTAATTCAAGTGGATGTGCCACGTTTCGGTTTTAGGAGTTTGATGCGCAGAATCTCTGAGGCTCCTGCAAGGGGGAGGAGGTGGGGAGTCCATGTATATCTTTTGGAAGCTCAGTTCACGCCGGGGTCCCCACCAAGGACCCCTCCTAGGGTAAGATATCTGCCAATGCAAGTATCAATGCCATTGATCTAACATAAATTACTATGACCAAACAATATTTCCTTCAAACCCTGGCATTCCCTTCCACTCTTCTTCCTCAAGGTGCCTGCCGGTACTCAGCTCAGTGACGATTTGCTGGACACCAAAACCATTCTTCAATTTTTCCTTGACATGTGCAGCTTGTAGGACACGTGTAATTGGTTTCTTCATGCACCGCTGAGGATTCCGTATTCCCACTTCTTCACCCCTTCCATTTCCCATACCTAGTCTCGTAATGCTTCCAATGTAATCGGGATTGCGAATTGGATCTAACTCCAAGCTTTCAGCACCACTGACAAAAACATCAATCACAAAGGACCGTTTGAGACAGGAAACGGAAGAAAACACGATGTATGGAACGGTTTCATGTCCCTGGCATGCATCTGTTGTGCTCAAGGGCTTGATTGTTGACAATGAAAAAGCTGTGCCACCTTGTGACACAGCTGCTGTTTCAAAGCGCAATTGAGAAATCGGGAGAAAGTCGGGAACTGATGGCAACGCGTAACGATACTTCAAGGCGGGAGTCTGTTTTGCCATGTCGCCTAGAGTTGTGTAGACGTATTCGCGAGGGTCATCATATTCCAACCCCGTTCCATTGTCAACAAAAGGACGAAGAGGAAAGTTGGATGAGAATTGGCGTGCAGGATTAATCCGAAGATACATCTCAGCAATACGGTCCATGTTTGCATGGTAGCTGAGAAAAATGGGATCGAATGCTGTATAGGAATTGTCGGCCTGATATTAACAGTTAACACAGATAAAATCCTTGTCAATTCCACTGGATTGACTGCTTACCATGTCGGGTCCTATCCAGCCGTGAAAGTTATCATGCACTTGCTCAAATAGACCGTCGAAGAATTTGCGGCTGGCTTCAGGATAAAGATTATCCGGCTGGTTTTCTGAAAAGTCTGGTATATTAGCCCAGGGATATCCATGAGCCTCTTGCAAAGAGAATTCCGGCTGGGCAAAAGCATGCGCGATTTGCTGCTGATACTGGTTGAAGAGATGAATCTTCTTTGACCATAAAGGATTGCTGCGACCCTCAACAAGCTCTGGAGAGCGTTCGACGTACTCAGAAGTGCCTAACCTGTTCTTTCCATTTAGAGAAAGTGCGTACTTCAAGGGATTTTTGCGTTGCTCTCCATTTGAATGGGTATAGACATCATCTAAGAAGATCGATGGCAGACCGGCGTAAGGTGAACTTGGGTCTCCTGTTCCGACTGCAAAGCCATTCCAGTAAGGAATAGGGAAGTCAATAAGCTCCTCCACATATATCAGATAAGCTCGGTGCCAGAAAACGAAAGCCTCCTGGTAGTGCAAGCACCATTCAGCATCTGCAAAGTAAATCAGTATCAGACCCCCTTCACGAAAACTTTCAAAACGCACGCAGCAATCCCAGCTCCTGCCATTTAGAATCCTTCAATCCGACTTGAAGTACATCATCCAACTTTTCGCGGTATGCCTGAATTTCAGATGGACTGAGACTGAAGATGTCTTTCCTGACCCTTGTATTTATTTGCGTATGATTTGGAGCTTTTATCAGTTCCTGATATTGGATCGGATCGGCGAACGAGCGTCTAAAGCCTTGATTTGCCCATAGGCGTAAAGTCTCCAAAGCTTCGTCGGGCCAATAGTGGTTTTGGTTTTTCGTGATTGGCATGGAGCGAGAGCGTAGATGTTGATAAATGGTAAGGATGTTTTGTTGGACAGACTCCATACTCGAAAGATCAAGATGCATGTGTGCAGGGCGGGAGGGACTGTACTCTTGCATCTGGGATATCCAATGGGCCCCAACGGACTTAGGATCGGAGTCGATTGATGTCCAGTATGGCTCACTAAACAACGCTCTAACTTCGGCATCCCAGGTTGGATGGCGAGGAATGGGTGGCTGTTTGCTCCGGGTTGAACCTCTGATTTCGTGATACCGACAGGCCGCCATTTTCTTAAAGTTGGTGACTTCCACAAATAAGATGGTCCTTGAGATTCAGTAGAGACACAATGTTTGTAAGTGCTTTGCAACATGGAGAAATCTGCCGTGGACTTTATAGAACTTCTGTGGATCTGGATCTCAACCTATGCGCATCCTATAACCATAGTACCCCAACAACTTCTTGCGAAGAAGCAGAATCCAACAAATCAAACGCATAAGACCTATCATATGCCTACGTCCATTCGCTCGAGCTGATTATACATGATAAACCATTGCGCGACAATTTCAATGAGCCAAAATATTCATCTCCGGTTAACTTCTCTTCTCGGTTAGAAAGCGGGAAAGAGGTAAGAAATTGCATTCCACCAAATACCAGAAGCCGAAAGCTAATATTATTTGCCACATTTTGCTGTTGACCTTGCAATAATCTGCCAAGGATCCAACACGTCCACTTACCGAGCCCCACGTCAAGCAACTTCCTATTAAGGTCGTATAGATTATGTTTGCATCTTCAGGGCGTATTTCTGCTAAGACAAATAAGAGGATAACCTCGAGGGAGCCAACATTTTATTTCTTTCTTCTGCAAAGGTCCGCTCTAATTGATGCAAACTTCTCCGTCTCTTTGATCATACTACATTATTGCAGTCAAAATGTGTCAGGACGAAACCAAGCTGAATGGCTGGTCCAGCATGCCTGCTGATGCTGGCATGATATTTGGCGACAGACCTTTCATCAACGAGCCAGGTCCCATCTCAGTCAATGAAATTAAGTTCCCAGTCGATGATCCTGTGGTGGCCAAAGCCTCCGACTATGCTAAGGCCGTCCTCCATCCCGAGACATTTAACCATTCCATGCGGGTTTACTATTACGGTGTGTACCTAGAATGGCGCAATCCACTATTGATAATTCTATTCGGTGAGCGCTGATAGTCCATGAAGGAATGGCAATTACCAAGCAACAGTTTCCCAAGCATGCTGCCGACCTCAATCCCGCCACTTGGGCGTTGACCTGCTTGCTGCACGATCTCGGCACCGCAGAGGAGAATCTCACTGCGACTCGGATGTCATTTGATATCTACGGTGGTATCAAGGCGTTGAATGTCCTTATGGGCTTTGGCGCAACTTCTGATCAGGCTGAAGCTGTCGCTGAAGCCATCATTCGACACGAGGATATGGGTGTTGACGGAACCATCACCTACATTGGCCAGCTTATTCAGTTAGCTACTACCTACGACAATACAGGTGTACACCCTCATGTCAAGGACTTTGAAAAATTGGTCCATGACGTGACACGCACCCAAATTAACGAGTCATTCCCACGATTGAAGTGGTCGAACTTCTTCTCTGGCATCATTCGAAAAGAGGAGGCTATCAAGCCATGGTGTCATTCGACGCATCTTGTCAATTTTGACAAGGAAATTGAAGCCAACACTCTCATGAAGCAGTGGGAGTAAATTTGTTACACAAGCAATATATTGCTATGTTGCACCATCCACCCTAGACATTCAAATATCAACCTAAATCGACATGTGTTACAATCTCATACTGCTTGAGAAAAGCGACCAGTAGATCAAACCATTTCCCTTGGGTGTCTTTCATCAAAATTTTAGTAACTTGCCTATAACATTGACATCCTAGATGGATGGTAGACGACTCGCTTTCAGTTTGACTTGAAGATTCCCCTTTCCTTTCTTTCTTTCTTTCTTTCTTTTTTTTTTTTTTTTTTNNNTTTGGAACTAGTACTGTACACGTAGGTTCGTTCACATTCGGTCCTTCGCACTTTCCTGTATAGATGGATCGATCTTCCCAAGAACCCGCATATCCATGTCGAAAGATTCAAGCCTGACAAAATACATGTATTCCAGTCACTAAGTTAACGTTAATATTTTAAGTGTTGGGCCCCACTACCACCAACTTCCTAACACGATTTAGTGGATGATCCAATGAAGATAGCATCTAAAAACAACATGCTAATAACTCCATGTAACTATTGATGAAAAATGGCTCATACTGCGTCCTCTAGCGGGGCCTTACATACTTGTGGAAATTATTTGTTACTAATTGTTACATCTGATCACTGCTTCGCTGTAGCAACAGACGATGTCTCTCTCGATAACATCCTTAAATGGAACTGCGGGGGCCAAGGGCTACCGATGGTAATTAAGTGAAGGGAACTGTCTATTCCAAGTTGCCACCTGCATACTTTCTTCGCAATACCAAATAATAATAATAATAAAAACTTAATTTCAGACTCACTAGTTTGCATACCGTCAATTCTAAGATGGTACATGAGTCAAATAGAAAAGTTTTATTCATATTTATTTGTCCGAATGGCGTTAGCATTGTATTCTCTCTCCTTTTCGTTCCATCCTTGTCATCCGGAGCCACCACTACTGCTGACAACCCAGATATTCCCTATTCTGATAGCAGCCCTTTGTACCCAATGCCGGCCTTAACGATGACCAGCTCCAGCTACGAACCCGATGTGCACAGCCTGTGGATGAGACGCCGAAGATGTAATTTAAAGATTGATCTTGCCGAAGAGAAAACAGGGGCTGCGAAAACCTATACCTCGGGAGATCTCATTGAAGGCGTTGCCAGCATCACCTGTGATTGCGATACACTTTTTGACGAAATCCAAATAGTGCTTGAAGGTTCACGATCCAATAAAGTCAATACGAGATGATTGGAGACTAACCAAGTCCAGGCCTGTCAAACACAACGCTCGAACGGACACCATATCCTGGCCAAACAGGTTGCAAAAAGACCTTTCTTGCTATGCGCTACCCAGTCAACCACCCCAAGGTAAAGGTTTTTGAACAAGGTCGCTCGTATCCGTTTCCGTTCACATTTATTTTTCCTGATCGACTGCTCCCTCATGTTTGTTATCATTCGATGAGAAGCACTCTAGTACAACAGCATCATACTGCGCCTCCTCCAACGTTAGGGGACCATATTTTATCTGGAAGTGCCGAAAGTCCGAGAGATGATATGACACCTGGAATGTGTCAAATCTCGTATCATATTCGTGTTGCTATAACCAAAAGGCCATCATCAAATGATCATGGATTTCAGTACGCCACACAAAGAAACCTCCGCATTATTCCAAGTGTGGAAGATGATCCAATCCCCGAGGAATTGGGTGCCGCGTGTTACTGCATGCAACTGGAAACGGAGGTGAAGCGAGGCTTGTTCAGCGGGAAATTGGGAAGACTGACCTTGAGCTCAGCTCTCCCCAAGCCTGTTCACCTAGATCCTCGCCAATGCATGGCAACAAACGAGGTTAGCACTACGGTGGCCCTGAAACTCAGATTCGACCCTCAGGGCGATCAACAACCACCACGACTGGAACGGATGGACACCAAGTTGAAAGCACATACATTCTTTACCGCAGTTCCCTGGTCTGATTTTCCCCACTTGTCGGAAGACAGAACGTATCCGAAACACAGCTCCGGTGATTACACCGAGTCAATGCGGCTTTCCACTAGGTCTATCACATCGGTCCGGTGGGAGAAATGTTTCGTGGCAGATTCGATCTCAATTGTTCAGGGGCCCGTAGCCCTAACCAACCACGGGTTATCTTCCAGCAACACTTATTATACTGCAAGTATAATAGTTCCAATCACTCTCCCAAAATCGAAGGCCTTTCCTCCTACCTTCCATTCGTGTCTTGTGTCTCGCATATATTCGCTCGATATCGCACTGTCATACTGCAATTCAAATCCTACACTTCTGCATGCGACTCTTTCGCTGCGAGTTCCTCTTTTGATTAAGTGTCATCCGAGAGTTGAGTTCTTACGCATTCTGCCAAAAGTCACTTCGTTGCAATCGATACTGGACGAGCCCCTGGACTCAACCGAGGCTTCCCCTCCATACTACGCCTAGGTGTACCAGTGCCATGCAACAATTTCACACACGCGAGTCCCCGCTCATTGAAGAGAAAAAGTTTGAATCACAATAGCTTGAAAGAGGGGAGGTAATACCGCTAAATACCGGTTTACAATTGAGGGAAGAGTGACTCTTTTTTGCGGCGTCGATAATATCTGTTTAGATCAAGGGCGAGCACTTGACACAATCATCTTATTATCTATCCAATTCTATTGACGTGACTCCGCATCACTACTTATATATGATCATATCAAATTCCCCTATACATGGCAGGGCAACCCTAAAACCCTAAGAGTATCATGGACCACATAATCACGCGTTACGCTCTACGTCCGGAGGTATATAGAAGGAAATATGGTCAAGATCATGCCAGGAAAGTAATATAATTGAAAGGGGACGAGATAAATTCACACGCATTAATACACAATCATTAGGTAATTGACATGACAAAAGCGTCAGCATGGGGGCATCAACCGGGCATCGCTGGACTGATCATGGGTAAAGGATACAAAACAACATATAGCGCCTAACCATGCGCCGAGAATAAGGATCATCAAACCGCCAAAACGGGATGAGCTACCAAGTCCAAGCTACCGACCCAGTCGGCGAGGAGTTGTTATAGGCCACTCTTTTGTTCAAGGTGTAACCCAAAGGCAAAATGGAAAAGACACTACCCTTAATATTTGGCAGTGATAGCACCCCCGCGGCACCAAGTGCCAGCAGCAACGGAGCCCATGAAGACCGGACGGCCGTAGTTGCACAAGGCGAATGACATGCCATCAGGAGAGCAGAGGATCTCGCCAGAGGTGCAAGTCCATTGACCAACGTAAGAGCTGAACTGGTTGTTGGTGGAGGCCTCGGTGGAGAGGGTACGGGCACCACCAGTGGCAGTGGCAGTACCGAAAGAAGAGGCAATCTTGGACATCTTCTTGTCGGTGCTGGTAGCGTCCTCGGTGGCACTGGTATTGTTTTTGGCGGTGCTGGTAGCGTTCTTGGTGGTGCTGGTCTTGTTTTTGGTGGTGCTGGTAGCGTTCTTAGTGGTGTTGGACTCGTCATCGCCGAGGAAGGGAGCAGTGCCAGAGCACTTGTAGCCCTTTCCATCAGCCTTGCCGAGAACATTGGGACCGGGCTTGGGGAAGTTGACGGGCTCGCCCTCGATGGTGACACACTTGCCAGCCTGATCGACGTTGGCGATGAACATGTCAGGGAGGCTGTCGTAGCTGGTATCGGCAGCCTTGCTTTGTTTCGTGTGGTCCTTAGGCTTGGTTTGATCCGTAGGTTTGGCCTGATCTGTAGTCTTGGCCTGATCCGTAGGCTTCGTGTGATCCTTCGGCTTGATCTGTCCCTTAGCCAGAGCCTTACCCTTAGCGATCGCTGACTTAATTTTGTCAGCAGGACTGCCATCAGCAGCCATCTCGGGCATGTTCCTGGAAATAGCCTTCTCCTCGGAGTCGTTTGTGTCATTGGCAGCACGGCCACCGGAGCCACCGATGTTGACCATGGCACAGTTCATGTACATCTCGCGGTTGCCGACCTTGTTGAACCAGGTCCAGGCAAAGAGGGCTTCACCAGTAGGGGCATCGGAGGGAATATCAAAATTGTACTTCTTGGCGATGGGGCAGTCTCCTTCAATAGACTGGATGACCTTGAAGGTCTTACCCTGATCGTAGGTCAGGGAAAGCTGACATGAGCCACCGTCATGGGTGGCACTGCCCTCGAGCTCCATCTCCTGGGATGAACCCGGCGCCCAGGTATCGACGGCATTGAATTCATCCTTGGCGTAGCCTTTGCATGGGTAGTCACTACCGGAGCTTGATAGAGGGTTGGTATATGAGTAGTCCTTCTCGCCTTTGGCGTCCTTGTTCAAGGGACTGCGGATGGGGTAGGGCTTGCTCAGCTGCATGTGAGCAGAGACTGTGGAGGCCAAAAGGCCGGAGAGGATGAATGTGCCCTTCATTGTGATTGAAGTGTTTTCTGTTGGCCAGTTAGTCTCCTGTTGGTGGTGCCTTCAATTCCAATGTGGCAACAGCTAGCATCGGAAAGAGCGAGTTACTCACAGTGTCTTAGGTATATAGAAGGTTCATCAAAAATAGATACTAAACACTTAACCACCAGGGTTAATTTGCAAAGAGTACAGAGCTTGGGTTGGGAAAAGTCTGGGTGGTCGACAAATAGTATAAATACACGCTCAGTGGACGGTCGCTCGGTGGACGGTAACATTCTTTGGACCTATTGAGAGGAATGGCAGACGCCATCGTGTTATGGTCTTAGCCCATGCGCTGACGGACAAGCAATGACCCCCGCGACGTGAAGAATGCTGCCAAACAATTCATACTTCACATGTACTTCACCAGCTGGATGATGGCGCACTCTCTCTATTCACTGATACTCGAGCGCAACAGTTAAATCATCTTCCCCAATCTATAATCCATATCGTGATTGTATCATGAATTAGGTGTGTATGATGGATACATTCCAATAATGCAGTTTGGTCCTCAGACACTAAACATATCAAACCCCGGTTGAGGGCGACCACCTGGGCACTCAGGGGCAATGGATTGCACATCGAACAAGCTGAGGGATCAATTATGAAAAGCAATCACTGCCTTCATTCCAAGCCGGGCCAAGTTCCCCAGGAACCCAACAATGATGTCAGGGGTACTAAAAACGGCCGCGTCACTATAGCCGTGTACTCGGCAGACAAGTGCCGCCCAACCTTCATTCATTCTGTTCCGTCCAATCGTGGAGTATGTGATCCATCCGGTTTGGGTCTCTAACTTGGACCTGGCGGAAGCCCTAGGGGGTTGGCCCCTCAACCCCTGTTCTACCCCTGCATACCTATTCAGGGCACCAATTATATCGCTCGAATCCAAGGGCTTTGTTTACATTTTCGAGGTGGCTCGGGGCTTTCCTGTCATTGTCCTGCAGGGAAAGCTTGGTGCTGCGTGGTTAATGAGATGTGATGCGATGCTGTGGGGTTCTGCGCATGGCTCGACGTATGGACCGACTAGCCAATAGCTTGCAAACAGAAATGGCTTTAATGGCTGAATTCTTTGATATCAAAGTAAAGGAAGTAGATTCTATGTTGTTTAAGTCAATTGACACTCGTTATATACATTGATGCGAAAGTATATATTTACACCCAGAACATACGACAGCTGTTGTCCCACGCCGCGTCAACCACTTCTTCTATAGCAATACCTTTCAATCCAGCCACGACTAATCCAACACGCTCCATAGTACAACTCTCATTGCGAGTCTTGACCATCTGCCCCAGAATAAACTTGTTGTGCTTCCGACTCGCAGGCAAAGGCCTCGCAGATTCCAAGTAACCCGCAATTTTCGGATCATTACCCAAGACCTCACACCACGGCGCATCAGTCTCAAGCTGTAACCTATCCAATGGAATATGTTTAACCATATCCAATTGTTCATCGGTCCGGAACGAAACACCATTGACACTGATTTCCAACCCAAGCTCCACAAGCTGCAGCATCTCCTCCTTCGTCCCAGCAAAGGAATGCACAAGTCCACCCTTGGGCAACCTCCCGAGATAAGGCCGAATAATAGTGATAAAATCATCGGCAGACTCACGGACATGCAAGAAAAGCGGTAATTGAAAATGAATCGCCAACTCCAACTGTTCCCGGAAAGCACGCTGCTGCGTCTCTTTATCGGCGCGGTTGAGGTACTCATAATCCAACCCAATTTCACCAAATGCAGCCAAAGGCGAAGGAGACTCAGCGAGGAGTGATTCGCCCAACTGCTTTAGCTCATTGAGATACTGCGACTCGGGCTGTTCGTAGATCTCGGCGGCATGGTAGGGATGCACGCCAAGTGTCATTTTACACATTGTGGGGAACGCCCTCACTGCTTGTAGATTTTGTTTCGCTCCTTGGAGAGTCATGGTTGTGAGCATTAATTTTTCGCAGTTGTATTCTTTGGCTCGTTTGAGGACTTCGCCGAAGTCGGCTTCATGGTATTGTTTTCCTCGGTAGATGCCTTGGAATTGGTCTGCGGTGAATGTGACCGCTACCTGGTGTGTTTTAGTGGAAAATTATGTGTTGATGGGCTGGGTTACTTACATAGAAGAATTTCATGGTGGTTTTCCTTGACTGGTAGGTTGAAGAGCAGCGGAAAAAGATGCCTGAAAAGTTGAGTAGTGTCTTCAGCTTTCTTGGCGGGTTGACCATCTAACACAATAGTAATTTCCGCGCCGATATGAGGATCTGTGCTTGGCAGATCACAATTGGCTTGTGTGCACTTTTGAATGAACGAAATGACGGAAATTTCCATGTAAAAGTCCACAGAGGATTCCATTCAAATATAGACTCAGTCCGGGTACATGTACCCGATGTCGGCAGAGTGGTGGGGCTTATATATTTGGCTCCGATGAACCTCACATTTCATTATTATTATATTTTGACAGACATGTCCTTCCTCATCGGAGATAGCAACGGCCATGGAGAACCATCTGTGACCTTTATCTCTCCGATCTCCCCCGAGGCAGTTCCCGCGAGCACACCAGTCCCAATGATTCCACCATCACTAGCCTCACGTAAGAAGACACTCTTGCCTCCTGCTTGTGGACCAGCGCGAAGTATGAGACGATCGATATATCTTTGCACGTTTTCCTTGTAATGGGGATAATGTTGAATCACTCCACCGGAAAAGGCCACGGCGAGTTCTTCCGGGCCGCTGTTCCAACCGGGAGAGCCTGAGCCTGTCTGTTCAGCGTCTTTAGTTTCCATTTTCTTTTGTACCCCGCTTGCATCTTTGGATACATCCTTGCACAGCTTGACTTCTTTGATACAATCTAGAAGACCAACAACAGCGGCTGCAACCAATGAAGCAGCTCGGTCGTGCACAGCCAATGCGATGGCGCGGATATCGCGAGCATATTCAGGTGTCCAACTCCAATCGCTTTCAGGTGGTGGCTGGAGTTTTTGAGAAAGCTTGTCTGCCAATGATTCGTCGGGCAAGGAAGAGGCAACAACCAGTGAGAGAAATTCCGTTGAAATGGAATATGGCTCAATCAACGTCACTGGTAACATAGAGCGCTGTATTCCCAGGACTCTGTGGAAATAGTCATAGCAGATTATCCGAACCAACTCGCCAGTATACCCACCTCCGACCATATATTCTAGTGGCTGGAAACCCGGTCGTTTGGAATGCTGGTCCAGTTCATGGTCCCATTTATTTCGAATCCGCAGCTCATCGAAGGGAGCTGCTGCCGTGGAAAGAGTCCACTCGGTAGAGATGAGCGTCTCTTTGGCGTCGGGGTATTTCTCTCGAATATTTTGTGTTTTTGATTCATGAAGATCAGAAATCTTCATTGGAGCAGTAGCGTTGCATCCAGCGCCTACAATAAGCCCCATGACAACACGGGTATTGGGCAACGAAGGGATTGAATATGCCAATGACGCAAGAGTCGCGGTCGTGTCATTGATCATGACAGCGATTTTTAATTTAGGCAGAGAAAACAACCTGCGTCGTTTCGCAGGCATGGGCTCAACATCGCCGTGAGAGGTATACGTGTGGCGCTCGTATCCATTCAGCAATGCTTGGCGGAGGTTGAGGTCTGAGCTTAGAGAAAAGCCTTTGCCAGTTGGCATCAAGATAGCTTCATCGAGAGTGTTTTGTCTATAAGATATTAGCCAGAGAAAGCAACAACGGAACAGGGTGTTGATACTTTATAGGTAGACAGAGGGAAATACCCGTCGTTATTTGGTCAAGACTTTCTTCATTTGGATTGGCAAGTCGATCGGCCACAACCTCGGCAATACAGTCACCGATCCAGGTGAACAAGTCCAAGGAATGGTCTTTTCGTAGATGGTCTTCGATAGGCCAGGCCTTCTCTAGCGTTCGTCGAACGCGAGCATGCCCTTCGACTTGTTTATCTCCCAAGAGATCAATAAAGGCTACTCGTAGATAAGATAGACCAACATAGACACCGAGGTAGCGTCCAGTTTCATGACCTGTGGGGAGGCGGGTGATGGGCGTTGGAATGAAGTGTTCAGTAGATTCCAAGGCCAGTTTCGTGTAAGATGTTGATAGTCGACAGGACAAGTCAGACAAGGTTTCGATTCCAACCTGGAGGGGTTGCAGGAACTCATTCAGATTTGGCTTTACTGTTGCAGGTTGCTGCACAGTTGAGCTGGCCATATTGATCTGGGAAATGACCTAGAATATCTTGAAAGTTGCTTTGGTGGCCAATTTATGGCCTAGGATGTTAAAGAGAGATGCTTGCTGACGAAAATATGCCAAGAGGCCGCTAGAAAGGGTAGAATACTACCACGTGACCTTCATGCAACGGTGTTTTTATACTTTGGTTTTGTGTTTATTTTCATGATTCAGGGGGAGTTTCAGATTGTCTTTGTGATGATTCAATGCGATCAACTTGGTGGAGAGTTGGCTCTAATCGCTGGGTATAACCACTGACCAAGCCCAAGCTACCAACTTCCCGGCCTTAGCATTCCAAGATTAAGCTGACAGGCGTCACGTATACATGTTTGCTCTTTTTATTGAAATTGTTTTGTCGACTTTTAATAAATATTTTGGTTATTTCATGCTATGTATATTAAAGTCTTGCTGTTGCATGTCCAATGACCGTGTTTAAATTGATATAGTTCCTCACTCAAATTCAGGGTTGGACTACGGAGAGGAGACATATATTTGAAGGTATATAGATATGACTATTGAACACGAAGGTATACCATTGGCAATCATATTGCCATTCAATATAGGCCACGAGGTTACATTGGCCCTCAATACTTTCCCCGCAACAAATAATACGCCCCACACTTGCGGACTCTACTGAACTTGAGTCATTCTCTCTACAAATTCACTTATATCCCCAATGAGTAGAGAAAGCTCAAGTTCAAGGTCCTGGTCTGATCAAAATGTCGAATCCCAAGATCCACATGAAGCCAGTTCGGAGGAAGACAACCCACCGTTGCATGCAGTGAATGTCGCGCCCAGATGGAATGAATCAAGAACCACAATATGGAAAGTGACAGCTACATTCTGGTGTGCGTTCGTGATGGGGTCGAATGATGCAGCTTATGGAGCGATAATTCCTTATGTTTGTGTTACTGTCCAGTGCGCCGCAGAGCAAACTAACGAAGTATGAACAATTAAGCTCGAGACATACTATCGCAAAAACTACACCATTATCTCCTTGGTATTCCTCTCACCGTTCGTCGGCTATACCATATCTGCAATCCTCAGCAACATGATCCACCAGCACCTCGGCAGACGAGGGATCACTATTATCGCGCCGAGCTGCCACTTGCTAGCTTTTGCGGTCATATCTGTTCATCCGCCATTCCCGGTGCTTGTGGTTATGTATGTGCTTGTTGGCTTGGGCAGTGGATTCCATAATGCAGCATGGAACGTCTGGATCGGAAACATGGCAAACTCGCATGAGGTGCTTGGATTCTTTCATGGGTTCTACGGCATCGGTGCTACAGTTAGTCCTCTTGTTGCCACGAGTTTGATCACGAAGGCAGGATGGGAGTGGTACTCTTACTACTATCTGATGGTACTTCACTTTCCTTTCTCATACACCCAGAAAAGGTGAACTAACATGGAATATTAGACCGGAGCAGCTGCTATAGCGCTGGTATATGCCGCCAGTGCCTTCTGGGCCGAAACAGGCGAAAGATATCAACTTGAGAATCCGAGTATTCCTGGCAGGGAGGGAGGAGCATTTTCTCAGACACGCATATCACTCACATACAAGGTCACCTGGATCTGTGCCGTATTCCTCTTCCTCTACGGCGGTATCGAGGTGGCAATCGGTGGCTGGATTGTCGTTTTCATGACCAACGTCCGCCATGGAGGCGCCTTCGCATCCGGAATGGCAGAAACAGGCTTCTGGTTGGGTATCACAATCGGTCGATTCGTACTAGGCTTTGTCTCGCCTCGAATCGGAGAAAAGCTGTCGATTGCTATATACCTCCTGCTTGCCATCACTCTCGAGCTTGTCTTTTGGCTTGTGCCAGAATTCATTGTGTCGGCGGTTGCAGTGGCATTTGTTGGATTCTTCATGGGAACGATCTTTCCTGGAGTTGTGATTGTGATGACTCGTTTGCTTCCGCGGAATCTTCATGTTGCGGCTATTGGTTTTGCGGCGGCTTTCTCTATGGGTGGTGGTGCGGTGTTCCCTTTCATGATTGGTGCTATTGCTCAGGCTAAAGGTGTTGTGGTGTTGCAGCCTATTTTGCTTGCGATGCTGGCTGTGTCTTTGGGCATTTGGGCAATGCTTTTCCGGCTTCCTCGTGAGATCTCTCACCAAGTTTGATTGGAGGGAACGAGAGGAGGAAAGATTGGGTTGAAGAATAGCCGTACCTATCCCTGTGTAGTATAATTGGGCCTTCATTTGTCGCAACTGTCCCTCCAACGGTCGACATAGGTACTCTCTTGTATAGATTTATAACAAATGGCCTTTAGGCCTGTCTGAGGCATCAATGATATCATTGCAGAGACATAAAGAGATTTGATTTGGACACAAGACCCGATTATGCACGACATTGATCAATGCGACAAAGTGTCAGGGATGATGAGCGTGTATACTCGGGATCCAGAACAGATCATATTGGGCGGTGATGCAACGCGTTAGCGCGTCATGAACATCCCGCCCTGGCTTCCTCTAGTCAACTCTCCACCCTCATTTACACCCAAGAGTTCGAATGTGTCGGCGGTTTATTCGGCTGCTGCAGGGTCTGTCTTTCCAACATGCCGATACCATGGAAGCTGGCCCGGGTCGCCACACGTCACTGAGATCCCTCGATCGATCGGTGGTGGCGACCAGATCGCTCGCCCCGATCCGGACATATGCTCATCATGCCCCTGCCTTGCTCTTCTCTTATAAACGCGTTGCACATATCCTAGATATATCCAAGCTCGTCACGCCGTCTCGTGCCTATTCACAACATCTGGGCCGAGGCTCGGATTTGAACGCTGAAGTCATGATCATGGCCACTGCGCCACATGGATCCGAGGCAAAGCCTGCGGATATTCTCAATGAAGATATACACTCACACCAAGCAGAGGTGGCATTGGACCCTGAATCCGACGAGGACATCCCACTGGAGGCAGAGGAACTCAAGGAGGCCCTTGGGCGATCCCCGCCAGTGAACAGCAGCTATCTCCCTCTACCCTGGAAAGGAAGGTTAGGATATGTGAGTTGCATCTTAAGCCTCATGCGTGCAACATCAGTTCTAACCCAATTAGGCCTGCTTAAATACCTACCTCCGCTACGCTACCCCTGCCGTATTCTGTTCTCGAACGTGTCGAATCGCCTCTATCATCGAGAACCGACACCCCCTCCAAGATCCCGAACAACCTGCACACTCGACCAAGAATCGTCCGGACCGGGATCAGCCGGCCGATGTTGCACGCGGTCAGGCCTTTGTTGAGGCTCTCGGCCTGACAAATGCGCGTGATTTGGTCAAGATCCTTCGCTGGAATGACAGGTATGGCATTAAGTTTATGCGATTAAGTAGTGAGATGTTCCCTTTCGCTAGCCACAAAGAATACGGTTATAAATTGGCGCCGTTCGCCTCGGAAGTTCTGGCGGATGCAGGCCGGGTGGTTGCAGAACTCGGTCACCGTGTCTCGGTTCACCCGGGCCAATTCACGCAGTTTGGATCGCCGAGGAAAGAAGTGATTGAGAGCTCTCAACGAGATCTTGAATACCATTCGGAGTTGCTTCAGCTTCTCAAACTTCCCCCTCAGCAAGATCGCGATGCGGTAATGATCCTACACATGGGTGGGGTTTTTGGTGATAAAGCCGCGACACTTGATCGGTTCCGAGAGAACTATGCCAAGTTGTCGCAGGACATCAAGAATCGATTGGTTTTGGAAAACGACGATGTCAGCTGGTCTGTTCACGATCTACTGCCAATCTGCGAGGAGCTTAACATCCCTCTTGTCCTCGACTATCACCACCATAATATCATTTTCGATTCCAATGAGCTACGTGAAGGCACGCAGGATATTATAGGGCTCTATGATCGCATTGCGGCAACTTGGTCTCGAAAGAACATTACGCAGAAGATGCATTACTCCGAACCAACTGCTCCAGCAATCACACCTCGCCAACGCCGCAAACACAGTGACCGTGTGAATACACTACCTCCATGTGCAGACACCATGGACCTGATGATTGAAGCCAAAGACAAAGAGCAAGCTGTCTTTGAGCTGATGAGAAACTTCAAACTCCCCGGCTACGAACGTGTGAACGACCTAATCCCTTTTATGCGCCCCGACGAAAACCAACCCTTCAAACCCCCAAAAAGGTCGAAGAAAAACGGCGGTTTTGTGGATCTCGAGGGCTCAATACCCCCGCCTCGCACCATTCCAGAGGAAGAAGTTAGCATGGGTGGACCTGATGGTAGAGTCTACTGGCCCCGGGGCATGGAAGAATGGCTCAGACCTGCGAAGAAGGTTGTCAAACCCAAAGCAGCCGCGAGTCCGAAGAAAAGCACACCGAAGAAGGTGAAGACCGAGTACATTGCGGACGATATCCCTCTTGACGCAGCCAAGGTAGAAACCCCCAAGAAACCAAACGCTGCCAAACGCACGACTACCTCTAAGGCTCGAAGCAAGCGCAAGGCTTCGGTGATCGAGTCGACCCCTGAGCCAGAGGAGACTAGTGATGTTTCCGCAGAATTGGAGAATTCTCGGGAATCACTTTCTCGGCGGAGTTCACGTGCGAAGAAGGTGAATTACACCGAGGATAGTGCATAGTCGACTGACTTTGTATAAATATCTTGTACGATATTGGTAGAATAATAAACAGCAAGGTCGCCATATTGTTGCCAAATCTATCAAATCTCCGTAGTTGTCTTCTAGACCATTTGCCACCATGAAACACAACCCAATTATGAATATTTATTCTTTATTGTGTCAGAAATGAAACAGAAACCGAAATCACACTAAATATAGTATTATAGCATCATATTGCCAAACTTGTCGAAATCTCCGAGAAACCTGAAACGAACGCGGTGAGAGGGGCTCCGAGTAATCATCGTCATGGGCGATCTCTTCCCCGCAGGTCTACTTTCCGCAGCCCTATTCGACTTGGCTTTTTTCTCGATATTCTTGTTCTTCTACATTCAAATCTACACCACACGAGACCCTGGCTCCTAAACCACGCTTCCGCTGGCCCAGCCTCCGGTCGAGGACTCCCCTCTCACAACGCCCACCCACCCTCTTCCCTTCGTTCCCCCGTGAGCCTCGACCTAGCAAGCTCTCACGGATTCTCCGCCTACTCGTTGGCCCACACGCAAGCAGACGAGCCCAGTCCCGTCTCTGGGGCCTCCGACACGAGACCCTCCCGGCCCTCCGTCACCGGGCACAATCACGGATCTACCGAGCAATCGTCAAACGCCAAGCACGACTCGCAGCGCGCGATCGCAGACTCGGAGGAGGCATAGTCTCCTATCTCCTCGGCCCCCGACGACAGTTCCGCACGTGGAGAGCCAACGCGGCATCCAGTCTCAATTCCGCTGCAAGGCATCCGAAGTCGATCCTAGCCCGTTCCGGACCGAAAGAAGCCGCGGGAGATCCAATGGCACAGCCAGGGCTTTCATCGACATGGGGACCAGGAGGCGCCGATGGCGCCGGTGTCACTGGTAGCCGTCGCAAGAAGGTCTTCGAGTACTTCAAGGCTGCGAATGAGTTGCGCCAGTCTTATACATCTCAATGGTCTGGACAGAGGAACGACCATGATGAGGATTACTACAATACCCCCGGCGCCTTCCCCGACATTGAAATTGCGCGATCCGGCGACGAAGAGATGGTTCTTTTCCCGAGTTATGCTCGGAAACTGACGGAAAAGAAGAAGACTGATGCTAGCACACGTCCGCGACGTGACTCCTGGTCGGAGACCATCGATGAATACCGGGGGGAGCCCCATAACGACGAGAGCTCTACGCCTGGTTGGGATGACACTGAGACCGAAAATGCGGTCGTGGCCGTTGACGTGCGTGGCTGGATCTACGCTCCTGGTCGCGGTCCCATGAGCCGAAAGCACCGTTTGATGATTGCGCTAGCCAGGAAGCTGAGCGGCATCCCTGCACCAACGGGAACGACCAATGATGAAAGCGACGACAAGATGTCAGGCAAGGGAGATGATGAATACGTGGACAAGCAAATGCAAAATTTAGTCGATACAGCCGAGAAGGAAGCAGATCCGGCTTGGAAGAGTACACACACGGACAAAGCGCAACACCCTGTACCGCTGAGCAAAGATGAGCTGTCTATGGCAAATGCTCATCTCATGGAACGACTCCGTCCATTCCTCACAAACCCCGTTGCTAGTATGCCCGTGACTGTTTTCTTCTTTGACGAGAATGAGAGCAAGTCTCGGAATATTACAACGGATGAATCGGGTCACTTCACTCTTCGTGCTGCATTGCCATTTGTCCCAACTCATATTCGTGTGTTGGCATCCGAGGACTTGTCTGCTGCACGGCCAATTCAGATCATCGACCCAGTTGGAATCAGTTTGATCAGTGACATCGATGATACAGTGAAGCACTCTGCTATTGCTGGTGGAGCGAAGGAGATGTTCCGCAACACATTTGTTCGTGAATTAGGTGAACTCACCGTTGAAGGAGTCAGTGACTGGTATGGCAAGCTGGCCAAGCAGGGTGTCCAAATCCACTATGTGTCCAACGCCCCATGGCAATTGTACCCTCTCCTCGAACGCTACTTCAAGATGGTGGGCTTGCCACCAGGCTCGTTCCACCTCAAGCAATACTCGGGGATGCTACAAGGAATATTCGAACCTACAGCAGAGAGAAAACGAGGATCACTGGAGCAGATTTTGCGAGACTTCCCTGAACGCAAGTTCATCTTGGTTGGAGACAGCGGCGAGGCGGATCTCGAGGTGTACACAGACATCGTCCTGGCAAACCCCGGCCGCATCTTAGGAATCTTTATCCGCGATGTCACGACCTCGGAGCCCCAGCAATTCTTCGAGAAATCCGTCGGCCCTCTTGACCCACCCAAGCGCAATCGCAGTTTCCCGGATGTAAAAGATCAGTCGGATGCTGTCCCCAATAGACCAGCTCTGCCGCCTCGTGCATCTCCGTCTCTACCAGCAGTACATATACCTTCACCGGACGCTGAACCACAGAGCGTGGATATCGAAGACTTGATTGATCTTACAGATCTTATCATTGACCAGAAGCCACCCCCAGCTGGACTTACCCACCCTGATCAACCACGTCCACCTCCCGTTAAGCCGGTCAAACCATCTGCACTGCGCATGGTTTCCACACCTGCGGATCTACTGAGGGCCAGACCGGCCAGGCCGTCTGCTTTGCGTCAAAGTACTACACCTTCTGATATGACGAGGGAGACCAGTCCCAAGCCATCACCTGCTCCACAAGAAGCTCCGAAGCGCAAGCCTGTTCCTCCTGTTCCACCAAAGCGTGGATCTACGCCCAAGACTGAGTCATTAATTGATGCGGAGCCTTCACCCATTTCTCGCAGCAGCACTACTGGGTCATCTACGAATGACGCCTCATCATCGTTGCTCAGCAACCTCAACGATGGCTCCTCAAGTTCCCGTTCTCAGTCCCCACCAAGGGGTTCAAAGCAACAGCCACCTCTCCCACCACCCCGTCGCGCAAACGGTGCATCGCCAACCGCCCACTCCGATTCCAGTGGATCATCGACACCCCGTCCTGCAGCAAGTAGCATCCAATCCTACCCAGCAGCAGCCGCCCAAGCCGCATACCAAGGATTCCAATACGCAACCGAGCGGCTCAACTTGTCACAAAGCCCCTCTAATGGATCACGACAGTCTCCAGCGGGACCAAATAACGAGTCGGGTATGCCTCCCGTGCCACTCCCGAATAAACGCGAGGAACTCTGGCGTCGTCGCTGGGAACGCGCATCTGAGGTTCTTGAAGACCATGGGGTTGTGCTGGGTAGTTGGCGCGTTGGAACTGATGCCCAGCCTGTTTGTGCATGGTTAGTGGAGAGGGCGATTAAAGATATGCAGGCCGGTCCTACGAAGAAAGAATAAGGTCGCCTTTAATAGATTACCTTTGCTTTACATTGTCATATACTCCATTCAGTCAACAATTTTTATACATATATCGCTTCTCGAAACTAGAGTGGTGGTACCCAGAACAAGTTTTTTGTTGGTAAACTCCCTACTTTAGCTTACAGGTGAGCGCGGTTGAGTTGTATAAGGTGGAGAATACTGGAAAGAACGTGTTATTGGAATGTTGGGGCATGATGCGAAGAGAATACTGAAAATTGGGACTTTTGTTCTCATCCGGATGTACCTCGATCACGGTGTGGGGAGACGCGGTGGATTAGGCAGTGATGCATGACAATCCCAGAGCCCTCATTAGCGCAAATACATAAGTAACCTCCATGATTTCAACATATTGATCAGACTAACGATTGCAGTCTCAGGGGTGTAAACTAGTGCAAAATTAGGGCAAATATGCTGACATCACCTCGGACCTCGGCTCAATTTGAAACAGCAACAGCATGATTGGAGACTGAACAATCTGGGGTATTTACTCTCCCTCCATCCCTCATCTCCCAACTCAAACATGTCGGAAACACTCACACGCGCCGAAGTCGCCAAGCACAACACCGAGGATTCCCTCTGGTGCATCATCGACCACAAAGTCTATGACCTAACCGACTTCGTCGACGCCCACCCCGGTGGCGGCGTCGTTCTCGCCCAGGTAGCCGGCCAAGATGCCACAACCGAGTTCTACAACCTGCACCGCCAGGAAGTACTAGAGAAGTACCGCAAACAGCTCTGCGTCGGTACTATCGAAGGTGAAAAGCCCGAGGTCATCGAGCCCACACCAGGAGCCCTGAGTCCCGTTCCCTACGCCGAACCACTATGGCTCCGTCCTCAGTTCAAGTCGCCCTATTACAAGGAGACCCACCGCCGCCTGCAAAAGGCTGTGCGCGAGTTCACGGATAAGTACGTGACACCCGAGGCGCAGGAGAAGGAAAGAGATGGCACGTACATTAGCCAGGAACTGATCGACCGTATGGCTGAGACGAATGTCCTTGCCATGCGGCTGGGTCCTGGAAAGCATCTCCATAACCGGACCCTCCTTGGTGGGGCGGTCGATGGGAAGGAGTTTGACTATTTGCATGATATGATTGTTACGCAGGAATTGGTCCGGGCTAATGCCCGTGGTTTCCAGGATGGGAATATGGCTGGTATGGCTATTAGTTTGACTGCTGTTCAGCAGTGGCTACATGATCCTGTTCTCAAGGAGCGTGTTACTGGTGAGGTTTTGTCTGGTCAGAAGAAGATGTGTTTGGCTATTACCGAGGCTTTTGCTGGTAGTGATGTTGCTGGTTTGAAGACTACTGCTGAGAAGACTCCTGATGGGAAGCATTACATTGTAAATGGAACGAAGTGAGTTTGGAGGATGAATCTGTGCGTTGGACTATTGCTGACGGTGATTAGGAAATGGATCACGAACGGCATGTTCGCCGATTACTTCGTGGTCGGTTGCCGTACCGAGAAGGGCTTCTCGGTTCTCTTGATTCCTCGCGGTGAGGGCGTTGAGACGAAGCAGATCAAGACTTCCTACTCAACTGCTGCTGCGACTGCCTTTGTGCAGTTTGAGAACGTCAAGGTTCCAGTCCAGAACCTCCTTGGCGAGGAACACAAGGGATTCATCGTTATCATGAGCAACTTCAACCACGAGCGCTTCATGATGGTTGCTGCTGTTGTCCGCATGTCAATGACCGTCGTCGAAGAGACTATGAAATGGTGCAACCAGCGCATTGTCTTCGGCAAGAAGCTGATTGAACAGCCCGCCATTCGTCAAAAGTGAGTCCCGTCAACTGAGAAAGGCTTTGAATTTACCTCTAACAGATAGCAGACTCGCACGCATGATTTCCCTGACCGAGTCAAATCAGGCCTGGCTCGAGTCCATCGCCTACCAGATGTGCAACATGACATACGCTGAGCAAGCCAAGCACCTTGGTGGACCCATCGGACTGTTGAAGTCTCATTGCACACAAGCTGCCGGTGAGATTGCTAGCAATGCTACCAACATCTTTGGTGGCCGTGGTATCACCCAGTCTGGAATGGGCAAGGTCATTGAGATGTTCCATCGTACTTACAAGTTCGATGCCATCCTCGGTGGAACTGAGGAGATTCTGGCGGATCTGGGAGTGCGCCAAGCGATGAAGAACTTCCCCAAATCTATGTTGTAAAGTTATCAAGGGCCTTTCAAGCGAAGATACCAATATCAATCCAATATATATTCCAGTGTTGAATAATAAATGGCCGCTTGGACAAAAGTAGCCAAGCGAAGTGGGGCAGACAGCTGTAACGGTGGATCTTTGTTCCGACGCCACAGCTCCCCAAATAGGATTAGCGTTGATATGAGGTCACGTCGGGCATGGCATCAGCTGCCTGTTGCCTTCGTCTCCTAACTTCTTTTCAGTTTTGATATCGAACATCATTCTCTGAGCATACGCGTATACATCAAAATGGTGACCACTGAAGTTCTTCATCGAGATCACGTCCTGGATCTTGCCGCGAGAGCTATCCAGCCAGCAGACGATAGCCAGCCGAGCCTCAAAACATCATATGAAGCTGTTGCTCTAATCGGACATGCATCCATGACAGCAGTGGGTTTCAAGCTGGTAGGCCTTGGAGAAGACCACAACTTAGGTTCGCACCTTCTATCCTTGATTTGAATATCGGACTCCGCTAACTTCTCCAGAAACATCTACAGATACACCCTCCCTCCCCGCACAATGGAACGCTAACGATACCTTTGCCTTTCGATACACACATGACCAGTCATCCATGCAGTACCTGCTTAAAGTGAGTCGACTGGGAAATAACGCTGTTGTCTTTGCGCTGGCCTTGGGTGATGACCGCACCAGCTCATTCGATCTCCCCGCCAAAGACTTCATCTCCGCATCTGCGCTCCCCCTATCATCCTCAGACAATGTTGCAGGCTCTCTACGGGATGTGTTCATTTCGCCAGCTCGTCTGAGCGATTTGATCGGACTGTTCAAAATCAACGTCATCCAGAAACTTGCGCCCGGGTTGCACAAAGAAGGCTACGAAGAGACACCCCAGGTTTCCAGAGAAAGACCACAGGAAGGAAGAGCCCAAGATCCTCTGCGTGATGATTTCCCTCAGCCTGCTCGTCCCTATCCGTTTGATGACCCTCTATCAGCAGCTCCTCGCCGCCCCAACCCTGTACCAGACTTTGCCCCGCCCGGGTTTGAAGATGAATTTGAGATCAACAGGCCTCCACGAGGATACCCAGCAGGACTTGGTGGTGGAGGCAGAAACCCGTACAATATTGGAGAAAGAGATCTTTACCCAGCTGGACTTGGACCTCATGATCCGCTCCGCGGATCCATGGGCCCTGGCTTTGGCCCCAGTGGCGGGGGAATGCATCCCACCTTTGATGATCCCCTCTTCGGTGGGGGTGGTGGTGTAGGGGGCTATGATCCCCGTGCACCACCTGGTGCTAGATATGATCCTGTAGGACCGGGTGACCCACCTGTTGGTCGCAATCCAGGATCATTCGGTGGTCGTGGACGAGGTGGGGGAGGGTTTGGAGGATTCGGCGGTGGTTTCGGAGGCGACATCATCTAAAAGTACTACCAGCCTTAGCCTAGGAAATGAATGAAATGCCCTGGCAATGAAATTACATGAAAAAACCCCCCAATAATCCCAGTTCATGTACAATGGCGTATGTGAGCGTTCCGTGTAGATGGTGCAGTAGGCGGTGTGGCTGAAGCTGTGGCGCTGTGCTTTCACCTCCCAACTTGACCTTCCCGAACTCCCATCTCTTCTCCCTTTCTCGCGTTCCCAAAGTCCATCTCCTTATTCCTTGAATTGCTCTGGGAAATCTTTTTAATTGAATTGCCATCTGGAGCGTAGTTTCCCCTCATTATTTCAACCCCACGATACCTGCGCTCATCCACCAAATCCGTTGTTTTCTCACGAGACCGCCCCTCCCCAGCTGGCCCCTCCTTTTCAGCCAGCTGTGCACACCGACGCAATGGATAACAACATGGAAATCGATACTGCGCGGTCCCCCGAGCCACACCACCTGTCGCCAACAAGCGACCCCGGGTCCATACCGACTCTGGACGGCTGGATCGAGAGTTTGATGACTTGCAAGCAATTAGCGGAGGAAGATGTGCGGCGCCTGTGCGATCGGGTGGGTTTCCTCTTTCCAGGCACTGATGAGGTCCCCAAATTGATTATGTGTGTGTCTTGCAGGCAAGAGAGGTATTGCAAGAGGAATCGAATGTGCAGCCAGTGGTATGTTGACTCTCGGTCGGGTTGTTGTCGTACCCGCCCAGCCCACTGACATACCCGACAGAAATGCCCAGTGACGGTTTGCGGTGACATACACGGCCAGTTCCACGATCTAATGGAGCTGTTCCGTATCGGCGGTCCTAACCCGGATACAAACTATCTCTTCATGGGTGAGTGTCGGTCGGATGACGGTATCGGGTACCCTTTCTAATTTTGCTCCTCCACTCTAGGTGACTATGTCGACCGTGGCTACTACTCCGTTGAGACTGTGACCCTCCTGGTCTGCCTGAAGATCCGTTACCCCCAGCGTATCACCATCCTCCGTGGAAACCACGAGTCCCGACAGATCACGCAGGTCTACGGCTTCTATGACGAGTGCCTCCGCAAATACGGCAACGCCAACGTGTGGAAATACTTCACCGACCTCTTCGACTATCTCCCCCTCACTGCTTTGATAGAAAACCAGATCTTCTGTTTGCACGGTGGGCTGAGCCCGTCCATTGACACCCTTGACAACATCCGGTCACTGGACCGCATCCAAGAAGTGCCCCACGAGGGACCTATGTGTGACCTGCTCTGGAGTGACCCCGATGACCGGTGTGGATGGGGAATCTCTCCTCGAGGTGCTGGATACACGTTCGGACAGGACATTTCGGAAGCCTTCAACCACAACAACGGCTTGACTCTGGTGGCACGTGCTCATCAATTGGTGATGGAAGGATATAACTGGTCGCAGGATCGAAATGTCGTCACAATTTTCTCAGGTATGACGCTCGTCGCTAGACTTGTCAGTTACAGAAAGACTAACCGGACTCGCAGCCCCTAATTACTGTTACCGCTGCGGCAACCAGGCCGCTATTATGGAGATTGACGAGCATTTGAAATACACATTGTGAGTACTGCTGCTGTGTATGCTACAAGACAACTGCTAATTACATTCCAGCCTACAATTCGACCCTTGCCCCAGAGCGGGAGAACCAATGGTATCCCGACGCACACCCGACTATTTCCTGTGATAGATTTCATCATTTTTGTCCTTCGGAAGGCAATTGGACTGGCGGAGAATGGGGGCTGCATACGAACAGGGCTCTCGCCTACTTAATTCTGTATGGTTCGATGCCTGGCCGCTTGTTGATACCAATGAAAATAAAACACTTGCGAGACCCAGTTCTATGATCTGTAGCAGTTGCCCGGGCCAGTTGAGTTGTTTGTGAAGAGAATACTGCATGATGTAGGTCAATACCAATATTTTCAAGAATGTTTAGATGCAATCTTCCGTGTAGAGGATAGAGTATGGCATAGTTTTCACATCATCCTATTAATGCCTAACGACAAAGACATAGATTAGTATTGGTCCTCTTGCCTATCCTACCATCAAACTCAATCATGCGCGTCCTATGATGAATCTAAATTATTTCATTATTTCACTAACTAATGATTGAAATAGGTCTTTTCTTCAACAAGATGTCGTTAATTTTGATTCTTCAACATACCCAAATTCCATTGGAAGGATGCATATATATTTTGATCGTCATGTTCTAGATCCCTCGATCTCTCTTCTTCGACTTCTTCTTCTTCTTCTTCTTCTTCTTCTTTCTTATCACCCCAGTCTTAGGAGATATGGGAATAGTGTTGGTCACAGCACAGCCTGACAGAAAGATCGCGTGTGTTGACTATAAAGAGCAGAATTGCTATGCGTACGATATAGAGAAGTTGTGTATATGTGGCCTCATCTCAAAACGGATCAGGTGCTGTGCAACTCAAATGCCAGTGCCACGATATGTGTCACCTACCCTAAGTATGGAAAAGCCACTACTGATGCAGTGTTCGTCATACACTATCAGTTCAAGCATATCGGTGTAACGAATATGATGCAATCATTGGCAGTGGACATTGCACAATACAATGGCGACGCTTTCCATGTAGCCAAAATCCGCTTCATATCGTGTCTACCGTCCAGGGAAGTACGAAACGGTCTATGTCTAGATCACCGCATTAAGTTTCCAGTGGTTGGTAGGGATTGGTCTGGAAAATCAAAGCCAAGAGATAACAAGAACTAAGAAACCATGGAAGGACATTTCTTGGATCCCAGATATTCTGGTAGTCCCAAGAGGGCTCAGCCGCATGTTCACGCTATCTGAAGAGTTTCTGCCTTGGTACCGAACCCGAACCCGAATACGAAGTAAAAATATATGAAGGTTAACCCCTTTCGAACAGCATGGAGTCAATGGTACCGTGCTTGGCTGCCTAATGATTGTGGCCCCTGGTCCCAACCTATAGACTTGGCTCTATGTATTACTGCAGCTCCGTGGGAGCTTCTGTCCAGATCTTGTGCTTGGCATTTGTGCTTGGCAGGCGCAGACGGCCACCGAAGATCAACTTTAGGTTCCTGGGAATATAAGGGCCTGATTTCGTATTCGGCTCTGGAGCTTGGAAGTCTAATCTACTTACTGAATTTTCCCTCGCATTACCAGAAGTCAAACGTATATAAAGGATGTAGAACGAGACCAGAATAATATGTTCATTATCAAGAACCACCGATTTCTGAAGCCAATTGAGTTGCAACTCAAAACCTCACTCTGTTCGAAAATGTCAACACTATCAAACATGGCCTTCTTTCGTTCTCAGCACAAGTTGAAGGTCCATTTAGCGCAATTGTTGTTGGTGATAGTTATTATCGCTCTCTCTGTAGCCCGGCTATTCCTTGCAGGGCGAAAGACGAGAACCAGGGCTAGTACTATGGGATTAGGAATGGTAAGAATACGCCCTACGAAATCCGTGCTTCTGATAATTTTATCTGACTCAAAATCTGGTATATAGGGTGCCAAATCGCTCGTCATTATCCTCTACCAGCTCTTAACCGGACATGTTTCTCGCTTCCAACGATGGGCAAGCCTGAAAGCATACCTCATTCTAAATTCGCTCGAGATCGTCTTTTGGGGCGCTGTGGTATTCCTCGTTTTGCAAGCAAATCTCCAGGTGTGCGTGGGCACAAGCTGCGCCCTTGGATGGGTGGTGATAGTTTTATCCGGAAATATGAAGTGAGCAAATTCGAAACAACGGGAAACTAAAGAATCATTCAGAAGAATTTACTGACAGAGAGAATTTAGTGCCCTTTCGGTCTACATGACTGTCAATTCCTACCTGGACTATCGTTACTACAAGACCAATGGCCAGCATCGAGATTCCACTATTAAACAGGAACTCCCGCTGCATAACACGAGTGACTTGAGTGCCTGAATGGAAAAACGAAAAATGTTCTTCAAACTTGAATCTTTCAGGCCCACTACCACACTGAAGTCAAAGCTGGATCGACGTTAGAATACGTTGAGCGATATGGCTGCGCCCTTGCCATATTTGCGAGTATTCCCGTTGGCCCTAATAGCATTTGCCTCTGATTATGCGCCAATTAGGGTCTAGGGATCACCGAAGCTTCACAGGGTCTTTCTAGTCAATTGCTATTCCATATATGATCATTCGTTATATCATGAAATTAAATGATACCTCTACAATATGTAACACAATATAGACACAGAGCGGAATATTAAACACCCGGTCCCCGTTTCTTTTCTTGTTTATTTTGGCTCAGCCAAGTCCCGGGACACACTGCTCTTCAGGCTCTCGAGATCCTTCTGGTCTTGCGCCCGAAGATTGCTTGCACCTCCTGCAGTCCGCATATCCTTCTCATTATCATCAGACCCTCTGTAATGGCGAACCTTCGAGCTTCCATTCGGAACAAAGAATCGTTGGTCTACACGACCAACCAAAAAGATAGCGACGACACAGATATCGAGGCTAAAATTGAAGATGTAGAAGCATGCCTTGCTGTGATACCAGGCAGGGTTCGTGATTGGACGGGGAGGCATCCACGCAGTACCAGCCCGGAATGAGGCGCCGAGGCAGAGCAATAAACCCACAAGAGTAACAAGGAGAACCTTGGCAATCCAGCTGCCGGAGCCGAACTCCTCGATCCGCTTCCTGTTTGGAGACAGGAGAACCAACAAAACCAGAGGAAGAGGCAGGAACGAGATGATGGCGAAGTATGTTACACCGTAAAGTTGAATATCACGATCGATACGGAGGGTGTTCGTGTTCAGAGTATAGGAGATCTGAACAACCACAGTGATGACCATGACAATTGTAACCGCAACAAGACCATAGACCAGCTTAAATGCCAATGACACAGGACGAGACCATCCTATTCCAGGGTAGACAGCCCGCACCATGCGCTGTGCGTACAGCAAGTTTAAGATGAATAGCAACAACACACCGGCAGCAACGAAGATCTGCGACGCAATGGCGAGACTGATATTTGTGACTCGGCAGGTCCAGGCAATGCGAATGATATTTGCGACAATGCGTGACATGCAGAAACCAAATGTTACGGCGGATGGGATGAACTTGTGTCCTCGTGCGAGGTTGCGGCGGAATAGGGTCATGTGAGAGGCGGCGCCGGCGATGAATAGGGCGAGGAAGATGGCGCATATTGGGACATCGACAGATACTGTCGGATGGCCGCCTGTTTGGGCCACTTTGGGCGCATATGGTCCTCCCATTTTCTATAGTGTTTTTATTAGACTAGATATAGCGAAAGGGGTCGGGATACAAACTCGAGGATTTTTTGCTGAGAACTCAAAATAGGTTGTCAATTGAGTCCGAGGGGAATGTAGAATAGGCTTGATGGTCAAGATAGACTTGAATCCGTGGACTTGCAATAAAATGTATAAAGAAATAGAGAAGTCTACATCAAGGTCTATATACCCAGCGCTCGGTCGACAATAAAAACTCCGTGCCCGAGGCTATTCTAGGAACCGGCGAGACACATGGATCGAAATTAGTAGGTAAAAACCTGCAGATCTGGCTGTTTTCAACATGATTTTACCCTGACCACCCTGTCTGCGGGCAAAACATAGACAAAGCGTGAGTTGTGGCTTTCGGTGTCGGGGGCTGTCGCGCCCCGGAACAATGAAGCCGGACGCCGAAACGCCGACCTCCGATGGGGTCAACATCTCTTCAATACTTTATATTGCTTCAGTCGCGATGGATGAGAACAGGAAAATATGAGACTTATCGGATTGCTAATGATTGCCAGAATTTTGTCAAGGGTCTCTGGCCTGCATCTCGATTTGTTTTCCCCTGGTGTGACTGTGGCTGACTTGGTTCTAACTCCCCTCTCGTACTAGCGCCTCATCGAGGTTGAGTCTCCTGTCCGTAGGTCTCCCTTTGGTGGCTGCATCTTCTGATATATATCTAATGCCTGCCAAGCTATTGAGCTCAAGTCACGGCTGAGCCTCAGACACCCCTGTCAGTCCCAATGGATTTCGTTGGCGCAACTGTTCAACTCGAGTTGAGGGCTTGGCACGCTACTACGTGAGATGGTGCCCAAAACTCCGACTGGAACAGTGGGCGTCATTAGACTTTCGTCTTCTTCGTCATAACCTACACTGTTTTGATTGTTTCTAATCCCGAGGTTCACATTGGATCTGACCGAAATAGATGACGTGGGAACAGCTGCAAATGTGATTGCAGTGATTGACATGACCATCAATGTCACAACGATTTTGTTCCAATACTCAACTGCAGTGAAAAACGTACGAACTATATCAGACGCTTAATCGGGGTCATAGAGGGTCTACAAGCGTCTCTCGAGGGTTCACAGAAATTACTCAAGACTCCAAATGGCCAAGGCTCAAAACTACACACTCTGTACGGGGCAAGCTCGACGATTGCTATGCTCAGCTGGTAGCAATAGAGTCAGAGGTGTCGAGCAAAATGCACAAGGAAACCAAAAGTGGAGCTTCCCGTTTGATGAGTCGATTTGGTATTAGTGCTCTGAAGTGTATCATTATGAACCTCGAGCAGATCGGGATACACTTTCCGCAGCGCTTACGATTGACCTAACCCTAGAGTAATAAATCTCGCCTTTAAGGCAGTGTCATCTATTTGGCTTACGCCGGGCCTCCATTAGGAAGGAAACGGCAAGAGTTTGATCTCGAATCAGACCCCCTGGAGAATTGGGCACGGCAATACTTCGTGACCAACCCGTCAACGTGGCTAAAATCACCGCGCTGGCCAAAGAGTTGGGAATTAATACACACTGCCTTCTAAATGTTATTTCTCAATGCTCCGTTTTTTTTATTATTATATTTTTACCTACGGTATATATCTGTAACTTCTTATAAGCCCCATGAATATAAGTTGGGCAATGTTAAAAGGACCCCCTCTTGTTGATATTCGGACCCCCTCTCCACCTGTCTAAGCCGAATAGGGAAGGCGTAGTATGTGTATTTCACGGTGTCTTTATTTAGTACAGTGACACAGCAAATATTTTAGACCGTTTTTAGACCCCCTACCATAAACCGAAGAGCAAGTCTATATCATCTTACTTTCTAAACGTTTTTGCTTTAATGAGTGCTTTTTATAGAAGTACTACACTGTGAAATACACATAGTAAGCCTTCCCTAATTAGGCTTAGGCAGGTGGAGAGGGGGTCCTTTTAACATTGCCCTTTAAGTTAGACTGTCTAGCCGTCATCTAGGATTCCAGTAGAATCTCTTCTCGCGTCGGATTTGTCCATTCCAATACCAACATTTCCAAGGTCTCTGTCCCGTCCAATGCCTTCTGAATGGAGGGTCACTTGAATAGGTTATTTTCCACAGCCGCCTGATTTGGGAAGGGGCATCTAGTTTAGTTTTCCAGGGTGATGTGCTTTTGCAAGCTGGTGGTGGGCCGAAATCTGACAGGGCGCTGAGAGCTTTGTGAATATGCGACAAGTTTTAGCTGTTGCTGTCGTCTGAAGAAGGTGCTCGATAAGTGTCAAGAGAAACCGGTGGTAGTCGACACCAGTTTCGGGAAGTACTGTACAGTACGATTTTGGAACACAAAGACCGATACGTCAGACGATATATACATTTTGAAATTTGCTGAGATATCTTCCCACTACCAAGAACTGTTAACCTTGGCTCCTTGTTGTGAAGACGATTCGTATTCCACAATCACATCGTCCGTCCGATGGATATGGCCCATAGAGAAAGTATTCTGCTTCCCAGATCCATTTGAAGGAAGTATGCTTTCTTGACTATCTTTACCCGTCACATTGGTGAGGTTGGTGAAGCCGAGGTCATCCTTGCCAAGTGCATTTGAATGCTTGTTGCGATTGTAGGAGGAGGGAGGGAAGCTATCGCTGCCTTTGTAGCGATCACCCTTTCCTTGGCTGTAAGAGCCGAACACTCGCTTTCCGAAGATAATTTCGAGGAGGGGTTGTAGGGTAGGGATGCAGGATGCTATAACGACGACGTTGGCTTCAATACTAAACGGAGAACAGTAGGTTAGAGCAGGTAAGAATGGAAATTCGGACTGAGATAAATACTTACTTGGTCCACATAACAAGGTCGGCAGTTCCATCTATTTTTGGTCAGTTATGGTTTGTTGCGAGATGAATAGAAAAGGACTTACATGTATAGTCGGATTTGTCGGCAAGACCATGAAGCTGGGTACACTTTATAATTGCCATAGCGGAAGCACTTTATCACCAAAACAGTCAGGCTCTGCCCCAGGAAGAATTAGTTGAAGAGATGACGACTTACATTGCACCAAGTCCCAAAGCAGCACAAAGCGCAATTCTCTTTCGTAGAGACATTTGCAATTTTAGCAGCACAGTGGTCGGGTAAATGGCCAGATATAAATCAACAAACGCTGAGAGAGCTGGTACAAATTAGTAATGGGGAGTTCAGAGGACATCCAAACAGACTCACCTCCCGTGAAGATAGCATAGTTGATGAGAATCCATGGACTCTTGCAAGTAGCCTCACCTTTAGCTACAAGTGATATCTGCCATAATGCCTTTGGCGGATCGCACATAGTGAACAAGATAAGAATGCAAATGATAGAGACTGTGGCCGCGCTTCCAACCAAGAGCCATAGTATAGCCTTGTGCACTCTCCCAGGATTCAAGATCCGGTTCAACATAGCCGTCACTGCCACCTTGGGGATAGTAAATGAGAGAATTCCAAACAAAAAGCTGACGGTATTGAGCAGAATGGCCATCTCTAGATCCTTTTCGTTCAAATAGTCAGCGTGTTGTCCATAGCCCACACTGACACCGGCTGTAGTGACACCACAATATGCAAGGCCGAATATCTAGCACAAATTGAAATTAGAAATGTCAAATAGAAATCAGATTGATTGAAGATCTTACCATGGAAATCAAAATCAAGTGGTCATCAATACCAAAGTTTCGCAACACTACCATCCGGATGTAAATCCTGGCCGAGACGATGAGGGTTGTCAGCCCAGTCAAAGTCCATAGAACAGCCAGGATCTTGGGGCCCTTATTATCGTAACGATTATCATCGGTAATCGCCATTGTGTCAAGCTTGATGCAGCAGGGCTCTGCGACGAGCTGAATGTTTATCGCAAAAAGAGTCGAAGCCCCCAGTTGAGGGCCAAGGAACCGGAGCTTACTTGTCTATATAAATCCATGCAGAAACGACCTGTCAACATTGACATAAGCACCAAAACTTCACACATTCGAAACCATTACAACGGAATCCTTCATGTTTTAAGCGGCGATGATCACCCTATTTTGGTAAGCTGCCGTGCATATCAATTCTAGACACCATGCCATCGTGGGGGTATTTACTTCTGTGTCCGGGATTTATCCCGTCGCTTCGTGGCCCGAAGACAGGGGCATAAAACCCCGTCGCTCTATTACTTGCAAGCGAGCAGACGCTAAAATTGTGGCGCCCGGGCCCACACTTCCAACGGTGATCACCCCATGTGAGCACGGAGAGCAAAGGCAGTCGGTTCATTCCGAATCGATCAATTCCCATATGTGAAGCCCAATTTTATCAATTCCAGGTTGGGGAAGAACGAGGATCAGGTTACACAATTTGTAGATTTTAACGTGCATCTAAGGATGTACATGTACACCTCACCATTGGTTCCCAGGGGAGAGTTGGGATTCAGGACGGATTCGAATCAATTGGCCCCCAAATTATCCCTGACTCGTAAAAAAGTTGGCAGCTGCCATGTTCGGATTGTGGGCCGCTAGAAGCCCTAGACAAAAGTACATATGCCATCCTTCCGGGCAGCCAACATGTGGATCAAATGTCTCCCCAAACCTGCTTGTTTTCTTTTTCTTTTTTCGGTGGCGTACTTGACTCTGGAACTGAAACGGTCACTCATTGGTGTCTGTATATTCATATGCACACGTGAAGGATATGTTGAGATTGGGATTGTTCTTTACCCCGGACCAACAGAGGGACTAATGTTAGCTCACAAGCTACGGAGGTAGCTACTTGGCAGTCTGTTGAATTCTGCAATAGACCCATCAGTGATGGTGTTAATAACAATTAGTCTACTCTTGTTAATATCCCTTATTCCTTAGGTTTAGTTAAGACTGAAGAAGTCGTTGGACAAAGTACATATACTTTACTAGTCTGTTTCCATAAAGGGCAATGCCGTTGAACTAGAACATCTCCCCACTCTTTTGGTTTTGGACTGGCCGAAGGATCCGGCATGGAAATGACCACTGGATGATCTTTATCAGAAGGGGTTCAGATTCGAGGCCCCGGTATTACCGTTGCACGGCTTTATTTAAAGGACGGGGACAGTGGAGGTATTTTATCCAGCCCCTGGGGAATCCTTGACTTGTATCACTTCTACTTTATTTCTCTTTTCAGCCCAAATTGATATATAATTCTTTTACAATGGCTGACGTCGCAACTCCTCAGTTGAATGGAATCCCTCATGTCAATGGGGACACCCACACGAATGGCAAGGCCCATGAAAATGGACATGCTCATATGGACGGGGCTTCCAAGGAAGCCTTCGTCGATGGGAACGTTGCAATCTCCGCAAACACCCCTGAGCTGGTTCCCGGTCTGGTTGAGCAAGTTGCTTGCCTTGGTAAGATTGCCAGCTTGCAAGACCACAAGGAACGTTCAGCCCTTTTGGACGCTGCTCGATCCCTTGTGTATGCACTTGAGACACCCCGGGAGGCTATGATCAGATACTGCTGGTCACAGGTAAGCTGCCTTTCTTTCAAATATTGTCACTTCCGTTTCTTCAACGGCTGCTGATATTGGCTTCACAGTCAACGCTCTATGCCGCTGTAGAGACCGGCGTTGACCTGGGTCTCTTTACTATCCTATCCAAGGATGAGAAGCCCAAGACTGCTGCAGAGCTAGCAAATGCCACAGGTGCTGATCCAGTCCTCCTTGGTATGTAACTGCAAATTATCACTATCTGCCCTGCTACAAATGATTGACTATCTATCCCATCAGCTCGTATCCTGAAGCACCTGTGCGCAATGGGAGTTATCCTCGAGACCGGCCCCAGCGAATACCGCCGTACAGGCCTCTCACTTTCGCTCTCTATGCAAAGATACAGTGATGCGTATCCCTGCATGTAAGTCCTATTCGATGGCCCTTCTACCAAAGGACAGTATGCTCACATCTCGAAAGGACAAACTGTATCACCGCCGGTGTCCTTGCCCTACCTGCCCAACTAAAGAAAGACGGCTACAAAAACCCATCCAACGGCAAAGAATGCGCCTTCCAGCGCGGATTCCAAACAGACCTCCACTTCTTCGAGTTTATGAAGGAAAACCCAGAAGCTGCGAGCCAGTTCAACAACCACATGACAGCCTACCACCAGGGACGTCCTAGCTGGATGGATATCGGATTCTACGATGTGGAGAGCCTATTTTCCAATGTTGGCCAAGACGATGTGCTCCTTGTGGATGTTGGTGGTAGTATGGGCCATGATCTCTCCGAGTTCAGACGCAAATGGTCTGGTGCCCCTGGCCGCTTGGTGCTTCAAGATCTTCCTGACGTTGTTGCTCAAGCGAGGACTATGCAGCTGAATCCCTCTATCGAGGTGATGGAGCATGATTTCTTTACTGAGCAGCCTATCAAAGGTATGGATTTTCTATCGTATTATCTCAACCGAGGTCAATGCTTACTATTTATGTTACAGGTGCTCGGGCATACTACATGCACTCCGTTCTGCATGACTGGACCGACGATAAATGTCGCGAAATCTTGAAGAACCTCGTGGCTGCAATGAAGCCCGGACACAGCAAGGTGTTGATCAATGAGAATGTCATCCCTGAGACTAACGCGTACTGGGAAACCACCAGTCTGGATATCATCATGATGGCCGATTTCGCCTCGGCGGAGCGAACTGAAGGCCACTGGCACAAGCTTGTTGAGTCGGCTGGTTTGAAGATTACGAAGATTTGGACTGCTCAGAGAGGAGTTGAGAGTCTTATAGAGTGTGAATTGGCTTAGATCGTTTAGCGATGAAGTCGGAGGAAGCTTCTTCGAAGAGATCTTGCTATATGCTTGTACATACATGTAATTTGAACATAGAATGTCCACGTGGATGTTACATATTGGAATTCATAGATCTGCTGCTATCAGAGATTCAAGTTAGAGGATATTACAATCCTCAATAAAAACAAAACAAAAATACACAGATTCGCTTATATACAGGATTCATCTCAACTATTCAATGGATAGACAAACCCTTAGCCTTTTTTGCCAAAATCTCCTCAACCTCCTTAGCATGCTTGGAGAAGTTGTCAACCAAGCTATCCCACATCTTAGGCTCATGCTCATGCTTCTTCTCACTGTTCCAAGAGTAATCCGTAATTGTGAAAGGACGGCAAGACTCAAACATGAAGGCGATAGATGCTTCGGAAATTTGCATCACAGGTGGCGGGTTCTCTGTTGCTGCTTTGAATTCTTCGTAGGCGACGCCGTGGGGGACCACTTTCCAGGAATTAGCATTCGATCTTGATAGATTATGGGAAATTGTAAAATTGAACATACTTCCGCATTCAAAGGATACACTGCCCGGCTTGAAGGCATCTGAGCGACCGCCGTAGTCGCCGTAGATGAGACCCATTAGTTCGGATGCAGCGTTGCGGTGGTAGTAAGGGGGTCGGTATGTGTCTTGGAATATGTTAGCAAGCCCGAGATCTTAAATAGAATAGGTCAACGTACGAGATGCAACGTCCCAACGAGGTTGGAAAGTAAGGAAATCAGCTAGCGGAGCATTGGGATCGCGAGACTTGGCCGTGAGAACACAGAAGATAGACGGATCAATGTGGTCAACAGAGATAGAGCCGACATTGACGAACTTGGTCAGATCGTATTTGTAGGGTACCTGAAAGAAGTTAGCAAACCCGAAAACACCCCGCAAAGAAGTATCACTCACATAGTTTCCATGCCAAGCCACAACATCATAAGGACTATGATTCTGCGTACTCTTGAAGAACTTTCCACCAAGCTTATAGATAATCTCCCAAGGCTCCTGAACAATCTCATATCTCGCAACAGGACTCAAAAAGTCCCGTGCATTAGCAAGCCCATTAGCACCAAGTGGGCCAAGCTCAGGAAGCTCGAATTGAGTTCCCCAAACCTCCAGTATATACCCTCGCGACGGCCCATCAGGCAGCTGAACACTAAACCGAATTCCGCGCTGGATGACGACAAGCTCACCAGGTTGCACGAACAATGGCCCGAATTCAGTCTGGATATCTAGCGCGCCTTGCTGCGGGACAATAAGGAACTCGCCGTCCGAGTTAACGAAAGCCTTCTTGTTCATGCTCGTGTTGGCTGTGTAGACGTGCGTGGCTAAACCTTCACGCAGAGTGGGATCGCCCGAACCGGCGACCGTCTTGAGGCCTGAAACAAAGTCTACTTCTCCGCTCTCTGGAATGTCGAAGGGGTGCCAGGCCAATTGTGTTGGAGAGACATGAATGCGCGGGTTCAGAGGTAAGAAGTTTGCCTCGGTATCTTTGTTATCGGGCATTTCAGTCTGGAACATATTGTCAGAGGATATGTGAAACGCATGAATAACATGGCATCAGGTACGTACGAAGCCCTGGTGGGCGACAGCAGGACGGGCGCGGTACAGCCACGCCTTCTTATTACTGTGTCGGGGAGCGACAAAGGCTGTAGCAGTCATTTGCTCGGCATAAAGGCCGAATCTCACGTTGCGAGGACTGTTCTGGCCCTGTGGAATGGTGCCAGGAACTGCTTCAGAGACGAAGCTGTTTCGTGGTTATACATCAGCCAGTTGAATCGCTAGATGTAGGTGTTGGATACATACGTATTGCCGAAGCCGGCTTGATACTATGTAAGTGTCAGTGGGAGTTGCAAGTGTGGTAGACTGAAATGGGAAGGGATATACCTCATAAGGATCGTTACGTCTTGTGTTGAAGGAAGGGATGACTCCATCCTTCTGTGTTTCAGCCCAGTGGAAGATCTTTTGGTATTCCTTTGGGTCGGACAAGGAGTCGGTTGAAGGCATGATGATAGATATGGCCGAAAGGCACGATACGATATGAACAAGGTAAGGAATAAGTGATAAGTCTGATTTCTCTGAAAGTGGTTCAAAATCCGGGGCAGCAAGACACCTATATACTCCAAAGCGACCAGACCAACCTATGGGGTTAACACGGACGCAATAACAAGAACACGAACATCCAAGCCCAAAGCACAGAGCATAATTGGATCCGACTACCCGGGGAGAGCCAACGGCAAGACACGGATGTCGGATGCATTGTCACGAAGCTGCGTAGTTGATGCCATGGAAACCTAAAAACGGCGCATCAATCTATATATCGGCAGTGCGAAGGCCATTCGAAATGCCGACCTCCCGGGCGGTGGACCAGACACGCAATTTGACTGGTGGAGACGAGCGAAGTAAATATTGAGGTTGAGAGTTTCGTAGGCCACGGTGTTGGCTGCGACGACCCCACATGAGTCAGGGCTGAGTAACAGAGGCGATCTGTGGGGGGGGAGGTTGGCCGATTATAGCGTTGTTTTACGGGATTCAGATGGATTCACAACTGCCGATGTAGAATGTGCATTGTAGAATGTGAACTTCATTTCATGGTGATTTTAGTCGTGCAAGGGCAACTGGCGAGAACTGTACTCTTATAGGGAAGAAACAAGATATAGCTGAACTAGGTCAAATTCACTATACGACTGTATACTTCTATTCTAATTCAACAAACTGATCCGCCCTGCCGTCAAAGCAAAGATAATAGGCATATACACACTTGCACCCATTTCCTTCAGAACCTTGCAATGATCAACTCTCCGACGAGCAGCAAACTGCACTTCATCAATCTCCCTGCACTCGCCAACAGGTCCAAAAGCGAACCTCTTGTCAGCATCCCACGGCCCATCTCCATTAACAAACTTGATCCATCGCTGTCTCATCTCCTGTCCAACCGTACTAGCAGCAGGATTGAAAGAAAGATCGACACCTTCAAAGAGGAACAGTAAATCAACCGCGTGGTGTGCACGACTAGATGGTTGCCAGGGATTCGGCTGATCAACGACGTATTTATAAACACGCTTGTTGGCAGCCTGCAGTTTATTGGCAACTATTTCAACGGGAAGAGTATAGCGAACATCGTTCACAAGATCCAGAGATCCAAGCTTCGCGGCAGTCGGACGATCAGCCGTGACGTGGTACATCTTGCGAAGCTGAGTCCCCCGTTCTTTGTTGCTGTCAAATGCGGCTGCAATTGTTTCTCCGTCCAGGAGTTCGACACCGTTGCGCCAGATAACGGACTAGATCCTTCATTAGCGAGAATCATATAGCCCAGTGGGTTGGAGTCTACTCACCTCATACTCAGTATCACCGATCATCAACTCATCGACTTGTTCCGGTTTAGTCTCCCAACCGGCCAACTCCGGCTCTTCCTGGATCCACATTGTGTTCACATTACACTCTCGCAATGCTTGAACCAGTATAGGAACAGAGGATTGTCGCAACGAAGGCTGTCCAAGCTCTTGAACCTTTGCTTCAAGCACTTTAATGAGCCCATCTCCCTTTTCCACTGGTAACGGAGAAGAGAGATAAAGGGTGCCGGATGCCAACACTGCCCGTTTCACTGGAGGGCCAGTAATGAGATGAGCGTGAGTATAAACGGCACCAGCACTTTCACCCGACAGGGTGATATTTTCCTTGGAATAATTAGAATCGCGGTTTTGGTAGTTGTGATAAGTATACAACTCACAGGATCACCCCCGAAAGCAGCAATATTCCGTCTCACCCAGTCAATACCAAGACGCTGATCTTTCAGAGCCAGATTCTTCTCTTTGCCGTCTCCAAAACTGAAGATATTCAAACGGTAATTGATAGAAACAAAGATCAGCGGCTTTCCCGCCTTGATTGCGTCTGCGACAACCTTGGTCGGATCGCAGATCTTCGAGGCAGCAGAGCAGAAAGTGACAATCTGAGACCCGCCGTGAATCCAAACTAGCACTGGGAGAGGGCCAGCATCAGATAACTTGGGAGGACATGTGATTTCCAAGTTCAAACATTCAAACTCATTCTCTGGCTCCGGGACAATAGTAAAGTCCTCCGGGATTCGGAGGAGATGGCGAACATCCACATCAGCTTGGGGACATCTCGGTCTAATCAGAGTTAGCAGATAAGTAAATTGTGAGAATGGGTTTATTGCGCACCCAAATTTCGAAGCATCGATAACAGCCCCATTGAAACTATTCACAGGTTCCGCTCTTTCAAACCGTGCCGGAATACTAGCATATTTAATACCGAGAAATTGATGAACAGGCACATTATGATCATCTCGTTGGGTTCCCTTGAATGTGGCATTCAAGCCTTGGTGCTGAATCTCCGGGGTCGTCATGGTGTCGTATATGGAGTTGGTATGGATGTGGCAGTATGGGGATGGGGGAACATACCCATAGATAGGGCTCACGGCTAATGTCGAGTCGACAATTCCCGAGTTCAACGCCCAAAATTGCAGTCAGCAATCGGTCATCATGGGGAATGTGGGGAATGTGGGGTTCGGATGTATAGAAGTGGAAGTGTAGTTAGGTAGGTACTATCGATCGACAGCTTTCTAATATCTCGGTCATGCCGGAGTATCCGAGGTGCATGGATCGGCGGTTGATCACTTGGACTGGTGTCGCGCTAATGCACTTGCTCAGCGGGCTTTCAAGCCTGGTACATAGAGCTTGGCAACTAATCACAATTGACCTTAAAATGTATAATTTCATTTCAGAGGTGAGATATTATTTTATATTAATGGTACGGAAATCTGCATATATATAGTTTGTGTATACAATTTCCCAGCTATGGGGAATCACTCTCGCTGATCGGAGTTTCTTCCGATGGCTTAGGCTTCCGCAAGATCCATCCGCCAAGGAACAAAAGGACTGGAAGCGCCGAGACACCAACAATCAGGCCCATTGCCCAGCCCATAGTCCCCCAACCAGCCTCTTGTCGAATAAAACCAGCGAAGAATGGCCCAATGAGACTTCCAGCCGCAAAGCCCATATTGGAAAGACCAAAAGCCAGAGCCATAGCTCCACCACGGCCAAAGATATCCGGTGTTTCATCTTCCTTCTCTTGCACGGCATAGAAGACTTCCGCCACGATAGGAGGCATAGCAACCGCGAAGCAGAGACCAAGAAGAGCAAGAAGAGCGCACAGCAGAATCTTATGTTGCATGGTGTTATCTATGACGAGACGCAGAAGTGTCATCACGGGAACAGAGGCAAGGAATACTCCTGCTGTAATGTAGCGAGAGGCCCGGGGGAATTTGTCGATGACGTACCCGGTTACAGGGTCCAGGAAGTGTGGTACCATGAGTGGGATGAAGATCAGTCCTTGGCCGGTTTGCTTCCAATCGAATGTCTCTTGCACATATAGTGGGAGAACACTGTCGAAGGAGGTCAGGACAAGGGATATGATGAAGTATCCCCACAGGGAGACGATAAGACGGGGCGATCTAAGTAGAGTGCCAACACGGTGCAGGGCACTTCGTGAAGGAGGCGATTTGGGCATTGTATCGGTATCAGATATGTTGGAGGCTGAAGAGCTTCGAGTTTCTTTGTGCTCTTTCTCGGTTTGCTGTCCATTCGCAGACGAGGGTCTCTGCTCCGGCGCAAGCCATTTGATCGCATGTCGTCGCTCGATCAGAATCACCCGGAGGAAGATATCAACACCAATGAGTCCAAAGGCAAGGCCAAAGACAGCATAGTATCCACCATTTTGGTATAAAACACCACCGAGCAGGGGACCAGCCAATGTCCCAACGCTAATACCCATAGATACATAACCAATAGCCTGGCCCAGATCCTCTTTACCAACAGTATCAACCATCAGCGCAAGACCAACAGACCAAACCACGGCAGCAGCAGCACCCTGAAACAAACGACCAGCAATCCACAGCCCAATATTCGTCCCAACACATAACAAAGCCGTAGCAGCGCCCAGCGCCACCAACCCAATTAACAGTGGCCATCGACGTGACTCGGATCGATCAGCCAGGTAGCCAACAATAGGCGAGAACCCCAACAACGCAGCCGAGTACAGCGCAAGAAGAATAGAAGTCCAGCTTTGGATACTGCCCTCCGACAGCCCCACTCTATCCTGCAAGGCCGTGGGCGTGACAGGGACGATCAGCCCATACATGAAGATATCCGTTGCCGCAGCAAACGAGACAACGAACATGATGAACCATTTTGACGACCGCAGCTCAACGAATCTGGGCCGTGTCGCGCTTTGAGAGGGCCATATGCCCATGGCAGGAAAGATGATTTGTGGCGGAGATTGGTTGCGGATCAGCTTGCCGCCACATTAGAGAAATTTGCAAGGGGCCTTCGGGAATGTCGGAGATTTTATGCAGGAATGTCGAAAGAGGTGGGAGAATTAGGTGCGCGGAGCTTGATTTTATGGGAGAATTGCTTGATTTTGAAATCTCAGATGCGAAATCTTGTTCACGGACGCATTTCATCTCCGATCGGGGTCCGCGGATCCCGAGTGAGAGGCGTGGAGGTCTTGGCATATTGGAAAGAGGCGTGGATATATTGGCAATTTTGTGGCTGGGATTGATTATATGGCCTATTTGATACAATGTATAGTCAAGTGACAAGAGAATTACCATGTCCACGCGGAGCATGGTGAGTATTTCCAACCGAACGGTCCTAATTAGTATCTATACAGCGAGTAACAATCTATAAAAACACAACACCAACACAACACACATGCAACCGAATCACAGACGAGCCTTAGGGGCCTGTTTCTTCAGCATGGCCTTCAGCATCTCCTTGACCTCCCTGCGCAGAATCTTGCCACTGGGACTCTTAGGAATCTGCTCAATGACAATAATACCACCACGCAGCCGCTTGTGATTAGCAACACGCTCATTCAACCAAGCATGAATACCATCAACAACAACCTTTTGCTCACGGTCCTTCGCCCGGCGGTTAAGAACAATGAACCCAACCGGCAACTCAGTGGCGCGCTCGTCGACCCACATTCCAACGACGGCCGCATCCTCCACGTCAGGGTGATCAGTCAGCTTGCCTTCCAATTCACTCGGAATGACCTGCAGACCCTTGTACTTGATCATTTCCTTGATGCGATCGTGGATAGTAACGTAGCCCTCATGATCGATAGTTCCAATATCGCCAGTGCGGAACCATCTCGTTCCATCCTCATCAATATGGAACGCACCCGCAGTGGCCTTTTCATTGTTGTAGTAGCCCATCACGACGTTCGGGCCTCGGCACCAGATCTCCGCAGGCTGCGTTGACCCGTCTGCGTTGGTCGTAGCATCTTGCATGGTGTCCGCGTCCACAAAGCGGAATTCCATGTTCGGCGAGATGTTGCCGACGCCTGTGTGGCGCTTGTCCATGCGGTCATTCGGGAAGGTCGATGCCAAGGGCGACGTCTCGGTTAGGCCCCATGACTGCGTGCAGAAGACCTCTGTCTTGCTGATTTCTTTGAACTTGGCTTCGAGGGCGGTCGATAGTTCGACTGTGAGGGGGGCCGCGGCGGACATGATGCGCCGCACGCTGGTAAGGTCGTACTTGGACACCCGCTCGTCCTTGACTAGCATCAGGGCGATAGGGGGCACCACGGACAGCTCGAAGGGGCGGTACTTCTCGATGCAGCCGAGGAAGACGTCCAGGTCGAACTTGGGCATGACTACGACTGTCGTGCCCCAGATCAGACACTGACAGATGAACAGGTTCAGGCCGTAGATGTGGCTGAAGGGGAGGAAGGCGATGGCAGAGTTGCGCTCGAAGCGCTGGGAGGGGCTTCCAGATTCGAGCATGTGAGCGCGCCATTGTTGCAAGTTGGAGGTCATGTTCTGATGAGTTGTGATGACTCCCTTTGCTGGGCCGGAGGTGCCAGAGGAGAAGCAGACGAAGGTTGGTTGGCGGGCGGCCTCGGATGGGTTGATCGAGATCAGGTCGGCTTCGGCGAAGGTGCTGGCCATGTTTTCGCAGGTGACATCGCCATTAGCAGGTGTGCCATCCAGCAAGACAATTCTCTCGACGGATGTTCCCTTTGCTGCCTTTTTGGCAGTTTCCAGCAATGATGAGTGCACAATGACGAATCGCGCACGGCTGGTGTTGAGCTGGGCGTTCAGCTCGAGTGCGGTCAAGGCTGCGCTGGTTGGTGCGACGATTCCCCTTGAGCCGACGACTGCATGGCAAGCAATGGGGTATTCAATAGTGTTGGGGCTCAGCAGGGCCACCACATCGTTCGGCTTCAGGCCAATGCTCTGGCGAAGGCCATTGGACAGAGAACGCGTGCGCTTGATCACATCGCTGAAGGTATATTGTTTTCCAGAGACTGCGTCGATGTACAATGGACGGTCAAGAGGCGTGTTTAGAGGATTGGAGAAAAGGTAGGACACCAGATCGACAGATTCGATGTTGAGGTCCGGATAGGACGAGCGGTAGACCGTTTTCGGCATTTTGAGAGCTGTGAAGCGAATAAAACAGTGAATAAAAGCTCAATTGAGGTGCTCAAGAGGTAATATAAGTAAACATGAAGCTATCAGGGGGCAAGAAAAATCGGCAGCTGGGTCTGACGATCTATTCCATGACGATCTATGTTCCGTAATTTATATGCGTTTCCATACTCTGATTGGCTAAACTCAATCGGCCTCGGTTAGATCACTTTTCAAGGTTTAAATCACCTCGGCCTCGTCTTTGCCTTGGGTAAAGTTGTTCCAAGGCTATGGTTCGGATATATCTCATATATATGGTTTGGAACTGCCACTTATTTGTCTCTATTTGCCGATTTACATAAACCACTACATGTACAGCTGAACCTCACCGCGCCGTGCTCCACAATTCGCGTGACTGGATCGCGGATCTCAGCGCGCCACGGTTCGTCGATTTCCCGTAGCTATTGGTCACTTGTGAGGTATCATCCACTTGATTTGTCTCTGTTTCCTGTTTCTGGTGTAGACTGCCCCTTCCCCTTTTCTCCTGGACCTGTCCACTACATACCTTGACCCACTTTCTGCCTCGGACTCGGGCACTTTACAAAAACAAATCAATTCTAACATCATATTTCATTTCATTCCTCTGGGTATATCTACCTGTTTCTGCACAACAGCTACCCAATGATATTCCCACGATCTCATCTTAGAACCATCTCGAATTGTAGTATTTACTAGCATACGGACAATAAGGAGAAAGAAATAAAGAAAAACAAACAATATGACCATTTGACAGCGATCCAAAAAAGTCCTAGCCCCGCAAGCAGAGCTTAGACCAGCACTACCTAACCAGGTCAGATCACTCTAAAGTCGTCAATGCGTAATCATAGCATCAGCATGTCGAGAGACTAACTGTTGCAACCATATCTCGACTGGCCCCCGGTCGACTGAGGAGAGGTAGAAGCTCCAGGAAATGGGGACAGTGTGGAGAAGCTTTCAGTCGTTCCATTGGCGTCAGAAGAACCACTCAACGAAGTCCCAGCCAGGCGGCCGCTGATTGAAGAATACACCGACGCCCATTGAGTGTTGGGACGACCGTATGGAGGACTACCGATGGGACTACTCAAGGAGCTCCCTGTCGGACTTCCAAAAGAGCTGACTTGGAACCGTGCTCCCGGCGAATTGCTAGTCGGACTTGCAACGGAATACATGTAATCAGGCGACAGAGAACCAGATCGCGTGGGGCTGCCCACTTGACTCCAACCCAGCGGAGTACCATCATCGCTATCACCACAGCACACAGGACGCCAGTCCATCTCGACCGAAAAATCCCACTCAAAGATCTTCTTCTAGAAAGACTGTCGTCCAACCACCCTAGCCCAGAAGAAATCCTTTTCGTCAAACTCTGTTATGGCAGCGGTTGCCTGGTAGCATTCTTCGTGGAACTTGGACAGGTCCTGCTCGTCCATTGTTGCTATTTTTCTGCAAGAGCCTTCTATGTATCCTGGGGCGTCTTTGGGGTTGGGGCCGTATGCAGCGGAGTATTTTCTTCTGTTGCGAGTTTCCGGTGCCATGAAGTGTGTCCAGCCATGTCTGGTGCTTGCTTCTGTCTCGATGTAGAACCCTATAGTGTAATCGAGAGATTCGCTTGTGAAGACGTTGAAGCGCATGGCTGCAGAAGGCCTTCCAATGTTGTATGTGATAGATAGATTGATTTGTAGATATCCTAGAAATATACGGTAATTATGGATGTTTATATAGCGTATTGGTCTACCGCAATAAACCCAGTGGAGATGGCTGGTCAATAGCAATCTAGAAAGAATGCAGCTACCGTGAGATTGTAGTCAAACAAAGTCTTTGTAAAAGAGTCATGATCGTTCCTTAATGCAGGTCTCAGCTGATGCTTAGTTTGCACAAAGCTATTATAATGACAAATGGTTTGATTATGTAGATTGATAGAATGAAGGACTTGTATTGTAGGAGCTTCCTGTCCCTTGCAGCAAATGTCATGACTTGCAAGGATATAAAGAGACATAGCATGCTCTATGTAATTTAGCTATCACCAAAGGAAAAGAAAGAAAAAAGCCCTTAGACAACAATTCCCTCAAAGCTGCTTAAAGATCCCCTTCTCAAAGGCCAATTTCTCAACATCCTTAAGCCAATGCCCACAGCGATATAGCGGTATATCAGGATACAACCGCTTACCACCAAGTGTAACCTGAGGCCGCGGGGGCGGAACAACCAAACAGCACTCCTCACCAAAGCGATCTAGATCTCCCTCGTTGATCGTGGCTATCTTCTTTTGCGAATCAGGAACATATTCTGGTAATCCCTTTGGGTTGCAGGTTGGTCGGGGTGTGTAGTCCATGCCGTTGAGGATTGTTCCTGTGACGTGGTGCAGCCAGCCGCTGTCGGTGCACGGGTCTGTTTCTATGTAGATTGCTATGTGGTTTCTGACGCCGACAGATTCGGTGGTGAAGACGTTCAAGGACATGTTAAGTCTTTTTCTTAGGCGCTGCGATGTGTGTGTAATAGAGGGGATGAAGAGGTAGGGAGGTTGGAAGTTGCGACTAATAGAACAGGTACGTGTTTCATTGAAACCCGAGCGCGTGGTTGATGGTCACGCGTGAAATATGTCTAAGTGGGCGAAAACATATCCTTGCTATCCTGATATATTTGATAGAGAGATATGAAGAACTTCAAAGAGTCGACGACGTAGGTTTTACCGGCCCCTCCCAAGGGATATTAACAGCAACTAGGTAACATCTGCAAAATTGCAATCCGTTGGCTATATTATTGCCCTTCTCTTAGGTATGGCCTGTCTGACCCTTACAAGCTCCATAGCTATGTTTTGGCAATGCAGTACAATTATGAGGTAACATGTAGTGCAACTTGAGATTACCTTGTACCCTGCAGATGGAGATCTAATCTTGAGGTGTTCAAATAATATGAACAACACAGGGTCTTCTTGATTATTGATGTGTGTCTCATATCTTAGTATCTACTACCAATGTATGCTATGTCTTTTAATAAGAAATCAAACAAGATGTAGAATATATCGAGTAAAATTGCGAGGTGTGCAAAAGTCAGAACGCCTTCAGGAATTTTGCCATGTATGCAAGATTTTCGTAAAAGTGATTTCCAATGTCTCACGTTTTGGTAGGGGTTACCAGCGGCTATTCAAGATTGAAAGTTCATGTTGTAGCCACCGGTCTTGGGATCCTGAACGAAGTTGAAGTTATCGGTAGACAAGCCAAATGGCTTCAAGATACCATTTCCGAGCTGTAAGAAGTCAGCATTTATCTTTAATTCTAGCAGAAGAGCCATGAGAATTAATAAACTCACATCCTTCAGCTTCCCCATCATATCGCCCATCTCCTTCTCCCGCGCCTGGTTGATCCGCTCAGGCAATTCTCGCAGGGCCCGCTGTACGATCCGCTTGTCATCTGCAGGAAGATTTTCCATCCCAGAAAGAGTCTGATAGTCTTCTGCAGCTCCTTGCAAGCTGCCCCAACCACCGATTTGAGATTTCGCCTTCGCGCGTCTCATGAGTGACTTGGCACGGATCCGCATCACATTACTTCTCTGCTCGTCCTGATCTTTCAACCGTTGTAGTTCCTTCTCCTCGGCTTCTTCGTCGTCTCCCGATATTTCCACCACGCCATCTGTGTCCTTGTCGGAATCCGAGGCTGTCTTTCCCTTCGAGTCGTCATCCTTGACCTGTGAAGTCGGTGGGATAACCTTGTCTAGGCGCTCAATAGAAACGGTCGCGGAGTCTACCGCAGCTTTCCATTCCTCCAATTTCAAGTAACAGGCGGCGATGTTACTGTGCAGCACGGCGACATCGTAGTCAAGGTAACTCGGGCATGAAGCGAGCGCTCGGTCATAGCAGGAGATCGCCTGGTCATAGCTTTTCGCGAGAAATAGCTGATTCGCTTCTGTTTTGATCTCCTGGGATTCCTTCAGGAGTTGCTGTTGTGAAGATTGCAGTTAGCATGTAACTCCGGTCTTGACGGACAATCACCGGACTTACGGCTTCCTCCTCAGCGGGGAAGTGGGCATCGTGGAAGACATCTTCGTCGCCACTATCATCGGCATCGACTGGGTCACTGCGCTCGGGCGCATTGGGATCAGGCATGATGTGAGGAAGTGTTGAGGGCCACACCGGTTGCTGCCAAGGGCCAATCACGGGACTGATAACGATTCCCCGCGCTTATCGGCCTGTCAACATCCCACTCGAACAGCTCTGAAGTCCTGAACATATACATAGCAATGGCTTCCAATGAGTGAGTGATCTCCTGTGTGAAATTGCGACTTCAGTTGACGATGAAGTAGCCTTCCCCGCATCCGAGCATGTCTCTTTGACATGGATGGCCTGTTGATTGACTCAGAGGACCTGTACACCGTGATCACGAATGAGATCCTGCAGAAGTATGGCAGGCCATTGCTGCCCTGGTCAGTCAAGGCCCAGATGCAGGGTCGTCCTGCACCCGAGGTCTGCCTACCCCATCTACCCATATAGACATACATCTAACATCAGCCGCAGGCCAGCAAGATCTTCCACGACTTCGCCCAGCTCTCCATCTCAGAAGAGCAGCTGAACGAAGAGCGCTCCGCCCTCCAGCGGAAATACTTCCCCAAGTCTCAGCCCCTGCCGGGTGTACGCACCCTCCTCTCAAATTTGGCGTCGACAAAGTCAACCGATGACCCCGTGTACATCGCCCTGGCCACATCATCCCACAGGGGCAATTACAAACTGAAAACCGACCACCAGACAGAGCTATTCTCCGTCTTCCCGGAAGCGAACAAGGTGCTCGGCGATGACCCACGCATCGGCAAGGGTCGCGGCAAGCCCCTGCCTGATATCTACCTGCTCGCGCTGGAGACAATTAATGAGGAGTTGCGTAGTCAGGGTAAGACGGAGATTAAGCCGGAGGAGTGTCTTGTCTTTGAAGATGCTGTTCCTGGTGTTGAGGCTGGTCGTCGGGCTGGTATGCAGGTTGTTTGGTGCCCGCACCCTGGTCTTCTGGGGGCGTTTAAGGGTCGGGAGGAAGAGGTTCTTGCTGGTGCGACAGGTTCGCATAAGGAGGAGGAGAAGGGTGATGCTGAGAAGGAGGCTGAGCAGCTTCAGGCGTGGCGTTTGCAGGGTGCTGGTAAGCCTGGCACTATTGGGGACGGGTTTGGTCAGTTGTACTCGACGCTGGAGGACTTCCCGTATGAGAAGTATGGGATTCGGATTCCTTGAGTATTGTTTTATAGAGAGAATTGGTTTAGATGTAAAAATCCAGACTATTTAGATTCTATTGATTCACTGGCTAGATTTAGCTTGAAGCATGCTCTCATAGCTTAATGGCAACGTTCAGTTCAATCTCACGTTGCTGCGTAATAGAAATGTTTAGAAGCCTTCAACGGATCTTCAGAGGAGCCCGGCTCCATATTCAGAAACCTCCGTACCTATTCCGACTAGCTGGATGCTATGGCCTCACGACTTTCGTCTTGATGACTAGATTCTCTCTCAGAGTACTCCCTGTCATCCAACTCATGATCGACGTCAGACTCTGAGTTTAGGAATGGCATAGACCAAACCTTGAGGCTATTATCAACGTTCCGAGCATTCGTCACCGGACTATCCTCGTCAGCAGAGCAATAATCGTGATCATAATGTCGTTGCCCAGAGCATGTCGCAACAACATTGCCCATAGGGTGAAGAACGGTGCTGGTCACAGCATCTATCAAAAATCAGCACTGCACACCAACTTCAAAGGAGTGAGAACGACTAACCCTCATGTACCCTGAACTGCCAATCAGGATCCTTTCCCCCAGCCGAGAAAATAGGATCCCTCCAAACCCTCATAAACCCATCTGTCCCCCCAGCCCAGACTTCATGAGAACCATCGGGACCAGAGGGGACAACATCAATCCTCATGCGCTGATTAGTGAAAGCCTTCCGTCCGCGCAGGTGACCAAGCATCTGGCCAAGGACACGAATATCATAAACCAGCACACCGTCACTCTTGCGCTCAGCGATATATAGATACCTGCCACAAGGACTCCAAACAAGCTGGGTGACGCCTCGACCACCGATATCGCGATTCGCTTCTGTTTTGGCAATGCTGAACGTCCCCAATGATTCCCCAGAGCCATTCGAGCTGTAAAGCCCAATGTTTCTGGTAAATGTGCCAGCAGCGAGAACTCCATCTCCACTGGGATTGACTGCCAGCGCTGACACAATGCCCTTCATACCGATGCCGCCGCCGACGATTTGCTTGCGCTTACTGGGGATTGTTGGGATTGATGAAATAGGGCCTTCGTTGCCTGATCTCGATATGTCGAAGAGGGAGATGAGACTGTCTGAGCCTGTGAGGAAGTGTGTTCCGCCTAGGACAGACGGGTATATCATTGAGTGTGGGGTTATGTAGGCCTCTGTCATTGGGTTTACCAATGAATAGCTTGCCATGTTTGTTGGAGCTAGGGCTGATGAGAGGCGGATTGGGTGGTCTCGGACTGAAGATAGAAATAGAGTTGTTGATGGATCCGAGAGGTTGTAAAATGGGTAGATAGCTGTTGAGTAGGTTGGTTCTGCTGATGGTAGAGTTGAATATGGTGATAATTGGTGGACTTGTTTGTTCTCTAGTAGATCTGGTGGCCTATTGCAGTGTCAGATGAATAGTTAAAAGTGGGATGGTATGTGAACCGACAGAATGTATGTTCTGATACAGTGATCTGCTGAGTCTGTCAACAGAGTTGTGCCATCTGGAGTCCTGTTTTGAATTGAGCACTACTCCTGATATATAGAATGTAGGATAGCTGGGTACTAACCATTCTGCGCTCTTGTAGAAGTTGCAAGCAGGATCCAGACTAGCTGCCTTGTAATCATCTTCAGGTTCGCTTTTGATTGAGGCAGAGATACTGCGCAAAAACGGCGGCGAAGAGTTTGGGAACGGCCCTGTTTCAAGTTGGGGCTCCGTCGATGCTACGCAGACTGGCGTCCACGGTTTGGAATCATCGTTGATCATGGCGAGAAGCCTTTTGAAAACCAATACAGCCCCGGGTAAATGTCCTCAATGGCTTGTTGAGAGACTCAAGCTCAATGATACATGTACATTGTTTCTTTTGGTCTCAGGCACGAGATACCAGAGCAAGTACGTTAAGCCTGGTTTAGATGTCGGCACCGCAACTTCTTATAATTCTGGGGTCATAGCCAAGCTATTTATCGCATGTCAATAGCAGAAACAACCAGAATGCAGTCTCTCACATAAACTGTTCATTGATGTCGAAGTGACTTATATACCCGGACCGGAGAAACCATGTGCCGAGAAGCTTCCCGCAAATCGCAATAATTGCGACGCAAAGTATTGACAGCTATTGTCTATTGCCTATTGTCACCCATTCAGGATGTTTGCTCCAAAGACATCCGCGCCTGCCACAGGTGGCCTGTCTATAAGTACCGGCGGCACCAATTCTTTATTGTTAGTGCTCCCACATTTCTTTCTCTGTCTGTATGCTGGGGAACGTACCAGACTGGATGCCAACCCCTTGCTCTGATTCATTCGATCGATTGTCATTCCATCTCTTCCAGCGACCAGTCGCGTCTCCCAGCTCTCTACAGCGGAGCCATTTTGATCTCACCGAGAAAAAAGCTAACCGCAAACTCCTCAGCGGCAATACACAAAGCACAACCACGCCTGCTGCAGGCGCAACAAATACGACCGGCGGTCTTTTCGGAAACACCTCGACGCAACCCAAACCTGCAGGCAGCATGTTCGGAGCTGCGGCCTCTCAACCAGCACAAAACGCCGGTGCCCCTGCCACGAGCGGGGGCCTTTTCGGCAACACAACAACCACACAGCCCCAGACAGGCAGTTTGTTTGGCGGAACACTTGGGGCGGGCGCTGGCGCTGGCACCAACACTACTCAGAGCGGAACTGGCTCCAGTTTTCTCGGCAGCAGCATCACTGCTGGTGGTAACGCGAATTCCACAATGCAGGCCGGCAAGTCACCGTTCGGTGGACTCGGTGGTGGACTCGGTGGTGGTTCTTCTACGCAAACTGGAACCTCGGCATTTGGTGGGCTTGGTGGTGGGCTTGGTGGTGGTCTCGGCGGCGGACTTGGTGGTTCAACATTGTAAGTGGAAGATTTGGATGATCTGCTCGGCTCATTCTAACGAGGTCCAGCGGTGGTGTCCAAAACAACCAACAGCAAACTCAAAAACCTAGTCTCTCGGTCTTCAACACTGGCACGACACAGGGAACACAGCCCTTACAGCAAAACAACAACAACTCGGTTGTCCAGGGTGTCAAGGTCGACCTTACCAACCTGCTACCCACTACGAAGTTCGAGAGCTGCGCTGATGAGATTCGCTCTGAGATCGAGGCGATCGACAACCACATTCTCACTCAGATGAAGTACTGTAACGAGGTCTCAGACCTGCTCCCTACGATCGAAAACCAGGGTTCTATCATTCCCAATGATGTCGAATTTGTGCAAGGAAAATTAGAAACGATGCAGAACGCACTCGAAAATGACGCTCGCGACATTGACGGGCTCCGCACTCTTGTTTCTCGCGATGCAGCCGAGGCGCAGGTTGCATTCCGGGCTATTGACACACTGAAGCTGCCCCTGCAGTACCAGTCGAACGGCGGTGGATGGTGGTCTGTGCAGGACCAAAAGGCCCCCGAGATGCGCTCGACTCGTAAGAACACCCTCGCCCTTCCCGATGATGTGGAGGGAGACCCGTCCGCAACTACTGTCAACGGCGTCCCCGTCAACCTGGTCGACTACTTCTCACACCGCTCCGATGAAATGGGAGCTGTGCTGACCCGATACACCGGCAACCTTAAGGAGATTGAGGACCACCTTCACGGTCTCGAGGCCACCCTCAACCGCCAGATCAACGACTTTGTGAGCTCCAAGTCTCGCGACGGACCTTCCACTGCGCCCAAGTCCACAGTGAATGAACTTGCCGCGGTCCTCGGGGATGTCGAGGCCGGCATCATGGGCGTCGCAGGCCGTCTCAGTACAGTTTCGGAACAGGTCCAGGACATTTCAATGGGGACCACTCTCGGAGATGGCCGACTCAACCTGGGATGATTGAAGCATAGCGTTTGATTTGTACACTAATGGCAGCTGGTTATCAGCATGGGAAACATGACAATCTTGACATCTGAAACAGTATCTAGAGTAAGCCGGAGTCCGAGAATACTCCGAGTCCCTTAACGATCTCCGGTAGGCTGCATAACCAGCATACAGGATCTGATAAATTTCATAGACTGGCCGAGATCATTCCAGTCAAATGCTTCTCCCCTATAGTTAGCTATGTAATCGAAGATCTACCTGGAGCCGGGGGCGGTGGAGGTGGATGACCAACGCAAGAGTGGCGGGTTCTTGCGTGATCGCCTCCTTAGCGCGGCCTTCGAACTGCTAATCTCAACCTCCCCTGTTGAGCTCCATTGTCCACGCGTCCAGCATCATACCGCTTTATTTAGACTCATATATGGAACAGCGGTGAAAGATGCACTAGATGTCTACTTGCCATTCTGCAATCCCCGATTTGAGGGTGATGGCAAATCTTGCCTTCAACGTCAGCGAAATGGCGTGATCACCCTGGATTCCGGGGAAGTTGCGGGTCTGTCGTCACCCGCAAACTGAAGGATTTCGTGATTCCGTGGGACTCCCATTTGCCTTTGGGTGATTGTGTAGCAGAATGGCGCAATTGCTTGACTCATAAGCAGTGGCATCGGTATCTTGGATCTATATAAACCGTTGCTGCTCTTCTTCTTGGAACCATTCAAACCTTGTTTTATACTCCATCGTATACTTCTATACATCTATACATTGCGTTCTTTGGTATCTGCATTGCTCAATTTCAAAATGGCGCCATCTCTGGTAGAGCCCGTTGTTACCCCGGCTACACACTTCACCGTGACTGCACCCAAGAAGGACCTCGCTGGGGACAACAAGTTTGGCTACCAGCCCGGCCGAACACCAGTCACTAAACACGACAACTATACATACGAAGACTTCCTACCCACATTCCCAGACATCCATTGGCCCGCTCTAGAGGAAACACCCTACGAAGACAAGGGTCTCCGAGGAGACCCCAAATTCCGCAACCTCCTCCGAGACGCAACAGGAGTCTTCGACCACAACCCCAAAATCGGCACGGAGATCCAAGGTGTGGACCTCTCAACACTAGACGACGCCCAACGAGACGACCTGGCCCGCCTAATCGCCTACAGAGGCGTCGTCTTCTTCCGGAACCAAAAGAACTTCGACATAAACGCCCAGCGCGATCTAGGCCGCTACCTGGGAAAACTGCACAAGCACGCCACAACCGCCGTGCCACGCAAACCAGGCCTGGAAGACGTGCACGTCGTCTACACAGGCGACAACTCAGGCGACAACCGCGCCCTCTTCACGCCTAGCTTCCTCTGGCACTCAGACGTCACTTACGAACTCCAACCGCCATCCTATACATCCCTTAAACTCCTTACCGGCCCACCACGTGGTGGAGGCGGCGATACACTCTGGTCAAGCCAATACGCAGCCTACGACGTCCTCTCCAGCCACATGCAAACATACCTCAAGGGCCTGACAGCCCTACACTCAGCAAACATGCAAGCGAATGACTCCAAGGCCCTCGGTCGCCCTGTCCGTCGGGATCCAGTGACAACAGAACATCCTCTCATCCGCACGAACCCTGTCACAGGCTGGAATGGACTGTTCTTTAACCCCGGTTTCGTGACCAAGATCATTGGCATCCCGACTGCAGAGAGTGATGCGATTATCCGCTACTTGACCGATGTCATTGCCACGACGCAGGAAATGCATGCCCGCTTCTCGTGGGGCGAGGATGATGTTGCGCTTTGGGATAATCGGTCCACGAATCATAGTGCTTCTTACGGCTTCACACCTCATCGTCGCCATGCTGTCCGTGTTGCTTGTCATGCTGAGCGGCCTGTTCTGGAGGCTGGGGGGAAGTCTCAGGAGGAGGAGTTGAGTGCACTTTATGGACTGCCTGCTGTTAATAAGGATGGGTCGAGACAGTCGAATTATAATGATTAATGTGAGTTGCTGGTGTTGGTGTTCTATATGGATTGGTCTTAGCGGGTTGCTTGTTTTAGCGAAATTTTTTTACTTTGTTCATTTTGTTGCTTGTGGATTGTGCATAAAGAAGTAGGCTAAAAGAAATGAGAATGTTTGTATGCTCTCTTTGGAGACTTTCTCTGCGTCATTGTCACCTATAAGTATCCCATCCTGTTCCCTTCCTTTCATACCCCTGCTATCTCTATACCCATCACCTTGGATTCTAGTAGAGATATAGTTCTATGGTCATCCGGGAGTGTACGCGTCATACTTTCACGTCCAGTGTTCCAATGTAATCTTAATATCTTGTTCCTCTCGTCCATAGAGAGATTGTGAGCCCTTCACTGTTGGGCCCAAAATAGGGAAATCAGCCATATCGACGCTATCGGAAATTACAGGTGTCATGCGTGAATTGCTCCTGCGAGGCAATTTTCTGACATGGAAATCATTTGTCAAGACGTCACTTTCAAAGCTCATTGGGCTATTATTTGCACTCAATCAAGCTATTTCAACAGCGCATTCTGTTATGGTTTCAAGGTATAAGCGGAGGAAGCTCGACTATCTATCTCGGTTGCTGATATTCCTAGGAATCCATCGAGCAATCCATCAGCCTGACGGAGGATACACTAGCAACTTTCGAACGCGTTTTGTCCTTCCTCTACCCTAGAGATTACAACGATAATAGACATAGAGTTCCATCCCCCTCTTACAAGCCTCGTTCCTTTCATTGATGATTCGACTCAAACAGTCCCGAGGATAGGTCGAACGATGTAGAAACTTCAAAGGCAGTTGCCCTAAATAATATCCGGGTTTTCGTCGCGGCCGATAAATTCGGAATCAACCCATTGAAGTCGCTAGCTACAGAGAAGTTCTCCCGATGGGCGACTGCAAATTGGAACTCGTCCATATTTCCTGAAACTGTTGAAGAAGCCATGACGCTCATCCCTTCCCATGAGACTAGGCTTCAGGAGGTCATTGCGGGGATTATTTCGGCGCATATCTTCGAATTTATCGACGAACCGGCTATCTTTCATGTGTTGAGTTCTTTCAGATGCCTTGGATCACTAGTCATCGTAGGATTAGTCCGAGATGGGCGGGTCAAACCACTCAACGTGACGTTCTTCAGGGACTTGCTCAAAAATTAAACTCACGCCGTCAATGTCGACATTGTTCAAGGGAATTGAATGTGAGAATGGAAAATGGAGAGTATGGAGCTGGATTCTCCGTTGCGCTGCTTGTCATACACGACATTCCTGACCACACTTAATTCCAAGGAAGACTCGATTGTGAATATGCGTGTTTTATTGCAACACTCCTGCCTCAGCATTGCGTGCAACGCGACCAGAGGATTGAAACTGTTGAAAGAAGTGAAGGCTTGTGAGGTCATGTCAGATACACACGAACTGTATGACAAGGAGACTGTGGCACTGTTAATGGACACATTGTACGAAGATGGACTTGAATCTTCAAACGTCGTGTCCTCCAGTTCGGCGACACTGCGAGAATGTCTAGCTCACATAGCACGAACGGCGCTGCAAAGCAGAACCGTCTTCGGTGGATTTTCCTCTCCAATTGTCTAGTCAGTGAATATGAGAGTGTCAATTCTATCTACACCTCCATCAGAGAGGCCAAATCCTCAATTCATCATCCCTCGTATCGTGCGTCTCTCTGGCATGGAAGAAAGATGTCTTCTCCTTTCCATGGCAAAGAGGGACTATTTCAATGCCCCAGGAAAGTGTCTTTCTCGCAAATTTGTACTCCTCGCATGCACATCAACCCTTCATTTGCTCAAAAGGCGACCTTTCAATCCACCTAAATCTGGTAACACAGCACTGAACACGACCACTTGCAGCCTTAGATCTGAACCGCCTGGTTTAACCGGTGGATCTCGTTCAGGCTCAAATACAGAGGGGGATACGAGAGACAGTCTCAATCCTATCCATTGTTCGCCATCGTTTGTTGTATCTAGTTTGTCGGTGCCTTCTCTCTTTCCAACTAAGCAGCTGGAGCATACCTTGACTGTCATAGCCTTTAACGCACCACCCGTTCTCTTCATCTCTGGCGCTTTGCACAGAAATGATGAACTGTGGCTGTTTCTCATGGATTTAGAATTCTGGCAACCCGGCCCACCCAAGCTGATAATGAGGAACTATGAATCACCCCTCGTGGTATCTGGCCCAGGCGGTCCAGTCGATGTTCCTTTTGATGAAGATATCATAACAGCACCAAACCCCAGTCCAGGCCCGCAGCCCTTTGAACTGGCGTCCCTGCGAGATTTCTGCGATTCATTGGAGGGTTGTATTTATATCAAGCTGGGGTGGGATCATACAGACACACACTCATGTTACCTTCGAGGACCGACATTCATAGTCAGATCCGAGTTCTAATTATATCAATATATGGTATCACATGTCACGGCGATAGCAACGAAGAGAGTCGAGAGGAGATGATCATGTCTGCAATTACCGACAACCCAAAGGGAAAGCCGCAGTTTAAATTTAAAAGTACATTGGGACATAGACATGCAAGACCCAAGGCCAATCCAGCGCTTCAAAAACTCATGTATGCAAAGTAGGAAAAAGGACACCAGAACCAAGATACAAGACCAGATGATACATGATATACCAGATAACATCAAATGTCACATGTCACATATCACCCAAATCTGCATCACGGCTTCCAAGTTGTTATTAGATCTTTTTTTGTAGGTTTTGGAATGGTCGAACTCGTGCCGTCGCGTCTTGGTATAATACACGCCGAGTCATGATGCAACATCCACACCCGCATTTTACAGCGGCGTGGATGATCAATCACAAGCTCGACAGATGGGAAATTGAGTGGCACGAGTGAGATATCGAGTCAATAGATTCTTGAGTAGACCGTTTACTCGCGGATCTTGGCCAGGATGCTAGAAACGATGTCAGCGAAACCCAAGGAAAACCAATTGCCTATGCAATTGAACTAAGGTGGGGAATGGAAACGTACTCGTGGTCCCGGAAGAGAGTGTACTCCTCCTCACCAACCTTGATGGCATTGCCACCGAACTGAGGAATGAGGACCTTGTCACCGGCAGCGACACCCATGGGGAGACGCTTGCCATCCTTGTCGAGGAGACCGGGGCCAACAGCGAGGACCTGGGCCTCGTTCTGCTCCTTGACGGCGGCCTCGGGGAGGAAGATGCCGGAGGCGGTCTTGGCCTCGGGCTTGATGCGCTGGACCAGGACGCGGTCCAGGAGGGGGGCGAGGCTCTTGATGTTGCGGAGGACAGACTGGATAGATGAGTTAGTATATTAGATCATTTTAGCGAATGAGTGGTTGATGTGGTAGAGCGCATTGCGCATGCGCGTGATGAAAGTCGGGTGTTTCGGGCTTGGGGAGAAAAGTTCGGCGTGGAGAACTGGCAGCGCAGCTTGCTCGGTTTGGTTCGCTGGGTGTTTGGGGGAGAGTCGATGGATTGTAGAGGTGATTTGGGATGTTGGACGTACCATTGTGAAGGATGATTGGATTCCTGAAGAGATCGGAGTTGAGGCGTGGGATGGAGAAGGGAAGAGGATGGAACTGGTCCGGGGAGAGAAGATCTGACTGGAGAAATTTCCAGAATGCCAAGACTTGAGCTACTCCCGAGGGACCGGGTTACCGGCTCCGTTTGTATACTTTTCTCTGAGGTTATTACATCTGTTCTTTATTCTATGCTATGAGCATGGTCGGCATTTCAGCTTATACTGTAAATTGATTGCACTGAAAGCTAAGAGAACTTGGACAAATGTCCATGTCATTGTTATTTATTCCCTTGCATGCATGAAACGCCGCGATATCCGATCCTCAAAGGTCAATCCAAAGCTACTATCATAGAAAAATCAGAGATTCAGATCAGTTTACCATCTGCGTCCCCGTCCTCGTCCCCCGTAACCACCGCGTTGATCATATCCACCATAGCCCATCTGACCCTGGCCACCTTGACCAAAGCCTTGTCCTTGGGGTTGGCCACCAAAGCCAGGTTGGCTCGGCTGGCCACCGCCAGGCATCATAGCCTGCGCATGCTGCATGAAAGCCATCGGGTCCATAGAAGATGGGTCCAAGCCCTGGGACATCATGCTGGCTAGCATACCCTGCATCATATCGGGGTTCATATCTGGCATACCGCCGGGCATACCAGCCATAGGCGGAGCAGCTGTGGGAGCGGCAGCAGGTCCTGCAGGTGCGCCAGGCATTGGGGGCATACCCATAGTCATGAAAGCCTGCATATCGTCCATCTGTCGCTTCTGGCTGCCAACCTCCTGTCGAACACCTTGCTGCTTGAGACAGTACCCTGACCATGTAAACTCGTCAAAACCATAGTTAAAGTAATCCGACAAATCTGACCCAGGCCGGCGCCAGGGCTTGTCGTCGGACGGGAAATCGGCATCCATGTCCGTGGACATGATCGGCTTGCCCGTTGTCGGATGGATGGGGTTTGCATTGACGTCGATGGTCGAGCTATGAATGGCTGGGTAGGCAGAGCCTGGCTTTTGATCGGAAGGAGGTCTTGCTGCGGCTGGTTGGCCGGGCACTGGGGTTGAGGTCTCGTATCGGGGTGTTGCGGACGGCGTCCCTGACTTCGGTACCATCGACGAGTCGGCGGACCCGGGCCGTTGTGATTCCTGTCGTAAGCTTGCATGGCGTGGGTGGGAGCTGCTGAGGGATTAGTGGCTGCGTGGAGCGCGACTTTATGATAACTTACGCTTCTGGCGCTGGTGCGTCTGCAGGAGCCTCTGTGATGATGTTGAAGTCGTCCTGGATGGTATTAGCACAGACTGCCATTATAGACAAAGGGGTACGCACATCGTCGTCCTCTTCCACCTCTACCTCCTCGTCGTCTTCCATATCATTGCTCTCCTGCGGTTGGCCTGGAGCTCCATTTTGTGTGTGGTTTTGCGATTGTGTGACTGGCACCGCATCGACGGGGTCGTAAAAGTCGTCTTCTTCTTCGTCCATGGTTTCTGGCTTTGAATCCCAAGGAATTGCTGTAGAAAGTTCTCACTCAAAGAAGATCGAGATCAAGCTCAAGTTGCGCGCGAGCCGAGTTTGTCTTGTTTGCAGTGTTGTATGCAAGTTGATCAGCTCGTTGATACAGCACCGATACCTTGAAAGGGAGGGTTAAACGAGAAACGAATCGGAGATTGATTATTAGATATAGCTAGCGTTATAGAGTTTCAATTTCTCTCAAACCCGTCTGATCTTGTCAAACACCAACGCGCTGAATTAATGGTCACGTGCCAGTCCCAAAGACATCAGTGACCATATTGCAAACAATTTGATTTCTCCAACTCAGCTGCCAAATTCAGCTGTCAGTCTAGCATGCACCATGGCGGAAGAAGAGAATAGCGGAACCTCCACCCCGCGGTCCTTCACGGGCCAGACCGTCTCCGCGGAGGAGATGCTTAAGTCGCAAACTGTTGGTCTCGTCCATCTATCCGACTTTCGCAAGCGGCGCGCAGAGGTGCTGGAACAAAAAGAGCGCGAGGCGCATGACAAGTCGCTAGGGCGACTGGCATCCGGTAACTCAAGAAGCGCAACTCCCTCTACAGGCGAAGTGACTGACGGGTAAGTCACGGACCGCTCCCACTCTCCATTCACAAGCTGATCGCAGCGCAACAGATCAACGCCTCCTCAGAGTGACGGCCCCCCAAAGAGAAAGAAGAAGAAGGCTCTCGCCAAAAGCAAACTTTCATTCGGCGACGATCAGGATGATACTGGGGAGGAATCTGCCGCAACGCCACGCGAGTCAAGCATCTCACGGTCCAGTTCGAAAACACCCGCTGATGATAGCGCGGCTCGTCGCATGAAAGCAAACCCGAATGCACCTCCCCCGCCGAAGGCTTTGACCAAGGCAGCTCTGGAAGCTGAAGCGCAGGCCCGCGACGTTCTCCGCAAAGAGTTCCTTGCCATGCAGGAAGCCGTCAAGAACACTGAAATTCTGATTCCGTTTGTTTTCTATGATGGAACGAGTATACCTGCGGGATCGGTCAAAGTCAAGAAAGGTGATCCCATTTGGTTGTTTTTGGACCGGTGCCGAAAGGTCGGTGCAGAGTTGGGTGTGCGCGGTGCCAATGGCGCATCCAAGGCAAAGAAGGACAATCGTCGAGAGTGGGCACGCGTTAGTGTTGACGACTTGATGCTTGTCAAGGGCGATATCATCGTTCCACATGTGAGTTCATACACCTACTCTCTTCGTTTGAGGATTCCATCTAACATTGAGACAGCATTATGAATTTTATTATTTCATTGCCAATCGGGTTCCTAGTCTTTCGCGCGCTGGTGGCTTGTTGTTTGATTACTCCAACAAGCCTCCAGTTGCCAACCCAATTGCCAACCCAACAGACGATCCTCTGTCCCGCTCTAGTGATGATCAACTAGAAGGCGCCGACAAAGATTTCTCAGAGACCAAGGTCGTAGATCGACGTTGGTACGAGAAGAATAAGCATATATACCCAGCCAGTCTGTGGCACGAGTATGAGCCTGGGAAAGAATTTGAAGAGAAGATGACCTCAACAAGGCGCGATGCACAAGGAAACACTTTCTTTTTCTAGCCCCAGCTGAGAAATCTATAAAAAATCACGATGTAATAGATAAATACCAAATGAATCCAACTGTTCAGAATTCATGTTTCCTGGGGGTTGACTAACTAGTCTGGATATCTCGTGACTGTCACCTCTTACCATCTAGCCAACTGCACCCCACGACGGCGACATAATGGATTTCTCCTTGAAATGCAATTCTTTGAAATGTCGGGCAGAGTTGAAAGAAAAGGCCGTGGTGACAACCTGCTCGTATGACTCCCCGTCCTGTCAGTTGAGGAAGTACTAATGGGTCTAGTCATATCTTCTGTCATGACTGCGCAGAAAGTCTCGGGCTTTCCCATCCAACAACCAGTAATCGGTGTTGTCCGGCTTGTCAGACCGCGCTTCTCAATCCCGATGACGCTGTTTCATCTGTGCTCAATCCTACAGAGGACTACAAAACAAGCGTGCTGAGTGGATTGGATCCGAACACTATAATGGAATGTGCAGGTCGCGCATTAGGGTTCTGGGCATATCAAAGTACACAGGAGATGTTGGTTTCCTTCTACGTGCCCCGCGGTTATGGCTAATTATTTTATAGCTTCTATCAGGACTTCCGGGCAAAGACGCTCACGGAGAAGTACGCCAACCTAAACACACAGATGGACAAAGTCATCCACAATGCCAACACGGAGATATTATCTCTTCAGAACAAGCTTTCTGGTGAGTTCGATCCGGTCTGCCGTGAGTCGGCTTGCAACTAAACTCTCAACTCTAGGTATGCAATCAGCCCAAGAAGATCTCCAAAAGAAGAACCAGGAGCTGAATGATCTATACCGAGACAAGAACAACAAGCTCTCTCAAATGACAAACCTCTACAACCTCCTCAAAGCGCGAGCTATGCGGTCCCGCATGCAGACTGCTGCCTCGGATACAGTATCCCAAGCCCTAAACTCGCTTCCATCATTGAATGCGCCTCCCTCGGTCTCCATTGCCCGATCTGCTATGTCGCCAACACTTCCCGCGCAGGTATCGCAACACCTTAAGACTCAATCGTACCCTGTCGACACTGAAGGAGTGGAGCAGTTGCATCGGCACCAGCGAAGTGGCACGGGCAGTTCCAAGAGGGCGAGAACAAAGACACCAAACGCCGCTCCCATGTTACCTCCAGCGAAACCAAACTGGAATGGGCGCTTTGGTATGTATTGGAAATGGAAGTATAAGTTTTAACCGCTAACATGCTTGTTTAGCCCGAGAACCCGATCATAACCCGCAACACCGTACTCGTCTCCCACGTCTTTCCAGGACTCCGACGATGTTGTCTGAGTTTCCGCCTAGCGATGCCATTATGCAGCGCTTTGGGAAGTGAGATTCGAATTGTTGAACGTGCCTATGTTTTAACGGTGATGTTCTGAACTCTTAATACCCGTCTATTTACGCCTTTGAGATGCCCAGAGATATCAAAACGCAATGTATTTGGGTCAATCGTATGTACGTTCTTATTGCCTAAGAACAGTACGATCCCATATACTTCTCATTAATATCTACGGATAGAGCAGATAAGCAGCCTTGCGCGTCATGACTCGGATGGCAAGGCTGCGCTGACGCTGGCCTGGTATGCAAAAGCCTCGTATTTACGCGTCTCGATGCATTATTGACTTGTAATCAGGTCCAATCATGCACGTATGATACTATATTTGTTGAAGTGAGTGCAGATAATTGGCCAGTCTCTGATCGATAAGCAGAATAGCGATGCTGACTGCATCGTGGAAATTGTTTACGCAGATCGGGGGCCAAAAGTATTACAGAATCGCAGTAACGTGGGTATTTTGGCACAAGTATCTGACACCTAGTCAATATACATTTATCAATCCCAAATATGGAGAGTTCCCGATCGCAACGTCAGAAATGAAGTGTAAATCTCAATGGGGACGGTGAAGTACATGTTATAGACAAATGTTCGAGATAATGGAGGTGGAGCTATCCACTCGGAGCAAGACTACTCCTTTTTCACAGGACCGTGCAGAACTCACTACTTATACGTAGTCTGCCGCCCTTTTTAATTCCAGTGCTTACAGTCATGAATGAATACCAAGCAGTCAGGCTGTTCAGCCTATGCGCTCTCCAGCTCCTCATCCCTACACTACTCCTCGCCACCACACCGAAAAGATCAATTCTTCGCTATCTATCTGTTCCTTGTATGCTCTGGATCTTGAAACAAGGAATAACCCAAATTCCAAACCCAACAATCTTGCACAGCAATTCGATTGGCTATTTGTTCATTTTTATCCTCTCGGCCACCTCCTTCCTGCTTGCCAACCCCAAGGATAGCCATGACTTCGTCAACGCCAATGGCACCACGAAAAGCTTCTTCTCTCGTTTATACGAGGCAATTCGCATGATGATGCTGACCCGTGCAATTAATACACCTCGCCAAGTCAAGAATGTCCCAGGCCCCCCAGCCTATTACGCCAAACGCGATCCTAAGGTAATTCCTCGAGGTCGCTTCTTGGTTCGCGAAACTTCAATTGCCGTATGGCAATTCCTCGCATTGAGTATGTTTGAAACATTATCTGCCCAGGAAGCGTCGAAAAAGCCCGCGCCCGTATCTTTCGAGGTACAGTGGTTTGTCCCAGTGGACCAATGGGTCGAACGAATTATTTCGAATCTCATCGGATGGTTCATTGTAGCCCGGATCCTCATCGATCTCAATGCTCGCATTTGTGCAATTCTCTGTGTCGGTTTGGGGCTTGATACTCCTGCAGATTCTCCGCCCACTTTTGGGACTATGGCAGATGCTTATTCTCTGCGGAATTTCTGGGGGTTAGTATCTATCTCTTCTCGTACTTGTTGTGACTGAGCTAACGATATCGAATAGCAAATTCTGGCATCAATTGCTTCGACAGCCTTTCACGTCACTCAGCAATTTCATTGCGCGCGATGTGCTCTGCCTGCCTAGGTCATCTCTGGTGGAACGATACACCAATGTGTTTATCGTTTTCTTTTTCTCGGGTCTGTTGCATTTACTTGTCGATATTATGGCATGTGTTCCAGCCCAGGAGTCTGGGTCCATGTTCTTCTTCCTCTCTTTTGTTTTGGGCTTCATGATCGAGGATGGTGTCAAGGCGATGTGGAAAAGTATGTATCCTCAAGCCAAGGAGTCCGCCGGCCCGCCTCCGCTTTGGCAAAGAGCCATTGGATTTGTCTGGGTAATGGTTTGGATTGGGGTTGTGTCTACTGCCTACTTTGTGCCGATGCAGCGACCAGAATCTCAGGCGGTGCTGGTACCTTTTAACGTCTCAGAGTGGATTGGTCTTCCTGCACTGGTGGGAATTGTAGGCGTTGGTGCTGCTGCTTTGAAATTTGTTTTCGAGGTTGAGCTGTAAGAAGAGTCGTCAATGTTGGGTTATATAAATCCTGCCTGTGTGTGTCGAAGATACTATTGAGATGTATATATGTTTCGATGTCTACAGAGCTAAGTGTTTATAGATTGAGGTCTGTCGGATAATCTTTCGACCGTGAATTATATAAATCGACAACTGATCTTAAAATCAATTCTTCGAGAAGCAACCAATCCTCTATGTCATGGATCATTGAAACTGTCCGGCCTCTCAACAACCCGCACACCGTTCTTCGGATTATATTGCAGAAGATACGAAGTCCCCTAGCTGCACTCATGAGCAAGCTCAAGATTTGGCACGTTATAACGTCCGGCATCCAGTATAGCGCATGTACCCGCATCTCCGGCTGCAACTTGCCCTTTAACCTGGGATAATAGAATTTTCTCATGCTAGTGAACGCGCCCTGTGTAAGAGTGCGGCAAGAGATATCTACTTTTTATTTATTTTCTCTCCAACGGCCGAGGCAAGCCCGAAGCTTCGAAGCCCTATACAAACTGGGTCTAGCTTATTTATTCTTTTCAAGAGATATCATATCGACATGGAGCTAAAAGAAGAACACCAAAAGGACAGTTCAAAACAATGACCGAAAGATGCAAAAGTCTTTACCAGTTCTTAGGAGGAGAAATTTACTATGACTACTATGATCGTTGTTCAAAATGCAGTGTGAAGCCAGATAGTTGTTGAGCGCAATATCTTCTAGAATACCGTAAAAGAAAAGCACATGGCCAGAAAACACGTGTGCAAAAGGACATTCCACGACAGTCCCACTTGCCCCAGGTGTCTCTCACATTGAAAATCTACACTGCAACGCAGACATAGACATTCAACTCCAAGTCTTTGCAATCAGAGCCTACGGCCGGATTCCACGTAAGGAAATCGGCCGCGCTGATGTTATTGTCTCTCTCAACCTTGTCACAAGTATCTCCACTCTGGACTTCGTAGTACTTGCTGCAATCAGATGCAATCCCGCTTTGCACAGGTGACGGTACTGCTGCAATGCATACATAGACATCCAACTCCAAGTCTTTGCAATCTGAGCCTACGGCCGGGTTCCACATAAGGAAATTGGCCGCGCTGATGTTATTGTCTGTTTCAACCTTGACACAAGTATCTCCACTCTGGACTTTATAATACTTCCTGCAGTCGGATGCAATGCCACTTTGTACGGGTGATGGCACTGATCCGGTTCCAATTCCAGTTTCCGTTGCGGTGCTAGTGGTCGGGGATGGCGTGAGTTCTGTCGAATGTTAGAGCAAGTAATGTGCCTTGGCCAATCAAGAGAATATACCAGAAATGCCAACACAGACTTCGGTCTTCCGCCACAAGCTCTTGCAGTTAGATCCAGTAGCGGGATTCCAAGAGTAAAACTGGGCCGCAGTGAGACCGAATTCCGATAATATCGAGGCACAGGTATCATTGTCGGACACATCGTGCCACTTGTTGCCTGTATCAAATTCCGTTAGAACAAAATGAAATGGCTTTTAGGAAGACGAGCATAGCAAATGACTTACACATCTGAGTGACTCCGGTTTGTGTTGGGAATGCAGATGATGAAGAAGGTAGAATGGACGGGCTCACTGCTCCTACGCAGACGTAGTCACCCTTGACCAGTCCCTCGCACTCAGTAATAGCCCTATCTAGGTTAGAAAACCTGACACTTAAACCAAGGAAAGGTGATACTCACGGGTTCCAACTGTAGAACTGAGCGAGAGTAAAGCTCATGTATTGATCTTGGATACTATGGCAAGTATCGCCATTCTGTACCTGGTGGTACTGGGTACAACCACTTGTAAGTGCAGTTTGGACCGGTGCGGCGGTGCCATTATACGTGATTGTTTTATCTGGGGTAACCGATGGTGCCGCTGCGGAACCAGCAGGACCGGAGACGCAGTAACTGAATCCAGGGACCATCTTGCATTCAGAGCTTGTTTTCAACTCTGGGTTCTAGACGTATATCGATCAGCATGCTGCAAAATGTGGAATGATGAAAAGGGCAAGGAATTACCCAATATTCAAACTGGGCTTGAGTTATACCAAAGGAATCCTCAATCATCTCACAAGTGTCCTCGTTTTGAACATTGTTCGCCCAATATCCACAGTCCCTAGTAACATTTGGGTCTACTTCTCCGGTTGCTTCGGGACCGTTCTTCCATCCTCCTTGACCGGAGCTAGACACAGCAGTCGCCGCAGCAAGCAGAAGAAGAGATTGCTTGAGAAGTTGGGACTTCATCGTCGGTTTTGAGAAGGGACTTGAACGAGGAATGATTTGAGGATCAACGCGGGCATTTACCTTTGGAAAGCCAGCGATGCTTCTTATAATATTATAGGCCAGGAACATTCTGCTAAAGTGCCCCTCAGAACACCTCGTTCTGTGTCCGGTAAACAGAAATGCAAGCCACATACCTCGAATTCTCAAATGGGCAACAAAACGAGAACAATCTGGGCCACAACAGACCGTAAATAGTAATGTCAAATACTGCGTTGCACCGCGTTTAACATGGCTAAGGTTCATCTTGCAAAGTACGGTGCTGTTTAAAATTACCGATATTGAAACGATAGAAAAAGGGGGCTCACTTGACGATTTGGAAGAAGTACGAAAAGCCCGCAAAGAGCCCGGTGAACAGATTATCTTAGGTAGCGAGGTACTCACTCGTTTGAATCCTACCAGACACGCTCATTCATCCACTTATCACTCTTTTCAAAGTTGTCATCCGTTTTTATTTGGGAGGGTCCAAGCATGGGCGCCCTTCCTGTCGCCAAAGTCCTAGTGCTTTTGCTGTTCATACTGAACTTGGCATAAGCTGAAGATGCCAAGCGTACATCCGGTTCATGTTGCTCGACCTCGAGATGTATATCTGGGTGTTGCAGCAAGAGTGGAGGTCTCTTTGCACGGACATCGGATGAAGGAGGCCCTGGCTCTACTACGAACCCCAACAATCTCGATCCCCCAGACACCTCTATGTCTGATGCAGACACTGAAGGTGGCAGTGATGCATCGGGCGATGTTAATATTGCCGATACTCTTGCGGACTCGAAATCAAACACCACAACTGGAATCGCGCCCCTTAACATGATCGTGGCTCCTTCCACGTTTTCCTCAGTAACCACATTCTCTATCGAGCCTTAACGACTACTATCGAAGTAGCCTGGACCACAACAACCACAATCACAGTTACTGGACAGCGTACTGTAACCGAAACCGTTGCCCGTAAAGTTCAAACCACCACATTCTCAATCCCTACAATTACTACAACTCTCTTCCCTAGCATCTCCTTGGCTCCTACCACATTCAGGATAGTGGCAATCCCGAAAGCATAATGGAACATTCGCGACGCTCACTATCACAGACGACAGGGCTTTCTTCCCTCCTCCCCGGCCCCGGTCGACAACCTCCTTACCTGATGATATCCCTACACCTTCGATCACCGTTACCCAAGGAGGTCCTCCAGGTCCGGCCTGCACCGCTAACTGGAGGGAAGTGTGTCACGTACTGTGATGGCCCGCAAAGCGGAAAGAACTGGGACGAACCGTTTGAAGTGCTCTAGTTCCGACTATGAGAACAATGAGTGCACAAGCTCACTTTGCGTCAGTGAAGCATCGGTACCTACATATATCTCGACCCGCTCAATCTAAAACGCGTATTCCGGATCAGAAAGATCGATAACGCCCACAATTGGAACTTGTATTCTTAAAAACCGTAAATAGACAAAGCCAGCGAGAGTAGGAATCTACCAAGCAAGTCCTATCCCCATTTTACAATGCAGATACCAGGGCAGACGCCAAAACGACCAACCGTCTATATAGGCCAGATAATCCCCAATCGAGTCTACCATTGAACCAATAGCAAAACCTCCCAAAAAGCAATTAACACTCCAATAAAACATCCAAACCACTCTCCTCTCCCTTTATGGAGCAATGTCACTCCAATCCCCCCTTCCACCTAACAGAGAGATGAAGAAGCCAAACCCCCAAATCCCCGTTCGCCCGATCCTTATCGCGCCATAATCTCGGAGCAACGGAAGCGCGCCTCCCTCGGTTTAGCCAAACCACACACAGTCCCCTGCCCCAGCTCTAGCTCCAGGTCCAGATCCAGATCTAGCACGGTCCCTACTTTATCTTCAACGGTCCCTGTCAATCCGTGCGGAAAGAGCTTGTGTGGGGTCTGGAGCTTGGTGTCCTGGTTCTTGGGATTTGAGCTTAATTTTTGATACGGTATTTTACGGGATGTATTTTATTTGTATTTTTGGATGTTATTCTCTTAGATTTGGACTTCATTCTTTTCCTCCATATTGTACTTTAGAAATTGAAGATATGTTTATGTATATTTTTACTTTTACAGAAACAGATTGGGACATAAATGCCTCGTATCATTGATATTATCCGATGGGACATCACAAGATCTAAATCCCCCGGTGAACATAGGAAAATGAAAATCTAAACGGAGAATCATGTACGACGGCACCATCAGGGACCGGGTCTTTTCGTCCGGGCGGGAAGTAACGCCATACCCTCAAAACAGGACAGACGCCGGGCGACGTGTTGTCCGCCCGGAATCCCGCAAAAAAACAAGTTCATATCATGCCATGCATTATACCACAAACCCATGCAACGGACACACGCTGCAGAAAACAAACAAAAGTAGAGAGGTATTTAGGCGCCGAATTCCTTGATGTCGGTCTTCTTGCCCTGGAGGGCCAGAGGCACGATACCGCTGACGTGCATCTCGGGGCCGTAGACGTGCATGTCCAGGCCGAGCTCAGCACCCACGGACTTGATGTTCTTCAGACCCTCCTGGTAGTTGGGACCGGCACGGCGGACCCAGATCTGGGCCTTGTGCTCGTTGAGGACGGGGGCGACCTCGCGGAGAGCGCGGATGACACCCTTGAAGGTGCTGGCCACGTTGGTGAAGTTGGCAATACCACCACCAATGAAGAGGACCTTGCCCTCGGGGTGGATGGGGGCACGGAGCATGAGGTCCAGGACGGTCTTGGCGTAGTTGTAGGTCTGGGTCTCGGTGGGAGCACCGGAGTACTCACCGTAGTTGGCCAGCTCGCTGACGAAGCCAGCGGAGGCAATGGCGTCGGCGTAGACGACGGAGGCACCACCACCAGCAACGAGGGTCCACACGCGACCCTGGGAGTTGAGGACGGTGAGCTTGAGGGAGGCACCGGTCTTGGCGTCCATGTCGGAGATGAACTTCTCCTCCTTGCTCAGTTCACGACCGAAGGGGGCGGGGAACTCCATCGGTGGGCCAGCGTCGATGTTGACCTTGCCGTCGGAGGAGGCGAGGACAGGGAGACCGAGAGCAGCGGGGCTGCGGGCAATAGCCCACTTGGTGCCGCACTCGAACTCGGCAGTCTGGTCGAGCTTGGCCGCGAGATCCAGGAAGTGGACCTCGGCGGAGGTAGCATCGGCGTTGGGGATAACAACGAGAGGGTTGATCTCGAGGTAGGTGAACTGGCAGTCGACGTAGACGGCGTACAGGCGAGAGATGAAGTCAACAAGGACATTGTGAACACCCTTGGGGACCTTGCTCAGCAAGGTGTCGGCAATCTCCTCGTTGGAGGGGTACTGCTTGAGGTTGACGGGGATCAAGAGCTTCTCAGCCTTGGCGTCAACATCACCGACATCGACACCACCCTCGTGGGTGAAGAGGATCCAGTCACCCTATAATTGGTTAGCTTGGTTCAATTTGTCTGGAGTTTTCATAGCTTACCTCACGGACGGAGTTGATGTTAATGTAGTATTCGGTCTCCTGGGGGTGAGGAACGAAGGGCTCAACCAGGAATTGACGGAGGACACCGGTGATGGTCTCAACCTGGACATCCTTGGTGGCGCGTGCCTCAATCCACTCACGGGCCTCAGCCCAGGTCTTGTTGAGGGCGAGCAGACCGCTCTTACCCCGACGCTTGATCAATTGATCGGGCTTCGCAACGAACTTGGCACCGGGGGTGAGGAGCCAAGGGAAGGTGACCTCAGCCTGGTCGAGGACATCCTTCACAGCCTTGTTCTCAGGGAAGTGCAGAGAGGCCAGACGAGCAGGAGGGTTGTGTGTTGTGGAGGAAGGGAGAGGGGTAGGCTTGATAACGGGAGCGCGAGTGAGGTGGTAGTTGAGGATGGCCTTGCCGTCGGCCTCGAGAATAGATTTGGCGGACATGATGTGTGAATGTGAGGATTATGGAGGGGGAGGATGGAGAAAGAAGGAAGGAATTAATTTTTGAGGAAGCCAGGGAGGAAAAGTAGACTGGAGAGTACAGCGTACTCAAAAAAAGTTGTGCTGGAGATTACAGCGTACAATCCGGCAGGTCCCACCGTGTTGAGGGCAGATCCTTGGTGGGGTCCGTTGGGATGTTCTCCAGGTACCGGGAACTCTCTTCATCACCAATACCGCTCTATTTTTGTTGAGTGTCGGGGATCAGTCCCCGAATGTGAAGTCCAATTGATATCATTTTGATTTTCCGAGAGACAACTTTGTATAGTAGACTACGGTATATAGTACTCGCAGATAGAAGTGAAAATAACACAGTACATAGGGCTGTACTGTGTCTGTGTTGTAACGTTATGGGTGTAACGGTATGAGTATATGAGTGTATGGCGGTGGGGCAGTATCGCCGGTACCCGGTACTTTGGGGTACGCCAAGTGTTGAGCTGTTGCAGTCCACTTCTGGGAGGAGCTGTACGGTGTATCTGCGAGTACTCCGAGGACTCCCCCGCGGATTTTTCTCAACAGGAGTTGCTACCCCTTCTATCTGTCTTCTACTTCCATCCTCCCTCTCTTTCCTTCCAATTCCTTCACAGCGGGTGTTAATATCGCATAAGTAAGTCTTGTCTCTTTTTTTTTTCTTCCCTCCCACAAGCTCTCACCCCACCACCTGCCTTATTTGCAATTGTCCACCCGCGGATGCTAATAGGCAATTAGAATCATCATGTCTACTTCTTCTCCCGCCAGCAACGGCGTCCAGTCGGCCAACGACAACATCACCCGTTTCGCCCCTCCTAGCCGTGTCCTCTCTCCCTCCCAACACAGCCTTTTCCACAACAAGACACGATGCTTCGTATAGTAAGTTGCACCCCCTCAGCCTTCAGTCTAGGACCGGGGACTGACCGGATCAGTGGTATGCAACCCCGAGCCGTGCAGGGCATGCTCGACTTCGACTTCATCTGCAAGCGTACCACCCCCTCCGTGGCCGGTATCATCTACACCTTCGGCGGTCAGTTCGTCAGCAAGATGTACTGGGGTACCAGTGAGACCCTCCTCCCCGTCTACCAGGACGTCGAGAAGGCTATGGCCAAGCACCCCGACGTTGACACCGTTGTCAACTTCGCCTCTTCCCGTTCCGTCTACACCTCCACTATGGAGTTGATGGAGAACCCCCAGATCCGCTCCATCGCCATTATTGCCGAGGGTGTCCCCGAGCGTGTAAGTTCGTTTCCAAGAGCGATTGACAACAAATGACTGATGACAATGGATAGCGTGCTCGTGAGATCATGGTCACCGCCAAAGAGAAGGGTATCACCATCATTGGTCCCGCCACCGTCGGTGGTATCAAGCCCGGTGCGTACAAGATTGGTAACACTGGTGGTATGATGGACAACATTGTCGCCTCCAAGCTCTACCGCAAGGGCTCCGTCGGATACGTCTCCAAGTCCGGTGGTATGTCCAACGAGTTGAACAACATTATCTCCCAGAATACCGACGGTGTCTACGAGGGTGTTGCCATTGGTGGTGACCGTTACCCCGGTACCACTTTCATCGACCACTTGCTCCGTTACCAGGCTGAGCCTGAGTGCAAGATCCTCGTCCTCCTTGGTGAGGTCGGTGGTGTTGAGGAGTACCGTGTGATCGAGGCCGTCAAGAACGGCACCATCACCAAGCCCATTGTCGCATGGGCTATCGGAACTTGCGCCAGCATGTTCAAGACTGAGGTTCAGTTCGGTCACGCCGGTGCCTCTGCCAACTCCGACCTCGAGACCGCTGTTGCCAAGAACAAGGCCATGCGTGAGGCTGGCATCTACGTCCCCGAGACCTTCGAGGACCTCCCCCAGACCCTCAAGGAGGTCTACGACGCTGAGCTCAAGAAGGGCACCATCAACCCCGCCCCCGAGCCCGTTGTCCCCAAGATCCCCATCGACTACTCCTGGGCTCAGGAGCTCGGCCTCGTCCGTAAGCCCGCTGCCTTCATCTCCACTATCTCCGACGACCGTGGCCAGGAGCTGCTGTACGCCGGTATGCCCATCTCTGATGTCTTCAGGGAGGATATCGGCATTGGTGGTGTCATGTCTCTCCTCTGGTTCCGCCGTCGTCTGCCCCGCTACGCCAGCAAGTTCCTCGAGATGGTCCTGATGCTGACTGCCGACCACGGTCCCGCCGTGTCCGGTGCCATGAACACCATCATCACCACCCGTGCTGGTAAGGACCTGATCAGCTCCCTTGTTGCTGGTCTCCTGACCATCGGTTCCCGTTTCGGTGGTGCCCTCGACGGCGCCGCCGAGGAGTTCACCAAGGCCTTCGATAAGGGCCTGAGCCCCCGTGACTTCGTCGACACCATGCGCAAGGAGAACAAGCTCATTCCCGGTATCGGCCACAAGGTCAAGTCCCGTAACAACCCCGATCTCCGTGTCGAGCTCGTCAAGGAGTTCGTCAAGAAGCACTTCCCCAGCACCAAGCTGCTCGACTACGCCATCGCTGTCGAGTCCGTCACCACCTCCAAGAAGGACAACCTGATCCTGAACGTTGACGGCTGTGTCGCTGTCTGCTTCGTCGACCTGCTCCGCAACTGCGGTGCCTTCTCCCCCGAGGAATGCGAGGACTACATGCGCAATGGTGTGCTCAACGGTCTCTTCGTCCTGGGCCGCTCCATCGGTCTCATTGCCCACTACCTCGACCAGAAGCGCCTGCGCACCGGTCTCTACCGCCACCCCTGGGACGACATCACCTACCTTCTCCCCACCCTGCAGAAGGGCGGTGCCGAGGGCCGTGTCGAGGTTAACCTGTGATTTTGTTTGTGACGTTTTGCAGCGCCGTCCGCTGGCATATAGTCCGTCCGATCAGGACGGTGGAGTTTGGATGGTTCATCCCTTGGTTTTTCTTTTGCGTTTTTTCAGCAGTAGTATCCATGTACTGCGATCATGTGGCATGACCAAGTCGACGGGGTGACCAGAAAAAGGCATCCCGTTAACGGATCTGATTTAATTCGTTTACAGTAGATGACTAGACCTTTTGGAATAATGAACGTGCCTTTGCCGCATGAACTTTACTGCATCGTGTAGACTTATTCTATAGTGAAGTTAACTCAATTAACGTAACCTATAGATCAAGTACTTTGGTAGTGCTCGCAAGCCGAGGAAACATCCTTATCGCTTATCGGCAACTTTTTATCTTTTCCACCTCAGCTTCACCAACGCACCACATAACGTTACCTCAAGGCACCAATTCCACTCCACAAAACCCACTACTACGACTTCCTGAACTCAATCCCAAAACTCGAACCTCAAAAACAACCAAACACCAAAATGGTCCGCCTGAAAAGCCGCTACCTCCTCATAGACATCCTCTACCCAGACCCAAAAACCTGGCCAACAACCAACCCCTCGAAACCCCCAAACCCGCAATTAGCAATCCACGCCCCAACCTCCGACACGCTAACACCAGGCTTCCTCGCGAAAATGGTGCGCGAGACTGTGTCCGAGTTATATGGTGACTGGGGCGTAGGGAAGCTTGGTGGTGCGAGTGCGGGTGGATTGAATAGTATGTTACACACACACATACCCCCGCACATCTCCCGATACCATGTTGTACTGCTATCTACAGCCAATCGCTAACAAGCCTCTTTCTTTGAATAGTTAAATACCTCTCCCCAGCAACATCAACAGCAATAATTCGCTGCCCAAGACCATCCTACCGCCTCGTTTGGTCAGCGTTAACCTACATGTCTGGCGTCCCGGACACGAACAACGGCGGACAAAAACGGGCTGGGACGGGGCGGGAGCGTGGTTGTGTCTTTCGGGTTATTCGTGTTTCGGGGACTATGCGGAAGGCTGAGGAGGAGGCTATTCGCCGGGCTAGACGGGAGATTGTACGTGTTAAGGATGCTGAGGAGAGGGGGGTTTTGGGGGGGTTGGTTGGGGTTGGGGATGGTATGGATGTTGATGTTGGTGTTGGTGATTTGAGTGGGAGTGAGCATGGGATGGATTGTGGGGATAGTGATTGAGAAAGGTGTGCTTTGGTTTTGTGACTTTGTTGATGTTAATGTGATACCCCCGGCTTTCGGTGCGTTTTGGTTCAGTAGTTATAGCTATAGATATAGTACATTGATATTCGATGTGATCAAGTTATTATGTGACATTTCTGTGGGCATACTGTAGACGGGATGGATATATGGTTGACAAGGGACATTGGTCGAGTATCATGCCTTGCGGCGCACCCGTATGCCACTGTCTGGCATGTTGTTCTTCCACTTTTCCACTTCCTCATCATAAAAATCGCCATTATCATCGCTATCCGCCGCGCCATCTGGTTCCGCTGCACCGGTCTTTTCAACCTGGCTCGCGGCATTGCGCAACCGTACCTCTTCCTCCAACTCTTGTTCTTCAAGCTCGTCATACTCATCCTTCGCATCAAGCCACCGCTCCTGCACATCCCGCACATCCGTAACACCCATCCCCTCGCGAACCGCAACCTTCCAGACGGTATCATTCGCACCCTCGGCGGGACCAAATGCATACCCGGAGACACGATCAATAGCGTTAAGCAGACTCATCATACTCTTCTTATCTTCAACAGCCAGCGTCTCGAATCCGACTAGTGCGAAATCCTCGACAAGGTCGATGATAGTCTGATTTAAGGCGCCGAATTTCTCGTGAGATAGTCGGGACGATTCGGCTTCCAGGTGTGGGAGTAGATAAGACAGGTCTTGCACTTCCGTGTAGTAGTCTAGGTTGAAAGGGAGAGGGGCATAGTTGGAGAGGTTATCAATTTTCGTGAGGACGTTTAGATGCGGCAGGTCGAGTTGTAGCATGGCGCGGAGGGAGAGGAGGAGGGCGGAGATGTACATTGAGGGGAGGGTTAGAGTGTATGAATCGACGAGGTGGATTACTATCAGCTGTTGGTCGAGACTCCGTTAGTGAACTGCTTTTGCGTCGAGCGAGCTAGATGCGACGAACCCGGATGCCCATTTTCTGGATCCTGAAGAAGATATTCCGTAACGAAGAGTGATGTGTGAAGAGTTCGACTTGGCCGGGACAGTCGAACAAAATGTAATCATCTGTAGTCACGATATCAGGCGCTATATCGTAGACAAGGATCCAGCAGACATACCTCCGAGCTCCTTCAGCCCCTCCTCCAACCAGTCAAAGTTCTTCTCAAGCTCCTCCAGTGCGTATAAGACACCTCCGTTCGGGCCCAGCTTGTCTTCATCCATGATTTCTTCGAGCGTGACAAGGTCGCGTACGTCCAGCGCACATGGATACGAGGTCTTGTCGTTGGCGGGGTCGAGGTTGACGATGGAGCATTTGCGGCCGATTGCGCCTAAGAACTGATGCATGCCATTGCAATACGTAGACTTTCCGGCACCCGGAGGGCCGATAACCAGCTGCGCGAAAGGCATTCTGGTTGGATTGGTTGTGGAAAGTGCACAAAGACGTGAAACCGATATAAGTTGAGTGATGTCAAGCTTTTGTTGTTCGGCGCTCTTTTTTTCCTTATCGACACAGCGCGGGGAATCAAACGGCGGTGGCCCGCGGCAAAAAAGGATATGGAGCTTGCCTGCAGCTTGCGATCCTTGCATCTCCACTGCTCGCGCACCATGTCTTCCAGTGAGTAAATACCAGGTAGCTCATCTTCCCCGTTTGGTATCGTCTCTAATTCTTTCTTTCTGGCAGACCAATTTATCGTGGCATCTCCGCCGACGGACGCCATCTCGGCGCTGAAGTTCTCCCCCGACCCCAACTCCGCGCGGATCGTGGTATCCTCATGGGATAAGAATGTTTACCTGTACGACCTGCGTGATGAAAATGGCTCTGTTGGAGAAGGAAAGCTGTTGCAGAAGTTCGAGCACCGCGCGCCGGTACTGGACGTCTGCTTCGGCGAGGATGAGAACGTGATCTACACAGCTGGCTTGGATTGGGATGTAAAGAAGTGAGTCTCCCCATTGAGTGCTAGGCTTACGATCTTGCAAGATGGATGATACTGACAAATATAGGATCGACCTCAACACTTCTGAACAGACTGTGCTTAGCAGCCACGAAGCCGGTGTCCGCAACGTCGTTTACAGTCGTGAGCACAACATCGTCATCTCCGCCTCGTGGGATTCAACCCTCCATATCCACCGCCCCGACGCTGGCGCAAACCCCGATTCCATCGCAACTATCGTTCCCCTCCCCTCGAAGCCATTCTCCATTTCGTTGACTGATTCGCGGCTGGTGGTCGCGATGGCGTCGCGCGCATTGCACATTTACGACCTTAAGGCGCTGGCCCTGCTGTCCGCAGAAGCAGATAGCTCAGTCCCCGGTGGCAACCGGGTAGAGGTTGAGCCATGGCAGCGCCGCGAGAGCAGCTTGAGGTTCATGACACGGTGCGTTGCCTGCATGCCCGACGGTGCTGGATATGTCTCGTCCAGTATTGAGGGTCGTGTCGCAGTCGAGTGGTTCGACCCTTCGCCTGAATCCCAGGCTCGCAAGTATGCTTTCAAGTGTCACCGCCAGCCCGCAGAGGATGGCGTCGATGTGATCTACCCTGTCAACGCCCTCGCTTTCCACCCTGTGTTCGGTACCTTTGCGACTGGCGGTGGTGATGGTGGTGTTTCCTTCTGGGATGGGATCTCCAAGCGCCGTATTCGCCATTACCCCAAGCATGACACCAGTGTGTCAGCTGTTGCATTCAGTGGCAATGGCAAGTACCTGGCTGTTGCTATCAGCCCCGGGTTCGAAGATGGCAAGGATGATGTCGCCGAAGGTGCAGTGCAGATTTATGTGCGGGAGTTGGGTGAGACAGAAGCCAAGGGCAAGGGCGCGAAATAGATCCAGACCATCCGTCCATTTGCCTTTTCTGCCATGCAAGCGTCCTTTGATACCACACAGCAAATTCAGTCAAAAACAATCTAAACAAGCTTTAAACATACACTTCAATTCCATTTTCTAGCCTCTCTTCCAAGGTTGAACAAAAAGCAAATCTTGGTATCATCTATGTTATTTACGTAGTCTCATATCCCACAACAACCTCCTCTTCTCTCTCCCAATCCAAGTAGCACACATCTACTGAGCCTTGCGGACAGAAACCGAGCCATCAGCCATACCAAAGTAAGCCGCAACAGGCTTCTGTCCACCAATTCCACCAGCAGCAGTAGCCTCCGGCCCAGTCATACCGCTGAAGATACCAACCTCAAGCACACCAGCAATATCCTTGATCTTGTGGGACAGCACATCAACCGCCCACACACCATCCTTGCCGTTACCCTCCTGGCCAGCGGCGAGATCAGACTTGATCAGCAAGGGCGGGAAAGGAGCATCGATAATGAAGAAGTCCTGATCAGTCTTCAGAGGACCTTCCTTGGCGCTAGCGGAAGGCCGAATAGTAGGATCGATACTGCCGAGTTCCACTAGCTTTGCAATGACACGGTGGGCAGCAATCGGGGCGACTTCAATTGGGATAGTCTTCCAGCTCGTGAGGAGGCGGGTTTGGAGTTTGCGGTGGTCTAGTAGACATGAGTCAGTAACCAGCAAAGCAGGCACAGAAACAGAAAATACGAATTGACGAATCTCTCCAACTCCTACAGATTCAATACTCACCGGCAACGCAAATAAACTCCCGCGCCTGCATAGCGACGATCTTCTCCTGGAACAAACAGGCACCACCGCCCTTGATGCAGTTCAAATCCTCATCGACCTCGTCCGCGCCGTCAAACGCCACGTCGAGAATGGTACCCTGGGGAATAGCATCGAATTCAACAGCCGTCAGACCGGCATTGACGATCAGCTGCTTGGACTGGTAACCGGTCGGGACGTATCTGGTGGCGGAGGTGTCCACGCCGAGAGCCTTGATGGCCTCGACGACGTAGACAATTGTCGTGCCGCTGCCGATGCCGACCCAGCGGGCATCTTTCGGGTAGTGGTTTGACACGGCGACCTTTGCGGCAGCCTGCTTGGCTAGTTCGACGGCGGACATGGTGGATTGGAGTCTGGAGAGACTTTGTCGGAGGCTTGGGAGTCGGAGGGGTGGAAGTGTGGGGGTTCTACGAAAAAGAGGGGAGATGAGGCGGGCTGGTTGGACCATGGGTCCGCTGTGTTTTATAGGGCTTTTTTTGGCTTGAGGGGCTTTTTAGTTGAGGTAGTCGGATCGAATAGGCTACTTTCTGCACTATAGACTGCGTTATAGCGTCATTGGCATGTGGGGTTTGTTCGATTGTTCACTATTTATCGAAGCGGTGGCTTTTTCTGCCACTATAAAAATGCTCCCAATTCTTGCTTGCATTCTAGTGGGGCATGGATACTATTAGGGAAACATTACGCGCATTCTGGAACGGGAACTTGTAGCGCCGATAGTTGTTCGCCTTGACGTGTGGACCCTTTTCTCTGACACATACCACCGAAGTGAAGACTAAGATTCGAGAGGCGGAACAAGTGTTTATTCTGAGGACTACTTGTGGCCCTAAAGGTATAAACCAAAGTGATTCACCGCTCTCACTTTTATTCTGTCTAGTAGATATGCTGTCCTCCATATCTCTCTTTGAAATGGTTCCTGCGAGGAAGACATCTTCCTCGACGAGGATGTGACGGGGAAGAGGGCGGTGGAAATAGGAGAAAAGGCCGAAAGTTGGGCAGTCCTTGGGCTAATAAAAAGCATACTATAAATGGAAATTTGTTTGGCTGTTTTCATGTCGTAGGTACTGACAAGCATCTCTATAAATGTGAGCGCCAACTTTCGTCTACAATTAGTTTGACCTTAAGGACACTGATCACGTTGATACTCTGGGGGCACCTATCCTTATGGAGGCTTTCATGCTTGTAGATGGCTTTTGCTTCTGGATCAATCATCGAAGATTACTATTCTTCATCTTATAGATCGCGAAGATATATTGGTGGCCATGATTATGAGGCAGAAAGATCACCTGCGCGCTGACTAAGATCGTGCATCAACGAGATCAAGTTGACATGGACAGCTCCAAGATAGAACCTGCATAGCTGGTATTGCAACCGGTAGATCGTCAAGAAGGCTCCAGTGGAACTGTCTGTGTGGTTTGAGATTTAAAACTCCCACTCCTTCCCGCGCTGCTTGATACCTCAACACAATGACAGACTCCTTCCCCGCAGCCTTGACAGGGCCAACCTCGAAGGAGCGCAAATATGACCGCCAGCTCCGTCTGTGGGCAGCAACTGGTCAACAGGCGTTGGAGGATTCTCGTGTGCTTCTGGTGAATTCCGATGGCCCGCTCGGCTACAACAACAAGGGCGTCTCTGGTGTTGCGGGCGTTGAAACGCTCAAGAACCTGGTACTGCCTGGCATTGGGGGCTTTACCATTGTTGATCCGGCAACTGTCACAGAGAGTGATCTCGGTGTGAACTTCTTCCTGGAAGAGGAGTCCTTGGGCAAGTCCCGCGCTGAGGAAACATGTCGTCTGTTGAGAGAAATAAACCCAGATGTGCAGGGATACTTCTATTCTAAGGTATGTCTCTTGTCCAATCAAGTTAAGATACGGATGATTGACTCTCAATACAGAATATCACGGATCTTCTGCAAGACCCAGACTTCCTACCCCGACACAAGCTAGTGATTGTCTCTGGGCCAACCAAGCGCTCGTCCCTGGCACCTCTTTGCCATGTAGCCAAGGAACTGGGCATTCCAGTGCTCTATATACATTCAGTGGGATTCTTCTCCTCATTTTCGGTGCAACTGCCAGCCGAGTTCCCCATTGTTGAAACACACCCGGATCCAGAATCAACCCAAGACCTGCGTCTGCTAAACCCCTGGCCTGAGCTCGTCGCCGCGGCAGCCAAACTGAGTGATCTTAATAGCCTGGATGACCACCAACATGGTCATGTGCCCTACATCCTTCTCCTGCTCCGCTTCCTGGAACAGTGGAAGCAGTCTCATGACGGTAATGCGCCAGGCAATTACAAAGAAAAGACCGAGTTCAGAGAATTTGTGCGATCCCAAGCCCGGACTAGCAACCCTGAAGGTGGCGAAGAGAACTTTGATGAGGCAGCCGCCGCCGTGCTGAAGACCATCTCACCCTTCAGTCTGCGCAGTTCGATTCGCGAGATCTTCGATATGGATGAATGCAAGCAGCTATCACCAACATCCCAAGATTTCTGGATCATCGCTTCAGCAATCAAAACCTTCTACGAGTCTCACTCCGTCCTCCCCCTGCCTGGCTCTCTTCCAGACATGAAAGCCCAGTCCGCAGACTACATCTCTCTCCAAAATATCTACAAGGCCAAGGCGCGCCAGGACGTCGAAGAAGTAACAGCAACAGTACGCCAACTCGAATCGCAGCTTGGAAGACAAACCCCCGCAATCCTCGACCGCGAAATCGAAGTCTTCTGCAGAAATGCGGCACACATCAAGGTCGTGCGAGGCCGCTCCATCCCCCAAGTCAGCATCGACAGCGACATGGCAACATGGAAGACAATCCGGAACCAGCTGAGCATGCCGGATTCGCTAATGCCAGCGTTCATTGCGTGCCAGATCCTGGACTCGGTCGTCGATGAAATCCAGTCAAGTGGCCAAGAGGAGAGCCTATCGGTCGATGACTCTGGACTGTGGAATAGCCACACACAACGAATTTTGGCGTTGTTAAATGTTGCTAATGGGGACGGTATTGGCGAGGATGCGAAACAGCAAATCACTGATGCGATTCAGGAATTGCGACGTGCTGAGGGTGGTGAACTGCATAATATTTCTTCCTTGACCGGTGGCCTTGTTGCCCAGGAGGCGTTGAAGGTTTTGACTCGGCAGTATGTCCCGCTGGATAATACTTGCGTCTTTGATGGGGCGCGTAGTCGCAGCGAGATGTACCGGCTGTGAAATGGCGCAGACATTCTTATCTATGAACGGGTTAATTGCATTACATAGGCTACTTAGCGAATCAAAATCCCACAAGAGTTATGATACATGATGCAGAGGCATCGACACGTCCATTTGTGGCCAACTGACCCCAGCGGAATTGTTGATGCCCGACATGGTTCCTAATCTTAACCCGACTGAGACAGTGTGATGTATTGTGAAGGACTAGATAAAACTGCATTGCCTGAGATCCTGAGGTCCTCGTAGTCCTCGAGTATCTCCAGGCAATGCTCCAGGATCCAGAACTTCATAATAAAATATGTGATCTCTTGTTTAGATGCTAGGCCCGTGACTACCCGGAGTCCGCGTGATTATAGTCAGCCTGCGCAAGAGTTAATGCAAGTCTTTACATCCCAATTCATGGCGAATAAAGGGTTTCTTTCAAACTTAGTACTGGCGGTATCATTTCGAGAAACGGAACATCCGCCCTCAGCATGAGATGCTGAATACTGAGAGAACTTGTTAGAGTCACCTTTCGTGTCTTGGCCGATGTCTTGATAAAAGCTTCGGTTTGGTCGAAATCTAGATGTGAAAGAATCGAGGAAGGTGTACTTCGGAGTATGATCTGAAAGCTGGAAGCAATATACGACAGGATGTCATATGAAAGGCCGGTGATCGAAGAGGGAGATACAAGACCACGAGTTTGACAGGTTGTAAAAATAAGAGAGACGGATTTACTTTGGAGCAATCGTTTGACCTCTTTATAATAGGCCACGAGACCTTGTAGGTCTCGAGATAACCAAGACGCGACGTGAATAAGCGAGAAATTATGATATCGTCTGGACATCGTGATCTAGACTGGGAATTCTGATATACACTGCATTGTACGCGACATGATAGTCTAGTGGTTATTACTATGCATGGCTGCATTAGTTCGTAAAATTGACCAGGGACAGTAATCCCTGGTGGAGTATGTACACAAGCAATTACAGTAGATCTCTATGACTAGATCATACTGAAATAAGCCCAAGGGCGGGATAGCCACTGCCCCTATGTTGGCCAAATTGGGATATCCCCGGAGGAGCTCGGGAGTGGGCTGGATGTTTGACAATCGAGGGCGTTTCCAACTCTCGGTTGAACTACATGGAGCACTCTTGGTAACTGCTGAATAAAACCAGCCCAGGTCTCAGGAGCAACTGGATAGCGGTGGTTTCGCGAGTCCGAATGCCAAGTTTCGAACGTAGTATATAGCGATGGAACGAATAACCGTTCTCAATCAAGGGATGTATCGAGCCATTCCTTGGATCAACGTCTCTTCGGCTTGTTCGGACCACCAGGTCCCCGACCTCCGCGCTTATTACCCTGAGGGCCACCCTTGTTCTCGAACAACTTCTCCTTCCCGAATGCGGAATCAGCAATTCGCAAGTAGCTGACGACACCCTGGTCAACGACAGCCATGACGACATTACGGTACCCATGACGCAGTCGCATGTACATCATGCGTTGCATCTTTTCTCCGTGTGGAGGATCAAGTGGTGTACTTTCAAGCAATGCACCGAGTTGAGGGAGGGTAGGCATGGTGGTTTGATCGCGAGTGCTGACTACAGCGACGCGGAAATCGGGAGCCGGAGGAGCGGACTTTTTGAAAGGAGTTGAGGGTTTATAGATGTGGAAGACGACGCGGAAAGGTGGTGTGGTATCTGAGGGCTTTGATGGGGGTGCGGTGACGGGATCGTACCAAGGAATGATGGCGAGTTTTCGATATACATCCATGTAATGGCGGTGGATGCCAAAGCCAATGATGGGCCCGGTGGCTGTAGAGGCTGTCTTTCGAGGGTCGTGGATCCATTTAAACAGGGATCCTAGTATCCCTGCTAGACCGGGACCGTGGAGCTTTGGTGGAGAGGGCTCACTCGCAGGATCAGTGTCCTCCGTCGCCTCGACTTCATCAGACCAACCAGGAGCTCGCACGAGTGCATAACCAAGACGCTTAAGACCAGTGTACACAGAGAAGCGCTCAAGCGTGAGGCCACCGTGTCCCACAAAGCATGCATATGCAGCCTGCAAGCTCATAGGAATGGAGACTGCTTCGGGATCAGACGTGCTTGGCCATCTGATATCTAGACTGCCTCTCTCGAGCAGATATAATGCCTCCTCTGGTAATAGCCAGACACGATTCTTCCGGTCAGCCTGGCCCAATGTCTTGAAGAACTGTCCTTTGGGGTTAGGCACGAAAACACATGCATCGGAGGAGACATTGACGGGTTTCGTTGCGGCCTTTGAGGCGTCTGGCGGGGTTTTCTTTTGGGTTGACTCCGAGGTCTTCTCGTCTTGTTTGGCTTGCTGTGCATCTTGCTGTGCATCTAGCTCGGCCTGGGCGGCATATCCCCCAGGCGCATAGTATCCTATGATCGTAGTCTTCGGGCGATGTAGGCGTGGGAAAGAGAGCGCATTGTGCATGGCATCTCGCGACGCGGAGAGGACATCGGCCTGGTGTTCTGTCGGGTTGGGTTCGAAATCTTTCTCTCCACGGCGGGGAATGCTGGGGGATGCAGCATCGGAGAGACTGCAGGCGAAACAGGGTCAGCAAGAGCAAAGACGGCCTTCAAGGCCATTGACAGTCGACATGGTCGCAATCAGGCATGTTCGGGCGCGTACAAGTTTAGGTGGTTCAGGAAACGAAAGTCCTGCGTTTCGTCGGACAGGTCAACCTCAACCTGCCCAGTCGCAGGGGTCTGGACAACATCCTCATCTACATCAGCCATGGTGAGTCAAAAAGAGGTTGGGGTTCAAATATTGTGAAGTCAGAAATCGGAGGGGAGAAAAGTTGCTTATCGATAAGAACATCTCCAACTTCTCTACCGTTACAGCTAATGTTTGAACCTCGCTATTGAACGCTGCTATTATAGGATGCAATATTCATCGATATATTTAGTTGCTAATCTATGGCCAATGCTGTCATTTTTTAGCAATAATTTTTCAACTTAATTTCCAACACGCAATCTTTCTACTGCTTCTCCAACATCACAACTTGACTACCCAGATCGCCATCGAATGGGAATTGCAGACCAAGGTTCATCAAAGTGGCACCTGTATACGACGCATTGCCATCAACCTTATAGGACGCCTTCGCATCCAAGCCTTGCAACCTGATACGCGGCCAGGAATGGTCGATGTTCGCACTTAGCTGGAAGACAAACAACACAGCCTGCTGACCATTCTCAGAGATGAACAAGACAGCAGGCCAGTTTGAGTCCTCCGGCAGATTCAGTCGCCACATATCACCAGTCAATACAATGGGATTCACTTTCTCAGCCAAAGCAATGAGCCCCGGTAGAGCAGCCTTGTCATCGGCCGGCATCTCAGCCGGATCAAGCTCCAGACCAAAGGATCCACCCATCATCGCGACGTGTCCTCGGAATGCAACTGAAACTGTACGGCCAGTTTGTTGGTTCGGAACGGCGGAAAGGTGAGCACCCATTGCGCTGGGCGGGTAGGCGAGTGAAGTACCAAGTTGGATGGTAATGCGCTGAACGGCGTCGGTGTCGTCCGATGTCCAAATCTGCGGGAAGTATTGCAAAACGCCTGGGTCGAAACGGCCACCACCTGAGGCACAGCCTTCCCAGAGGACATTGGGGAACTTCGAGGTCAATGTATCAAAGACATGGTACATGCCGAGCATGTAGGCGTGGTCGGTGGCCGGGGAAGGCATCTCGTGCATACCCCTGTTGTTGTCCCACTTGACGTAGGTGATATCTGCGCTGCTCAGAATGTCTGAGATCGACTTGATGATAAATTCTTGGACCTCGGGCAGCGCAAGGTTGAGCACCAGTTGGTTACGTCTCTCGGTCCGTGGGTAGGGCCCTGCATGCAAAACCCAGTCGGGGTGCTCATTGTACAGGGTCGAGTTTGGGTTGACCATTTCAGGCTCGACCCAGATACCAAAGCGCATGTTTGTTGACGAGTTCGCAGCCTTGAGCCCGGTGATGTTCTTCACCATTGGTTCGAGGCCATTTGGAAACCGGTCTGGATTGGGTACCCAGTCACCCAGTCCTTGTTCGTCAGATGTTCGCGGGTATTTCTCTCCAAACCAGCCATCATCCAGGACGAACAACTTAGCGCCTACTTCGGCGGCCTCATTTGCCAAGTTGTAGATGCTAGTTTCGTTGTAGTCGAAGCTGAGTCCTTCCCAACTGTTCAGAAGAGCGGGGCGATCACTAGTGGCGAACTTGCTCTTGATGAGATGCTTGCGATACAAGCTGTGCAGGGAGCGCGACATGCCGCCAATTCCATCCTTGGAATACACCGAGACACACTCTGGAGAGGTGAGGGTCTCCCCGGGTGGGAGATTCCAAGAAAGATGACCAGGGTTGAAGCCAACTAAAGCACGAGTGAAACCCTGCGAGCCTTTCTCGACATCAATTGAGAATGAGCCCGTGTACACCAACGAGAAGCCCCATACTTCGCCATGAGACTCTGTTGCTGAAGGCTCCACGAGCGCCAGGAATGGGTTATGGAGGTGAGACGAGTAACCGGTAGCACTTCCAAAGCTTTGGATGCCGTACTCGACCTTTCGTCTCTCGCGGTGAGCCTCCCTTGCCCAATCTCCCCGAAGACTAATCATCTCCAGATCCTCAAACGGCAAGTCCACGCTCAAACTAGCCAGAGACTCGATAGTGATGTTTGCTGTTCCATGATTCGTGACATTGACACTGCGAACAATAGCATCATAGTTGGGGAAAATTGAATACGACAAGTCGGCCGACACATCACTGTACTTGTCGTACAGATGAACGACCAATGTACTAACATCCTCTTTGGAGCCCATGGTAGCCGGTAATCCAGAAAGAGCAGGTTTCCCAGCAATGATCTCGTGAGATTTATACTGCAAGTCGGAGACGGTATACCCTTCAGACTGGCGAATGCGAATAGCAGGGATCCGGAAATCCCCTCGTCCCTGGTCTGGGAACTCGCGGCGCACACGACCTGGCGTTCCAACCCAACCATTGACACTGGCGACAGATTCTAGGGGAATATCGCCTGTGACCGAGCCACCGAAGTGATCACCGTAGAGATCACCCGTGGTGTTGTCCACATGGAAGCGATACGACACTGTTTTTCCATTGAGGGCAAACGAAGTACCGTCCGCCACGATAGCTGTAGAAGAAGTTAGCACTGCGGAATAGTTGTATTTGAGGGGTAAGAAAAGGAAAACTTACGCTTGCTAGAAGCCTGAGCCAGCACAGCCGGGAAATGCCCGAGCATAGCTACGAGGCCCGAGGCCATCGCAACACCCCTTGAAAAACGAACCATCTGAGCTTATTGTTGTTTGTGTGGCAGATGTACACTTCGAAAGAAGGAAAAGAAGGCACGAGAAGCATACCTTTTATATGTATCCCTTGCGTTACATCGACAGAAGTGGGTAATAGCTCAGAGTGCATAGAAGTCAATACTCATGCAGAATTTGCCATGAATGGGCGATCCGTGGTAGAAAAGTGGAATTGTCAAGGTTTCGTTCAAACTAACTGAGCCAGACTGCTGATCGCTAGCATATTGAGCGATATATATGTTTTGTGGAGTAGTTGCGGGGATGCAAATGTGGAGGAAGCCCGGGGATACTCCGTTTCGACGGCTTTGGGGGCTTCTTATTGGTCTCGGGCCTCTCAATTCCGCTGCACTACGCCGTCCCGCAATTTTAGTTGGGCAGATGGGGTCAATTCTTGCCTTACACGGTGTTGTACGAGTCGGCAATTGTACGGACAGTTGTTTATCCTTTTGGTTGGGATTGAGATTGGGTTTACGCAATTCGAGGTTGCCATGTTGGTAGCTTGCCTACTGAAACCACACCGGGATGCACAAAAAGGATCCAGACGTTCAATTTTCGATGTTTAGGGTGCCCGAGCAACTGGACAAGAAAGGCTGGGTCTCCTGTACACCGATGGACACTGAAAGCTCATAAAAGCTACTAAATTGACAATCTGCCTAGACCAAGTATAACTATATATCTGGGGGGCTTGCTCAACGAGGGCGTTCATGGCCATGATATCACCATCGAACCTGTGAGGACTTTACAAATCAACCAAAAAGCTTGCATTTACTCCTTCTCAGTTAACCCTCTTAGCCACCACCTCCACATCAAACTTCTCATCGTACTCGTCGCTGCCAATCGCTCTCAACAGTAGCTCGCCGTGAGCAGTAACCTGCCACCCAACAGACATTTCTTCATCGTCGTCCCAGCCATATTTGTTCTCATCGAACCAGTTCGACATATCATCTGTCACCTCGAATAGGTCGCGATGACGGCGACGGAAAAAGTCCATGGCGGCTGCGTTGGCCTTCTCCAGGGAATTGTATGCACCTTCAATGGTAAATGAAGGACCCCCGCCTGTATCCTTTGAATATGTCACAAGGAATATCCATGGCATTGGGTTTTCACGAGACATCCCGTTCTGACTGTCGGTGATATGCTGTGTTGACTCGGTTTATCAAGGCTCGGGGGTATTCTCCAGGCTCATTTGGTTCAGTTGGCTCATTTAGGTCATTTGAGCTTTCATCCTCGCTCAAGTCGCTTAATTGGCTCGAGCCCATGCTTGAACTCATAGTGTATGAAATCAATGTGAGAGAAGTTGGAATGGGGGAAAAGTTGCAAGTGAATTGTGTGTCTAGGCTTGCCCCGCAGCGTCTCTCACCGTCTCCGTTCAGGGAGCATTGAACCCCGAACCTTGAGATTGTACATTTGAACCCTCATTGAAGCTTCTTAGCCTCTACACGCACAGAATAATGTTCACCGAATTCGTCAGTGCCCTGCGCTTCCACTAAAACCTCTCCGTTGCTATTCACATCCCACGCAACCGTATCTTCTTCGCCTTCGTTTTCAATACTCCCCTTGGAGTTTTTGTAGTACCAATTAGACATGTCCTCCTCGATCTCGAAGTATTCTGGATGATTTGCTCTGAATATTTCCAGTGCAGCTTTGTTGGCCTTTTCCAGGGAGCTATAGGCGCCTGAAATCGTCTCTCCTCCGCCATATTTGTCTCCATTCCAACAGTCGTATATCACGAGGAACACATATGGCACTGGGTTTTCGGGGGAGATATCACGCTGTGACTTTGGGTGGCGTGCTGCTTTCACTCGGTCCAAGAGGGCTTGGGGGTAGGGAACTTGGCATCTTTGGCCTGGTGCACGCCCGGAGCTCATGTTGGTTGATGTGATTGAATTGATGAATCCAATTGAGTATCGCCGCACATGAGCTGAATTTGAATTTGAGAATTTTGCCAAGAGAGGCTTGAAGCGTAATTTGAAGAGTTGGGGAAGGAAAAACTGTGTGGATGTTTACGCGCTTTTCCTAGTCGCGTCCCATTGGCTACGTCAACGAATACATACAAATGTGTATATAATGTTAGTGCCACTGAAGTTCAATTTGGATACTCTGCAGAATCCACGTCCTTTGGAGCGATAAGATGGTTTCATGCATCCTCTTCGCTCCAGCTTTGCTTCTGGCTGTGACCTCTTTTGCCTAGCTTCAACTGGTCAACTTCAACTGGTAAAAGTAAACTGATGATCCTAATGAGCAGCACTCTAGCTGTCCACACATTTATGATATCTTCAGTAATTCCAGTGCATGTTTCTAGAGTGCGAATTTTCAAATCGGCGGAATTATGCCAGCTGCGCATTGCAAGGACCCCGTCCAAATATTGATTCAACTCAAGGTGTGAAGCTGCAAAACGGTACCTCTAATGTTAATAGCAATTAGCACGCGTAGCCTTACATGTTACAACAAGCTGTAAACTTGAATTCGCTAAAACATATATTATGACCGTCCATGCGTTACGGCCAGCCTTATCTTACCAACCCATCCTACACTCTCATTTACTACCTAGCATATCCTCATACACCACCGTAATGAGAAAAATAAGCACACTTTACAATCTAAAATCTTTCACTTCTCACCTCTCTCACTTCTCACTTTTTTCTCAGTTGACTCCTCACCTCACCCCAACCTCTCAACCTTAAAAGCACCATCCCCCACTCAGAACTTTCTCTCCTTCTCAACCTTTTTCAACCTTACTTTTCTCCTACCACACAACATAGCTTATCAGGCCGACCCCGATTTGGTCCTCGACTCAGTCCTGGACGCCACCGCACTGCAAGTCAACTCCGATGACGGCACGCAGCCGCAGTACTGGAACGTTCCTAAAAGTGAAAACCTCGACGTCAAGATCGAACAGACACCTGCCACAATGCACATCAACACAGACCGAGCTCCCAACCGCATCAAGGTCGTGGAGCCATTGGACACGGATGACCCTACTAGCATCATGGACCACGTCAAAGCAAAGATCGAGACCATGAAACGCCTCATAACCAAGGAGGCCGACGTCCTGGCAGAGCTCGATCTGTTGCGGCGCCCCCAGTGCTCGCCCGACGTTACCATTAGTTCCTCCTGTTGCAACAGTCATCAAGTCCCATGAATGAACCATGGTGAGTTGTAAAACGATATAAGGAAAGACAAACTAAAAGTGTCTTATGCAAGTCTGAGAGGGAAGGTTGGTGCCCAGCTTTCTTCTACTGGAGGATTTAGGGACTACAACCGATTCTAAAGCCTATTCAAAAACCTACATGAAGTCACCTGCCTTGGGGAACTTTGGCAACAGGAAAACATGCTTGGGTGATATCACAAATTCGCGTCATCTCTGCATGACGATTCTCAATGAATGTAGAGGGGAAATATGTGTATTATTTTGTCGCGGCAAGTTTATGAGTTTGACTCCAATCCATAGCATAAGCTGTTATAGAAGTATAGGAAGATCTCATGTCTTTAAGCGTGGAGCTGCGGGGTGGAAATGCGGAGGAAACGCGGTTAAACGGCTGCGGTTTTCAACCTCTCTTATTGGCGACGAATGCCCAATCCCGCCTTCACATTACACCCATCCTGGCTCTTCTCTTGGTTAGAAGACGTGCATATCTGCGTTGAGACCATTAACATACAATGAGACTGGCAAAGGCTTGTTCGATCTGCCGGTAAGCAGTCCATTTCATCCGTCACACCCGGCCTAATTACAACTGTGTAGCGAACGTCGGCGGAAATGCGACATTCCAGCTCCTGGTCACTCTTGTACATATTGTTCTGCCCGAAGCCTTGCATGTACCCGAAAGATTACTTCGGTGAATAAAACTGGGACATCAACACCAGAACAAATAAGCCATGCAGCCCGAAACAGCACCGACCAGTGTACTTTACCTGATCAATCTCTCTGCGCCGAGCTAGTGCAACTCTATTTCGAGTATGTGCATGATAAGTTTCATTCGCTTTTCCATCAGCCAAGTTTAATGGAGGATCTGCATAATGGCCAGGCGCCTGATATTTTGTTGTATGGAATGCTTGCATTGTCTGCACGGTATGTCTTGCCTCAATTTTCTCACGGTGGTTGCTAATTGAGCTAGGTTCTCGGAACGCCCTTCATTTGCGGAAATAGACCCCCGAGAGAGAGGGAAGGTTTATGCCAAACGGTGTGAACAATTGCTGGACTTGAACGACGTCTCTTTGACAACAATCCAAGTATGTGTCTTGCTAGGTGCCATTGCTGTTGTAGATGGTAAACCGGCTTCGGAAACCATTTATTACGCAGTTGCATGCCGCATCGCGCAGCTGCTCGATCTTCCGGATTGCCCTGCTTCAAACCGCGTAGAGCAGGAAGTTTACACGAGAGGTGCCTCTATCATAATTTCAGTTTTTCAGCAACATACTGACCTAAGCCAGTTTGGTGGACGCTATGCATGATAGACGTTTGGTCTTCAAGCGGAGTCCGACTCCCTCGCCTGATGATCCCACAACCCAACATACCTTTACCAATGAATGAAGCCACATTTCTACACATGAACAGGCATCAGGGATTTGCCGTCAAAGTTGAAGAAGATCGCTCGTCATCATTACTAGCACAAATGGTCCGGCTCAACCGTATTCTAGCTCAAATAAACGATTTCAACATCCAAGCCGCCGAGAACAAGATCGAAACACCGGACGCCATCTCTACTATTGAGATCCTCTCCTCAAGGCTTGATGAATGGATTACCCTTCTACCGAGCGATATGCAAGACACACGCGAGAACCTTCTACACTACGCATCCCAAGGACTCGGCCAACTCTTCGTCACTCTATACCTAGGCTACTATCACTACGGTCAAATGCTCTTCTACCGCTTCCTACACGAAGACTCGCGATCTTTCTCGCCACGCACACACTTCTACGCAAAGCAATGCAAAGACCACGCCGTTAAGTTATGTGAAATGATATACAGTTCGGAGGATGTACCCGGCTGTGCTGTGCTATATAACATGGTCGGCCATGTGCTTGTGATAGCATCGACGGTACAAATCCACACTCTGCTTTTCGAGGTCGACAATGAAAGTATCACTCTTGCAAGGGGAAGACTTGAGAGAAACTTTTGTATTCTTACGCGACTTCGGAAATTATGGCCTACGCTTGATGTTTGTATGGAGCGGTTACAGGCTTTTCATCGTGCTTGCAGGCGTTCGGTTGATACGAGTTTTTGTATGGATGAGTGGATGGTTAGGTTCTTGGTTGAGTTTGCGAATCCGGTTAGTGATAAAGATGGCAGCGCAGGTGGAATTGAGGAGAGACCTTGGGGGTTGGAGGAGATTGGAATTTCGTGACTAGGAGGATGTGATCTTAAGGGCTAGTTTGCTGGTAGCTAATATACTAAGGGACTTCAATAGTCAAAGACACAAGCCCTGCTATATCAGGCTGCGTCGTATATAAATCCATCAAGCTCCTCAAATGCCTTGTCAAAATCATCGTTAACGATAATCTTATCATAAGCATCCTCTGAATCAGCATATTCCATTTCAATTTTAGCTTGAGCCAGTCTTTTCTCAACATCACGATCGCTCTCAGTGCCACGATTTCTTAGTCGCTCTTCAAGGGCCTGCAGACTGGGCGGTCTAATAAAGATATACCGCGCCTCGAAGCTAGGATTCTCCTTCATCTGCTGGATACCATGCATCTCAATATCGAGCACGACAATCAATCCCTTCGTCGTCTGATTTTCAATAGTCATTTTGCTCGTGCCGTAGTGGTGCCCGCTAAAAAAGGTATGTTCGACGAAGGCATTCTCAGCGATGAGCGACTTGAACTCGTCCTCGCAAACGAAGTAGTATGCTATGCCTTCCACTTCGCCCGGTCGTGGGCTTCGTGTTGTGTGAGAGACAGCCAATGCAAACGTTTCCGGGTGTGTGTTGAAGAGCTTTTGGATCAGGGTTCCTTTCCCGACCCCTGATGGCCCTGATATGACGATGGGTCGACGATCTTGAGGTGCTGTTGGGAGACAGCGTTAGTGTATATTTTTGCTCGTCATCTCATATATGAAACATACAGGACGACATTGCTGAGAGGGGCTATGAAGGTGCTCTAGTTGGCCAGCCTTAATTTTTGTGGTGGAAAGTGGCTTAGAGTCAGAGTTCAGGTATGAGACATTCTATGCAGGGGTATGTCACATACACGCATGGTGAGCTCACAGTGATCCAAGCAATAGAGGAAATCAATCAATATGTCTTGTTTACTGTATAAAACAATACAATCTAGTGAATTTTTTATTTGACAGCCGTAGTAAATAATGCTCATGCCTAAGGCGCAAATCCCATTCCCCACAAAAGCGAGTCCCATCAACATCGAAATATTAGCACATTTCCAGCAAGCCTCTATCCTTTCGAGAGAGCATCACATCTCAATGAATACTACTGCCCAGCATGCCGTAAACTACAATGAGACTCTACGCAAAGTACATTATACCCCGCACCAAGGAAAGAGACATAAAAACTTACGAAGTTCCAGATATCCAACAGCCTAGAGAATGCCCTTGACACATTCGGTCCGTCCTCCAGGCAATATCAAACCATTCTAGGCATGCTAAAGGAATGCCTCCACGATATCGAGAATGAGCGCCAAGTTCAAAACAATGCTCAGGTGGTTGATGCCGACATGCTGAGTCTCGCTATGGGATTCCTCGACATCGGAAAATAGCGATCACTTCTCTGTGGATTTTTCCTCTGCTCCTGATGCTTGATACCCCAATTCTTTATGTTTCTATGTTTTTCTGTGCGATAGATTTTCCTGGCAGCTTGTATATACGGAAACAGCTTGTATATGACAGAAAATCGCCCCTTTTGCGCTGGACAATGATATCTCGAAGCATAGATTTATATCTCTAATTCTATCCCCTAACCTCCCCTTGACAAGGAACAGCCGAACTACGCCAGTGTCAGATATATGACAGCCATTAGTCCAAGACTTATGCATAGTATTGAAAATAATTCATAATTCCATGTATTGACATGTCTCGTATCAGCTGTGCCACAGGAGGAATGGCCGGACGTTTTCGTCGGCAAAGTCAAAGCAGTATCAAGGACATAAATCCAGGCAGGAATTGACAAGAAGTAAAGTCTGACTAGTTCAGTCTCACAAGTCCAAACCCCCAAATAATAGGCAGCCCAAACACCCCATTTTGCCCAAGACAAATGAACAGCCGGTTTTCGGGAATGCCATGCAATAAACTCCATCTATGTAATCGTAAGATATGTCATGATATAGCGTGGTTACTATGTGTAGCCATTCGCCTCGATGTGATAGCTGTCTGCGGGAGAATCCGACACCCCATTTGTGGTATCATCAACGCAGACAATCAGCTGTTGGTTGCCAATGCGGGTCGAGACGGGGGAGGATATTAAATATTTCTTTCACTGTCCCTGGGATTCAAGAGTGATATCGTCCAGTTCAGTCAATTAACGGTTTCTTCTGGTTGCCGACGATGGCTACTCCTAGATGGCTTAGGGCGTTGTGGTCGTTTGGTCGAACGATCGCGGGGAGGGGGAGCATGGGGTTGTCTGGGTTGACGTGGGCGGCGTCTCGGGCAGCTTGCTCGATTGCTTCCATTTCTTCTTTGCAGCCGGCATGGTCGAGGGGACAGACTACAATTGGTTGTCGTATTGTAATGTCTCTTGCGGAGGTAAGGTGGGCCTGTTGATGTCAGTCTTTGGTGAACGTGAAAATAAGGTAACGGGGGACGAACGCGAACAGTGAGATAGTACTCGATCTTATATAGACTTGCAGTGGTTGTGAAGCCGCTCACCCCATATGTTGGAAATGCCGTCCTACTTCGTGGTAGAATTCCCTCTGCATCGCGGAGATCCTTGGCGGGAAACACCAACCCGAGGTTTGTGAGATATCCTGATTGAGGTAATTTGACACCAATGTTTTCCGTCTTCTTGGCCAACACTTTGACTTTCCGTTGGGGCTCGTCGCCTTCGTGATTGAAGATGATTTCTTCGTCGATTCCAATAGTGATCTTACTAATTGTCACTTTGCGAGCCTTACCCATCCAGCTCTCGTTTGGTGATAGTTTGACATAGACACTGACAGGGTCGAGGGGACCGTACGACCAGCGTGGTAATGAAATGGCCAAGGTGACCAAATGATCTGATACCCGTTCCGCGGACTCGGGACGATTGTACATGCCGAACGTGGAGAGTGTATCGTAACGTGCGATGGGAACCGGAAATGTGTATTTGCGTTGTTCTTGTTGTCCTTGCTGCACCATGACTACCATCTCATAGTACGTTTCGGCAGTGCGACTAGGGAGTTGTACGCTGGCTGGGGGTACGCGCCTGGAGGCATCGCGGCCACCACGACCAAAAGGAATAAAGAGCACAAAGGGTAAATCCATAGATATTACTTCCTCGTATTCTCTGCCAGCCGGACATCGGAACAGAAGCATCTCCTTGCCTACGATATCCGTGATCTCTTTCCGCGGAGGAGCCAGGCGCTTCTTTGTGAGGGAGTCGGCTGAAGGGTGAATGGTCTCGCGGCGGAGGAGGGAAATTGTGACGAGTGAAATGTTGACAGGGGCGGTAATGCCGACACAGGGTCGAATCTCGACTTTACCTTCGACTCGAGGCTTGGATACGTCAGTCAATGGCCGTTGAACAGGGGGGGGGGGTCGAACGCCTCGCGAGGTTGTAGTACAGGGCGCTTACCATCGTCGCAGATATGCCCGGATATCCGATCAGGAAGTTGCCATTTGCCGGGCCTGAAACGCGCACGAAGGCGGCCATCTCGATCAAGTTGTGCCTGTCGCACCATGGGCGTGCGGCGGGTGGTCGTGTTGTGGGGTATCTGCGAATCGGCCGGGGGAACCTTTCGCGCGGTTCATAGGGGTTCCGAGAGGTTGGAAGATAACGTCAGGTGTAGAGGGAGTGTGAGGGTGAGTGAAGTGAGTGAAGCTGGGAAGCTGGGAAGCTGAGCTCGCAAGTTGGTGGGGAAGGGTAGAACCCCCAACTTGTAGCCTCAATGTAGATCGACCATTGAACTTATACTTACTGTAGATGTAGAAGATATTACTATATAGTTGATCCTATACTGATTGGAGTATATGCCCAAATGTCTCTATGTCTATGTCTTATGTCTCTCGCCCAATTTGCAACCGATGTCATCATCGTCATCTTACATGAACTGTAGATCACGATCAAGGCGCTTAACAGTTCACTAAACAAATCCACAGTTATGGCAGCTAATCCACCAATTCCAATAGGTATTTTCAATAAAATATATATAATATGTGTACATAGTATCTACAGTATGGTCCCCTGAACCCAAATACCAGGCAAGCTTTGGTTGCCAGTGCAACAGAATGACGCTTTTCTCCACCATTCCCTCCTCCCTCCACATCACTTCACCACCCACCACTACACGCCTAGAACCTGCATCTCTGTTCCATACAGCTACAGCACAACCACAAAATGCCTCCTCGTCGCCGTGCAGGAAACACCACCTCAGCGCAATCGACGCTGTCCTTCGGCAACCGGTCCCGAGTCACCAAGCCAGTCACCAAGCCAACCGACAAAGCGAAGGTCCTCGACTCAACGCCCCCTCTCTCCCAGAAATCGACTTCCGCCACCCCCGAGCCGCAAAATGTATCCGTCAGCCCTGTCGAGCCCTCCAAGGCCCACGTTGCAGAGCTAGCCGTCCGCCCGCAGCCCACAGTCGAAACACCAGCGCCCTCGTCCGAGGAGGATAAGCGGGCCTTGAAGTTGAACAAGCAAGATATCTGGCGGTACTGGCGGGCTCAGGAGGAGAGTCGCAAGGCACCTCGGAGTGAGTTGCTCTGAGGAGTACTGAAGGAGTCACCCGAATGCGAGACTAACTTGTCCCGATAGTTCACCAGCAAGGCATAGATGTGGAGGAGAAGATCCTTCGCCATTTTGATCTGTCCAGCCAGTATGGGGTATGTATTATTTGCTCTTTCGGCAGACCCGACTTGTCTAGGCATCATATCTAACGTCTTGTCCCTAGCCCTGCGTTGGGATTGCTCGTGTCAACCGTTGGAGACGCGCAAACACGTTGAAGCTTAACCCGCCTATTGAAGTCCTAGCTGTCATCCTCAAGGGCAAGGATACCAAGGAACGGGCGTATATCGATGAACTGCTGTCATGAGGACAGGGATACTTTGCTTGGGTACTTTGCATGGGTCCGGAGTTTGGGGAATGTACGATATTAATGAGAAATGAACATTTGGAGCATCCTAGCACTTTGACAACTTTCAACACTTCGAATTTCAATTGCAACTGATAGTCACGTGTAAGATATGGAGGCTCCTTTTGCGTCACCTTGCAATTCTTGGACTTCCCTCCTTGCATGTGAATGCTCGACCGGGGCAGAATAGTCTTCCGTTTTTCTCTTCGATTGAGATAGACAGAATAGCAATGGAAGACAACAAGGACTCAACTGATTATGATTGAGTCCCTGGGCCCTGAACACGCCGATCCCAATTACCAGGAGCCTGCAAGTGACAGGCCGTTAATCCAATCGATCACCGAAGCATACTATATTTATCTCGTCGATATTGGATCAAGGAATTGTTTAACGCCAACTCATTTCGGCTCGGGCTCTGAACATCTTCGAGACCGTGCCTGATACCACCCCGGATTCACACGGCTTGGAGACTCCGCCCCCGCAATCTTATGTCTCTCGACTTGGTCGATCTTGTTATATGACTGTAAAGGTTTCGCTTCGATTGACTTCCACAGTTCACAGACAAATTCGGAAGGGCGCTAGACAAGGGCTTTGCAGCCTTCCGACGCCTCCACAGTCATCATTCGCCTCAGATCGCCTCTTGAGCAGAATGAAGTCTAAGCCTAATGCAGATGTACCCCGTCTAGGTCTATGCGCTCTTTTCCCTGGAAACTCGAAAATGGCTCAACGCCTCTTTGCCAAATTCTTCCAGCCCCCAAGGACATTTGTGCCATGTGATGGCCTTGACCCACGCTCCAGAGGCGAAGCTGCAGACTTGTCCCGCTAAAATGTCTCACTTGGTCGGCTATGGGAGACCCCGCCTGTCCCACTGTGTCTTCGGGGATACAGTGCAGACATCCATGGCAGGTGTGCATCGTACAATCTACCCTGTGGAAGTCAGCGATCACCATATGCAGGTACGGCCTTCCAAGACTCACCTTTGGATGGCTGTGGTTTGGGTATCTCGCTAGCCTATGGATTCTCCGGGCTTTCACAAGTCCGGTCGAACTCTGAAATCGCGGAGTTTCCTTTCAGAATTATTTCCGCTCAGCTAATTGAGACCAACGAGGTCTACAGCATGTTCTTGTGGTTCACATGGTTCCTGACCAGTTCCAAGTCTAAAATGTCCACCTCCTGAGTTTGGGCCCTTCATCCTTCGCTTTAATTTATCTAACAGCGCTGTGCTACCCCAATATTAACCGTATTAACAGAATAAATTAAAACATGCGGATTGTCGGACCACATCCCAAATCGGGATAGTCTGATGCTACGTTCCCCCGGGCCCTGCCGGTATCCAGTCTTTCCCCGGATTTTCCTCTGCTTCTCGACATCTGTCTCACATTACCATATTGCCACCCTCTCTGCTCACTGGACTCGTGGTAATTGACGCAAAGCATCATTGTATTTTAACTCCACACCGCACAATGGCTTGAATCCTGCTTTTCAACCAATCTCCTTGCGTACGGTACTTCCTGCAGTGGGTATCCTGCACAACCCACATATGTGCTACACAACCACTGCCCTATCATTATGTCCCTCGAGGGCAAGGGTCTGGGCTGGGAAGTGGAAATTCAACCCCAATGTCTCCAGCCGGCGTCTGACTAGCTCCGAGTGGGTAGTGCACCACAGATGGACATTGCCACCGGCCCAGCCTTTCCTAGACTGCTTTGTCGACCCTGTCTAGTCCTATCTTGGCAACGCGGGCATACGTACTCTGTACGAGGGCACCAGCATGAGCTAGCCATTTGTTTTCCTCCGTTTATTCGGCTGCGGGAACAGGATCCGGCGTCAGTCTTGGCCATGCAATGAGCGTCCAGGACCCCGGCTCAGTGGTAATTACGGATCTGAGTCAACCGCGGTCTTGCCCTATCTTTTGGTTGAAGGACTCTCCTATTAAGCATGCGGAGACATGTGATGGGGCCACCCATGAACGCTTGGTGCAACCCTGAAAGGGGTTACCCCAATCGTGGAGTATCAGACACAGGCACAGGCGAAGCTTATAAAAGGCCTTTCCCATCCTCTAGGTCTGGATCTCTCTTCTTCTCGACAAGCCATCGCATTCGCTCAACTTGACTGTCGTTTCCAGCACGCTTTTAGAATTATAATCCGGACTTTGTCTTCTATATCTTCAAGATGCAGTTCTCCCACGCTCTCATTGCCCTCGTTGCTGCCACTCTGGCCAACGCTCAGCTGCCCAACGTCCCCGCCTGCTCGGTATGAATTATCACCACGACACAAACACACATCAAAGCATGCCGACTAACAATCACTCTAGCTGAACTGCTTCGTCACTGCCCTGACCACCGATGGCTGCTCCGAGCTGACCGACTTCGCCTGCCACTGCCAGAAGACCTCTCTGGTCAGCACCATCACCCCCTGTGTGCAGAAGGCCTGTCAGGTCTCGGACCAGATCTGTATGTCGACTTCCACTCCCAGTCCACCCAATGATCCAACCCACTAACCCACCCTAGCCGTCTCCAACGCCGTTGTTGAGCAGTGCTCTTCCGCCGGCCACCCCATCGTGGTCCCTCCCATCGAGACCACCTCGGCCTCCAGCAGCTCCTCCGCCTCCGCCAGCGAGACCACCTCCAGCTCCGCCCCGGCTGAGACCAGCGCCACTGCCACTGCCACTGCCAGCGGCAGCTCCAGCGCCTCCGAGTCCTCCTCCGCTACCGGCTCTGCCACCGCTAGCTCCAGCTCCGGCTCCGGCGCCAGCTCCAGCGGCGCTGCTTCTTCCACCCCTCTGGCTACCAAGACTGGCTCTGCCTCTGCCTCTGCCAGCTCCCCTGCCTACACTGGCGCTGCTGCCAACGTCAAGGGCAACATGGCCGGTGTCGCTGTCCTCGCCGCTGCTGCCGCCTACGTCCTGTAATTTTATCTATCCCTAATTTGACCCTGTTCTTGGTCTTCGTGGATCGGCTATCAGCTTTATTGGCTGATTGCATTTGGACGCCTGGATTTGCTTTCCGGATTCTGGGTTTCGGTTTGTGAAGGCTGGAATGGTGTATATCCCTGTATAGTTGCCACGCTTAATACAATCTATGTTGTGCGATGATTCTGATATTGACTTTGATATTGATTCCATTATATTCATGCGAGCTGCGTAGTTCTATGCAACTGATACAGGATTACTTAAAACTATTCTCTGCTGAGGGTGTAGTGATTTCCATACAACCAGAGACTTAGCCCACCCCATTGTATACTCATATCTGAAAGCGATGGTTCCTTGCCATGACAAGCATTTTTGGTCGAGCGACTGGCATTCAATTCATTCGATAACCCAATAATCATAGAATGTTGTTCTTGTGATGTCTATCAGATCACATACGTCTGCATGAGGTATGTCGTGTGGTTGGACGATGACATCAACAAGCATTAGTATTCGGCCTCTAGTCCTATCTCTCTAGACCGAGAAGTCAGCTCCAAGGCTCCCCACAAAATCGAGTATAAATAAACCGTAAATGCCTACCATTCCCTGATCTATACAGAACACTATATAGAACAATGACTTAACTATCCCTTTTCGCTTACGTATAAGACTCAACAACTAAGTTAGTAAAATGAAAACATAATATAAAAAAATCCCCTTTTCGTCCCAGCAGCCGATAGTGATATGCCGACAAGACATTACTGCGTATCCATCGGGTCCAGACCCCCATTTCGAAAAGGGCTACCAAGGTATCTCTCAAAAATCTTCCAGCCATCAGCTGTCATCCTCAGCCGATCAATTATAGTCCCAAGCCACCATGTCGATGGCAGACCGTCGTCTCTAACGACGTCTGCACCAGTAACAGCAGTCACATCATCACCCTTCCAACCATACCTGATGAGGCATTCCTGATATCGGACTATGACCCCTCCCTCCCCATCACGGTCGACAACATGGTTTGTGGCGCTGCGGCAGACTCCTGGGATGAAGAATTCATAAATGTTCTCAAGGAAAAGCTTCATCTGCTCAAGACCACGGATAGTGCCATGGCTGTGGTAGATGACAGCATCCGGAAGAAAAGTTCCCATCATCTTTGAATGATTGAATTCCTCGAACACGAAATTGTGGCGGTTGACGAAGTCGATTGCAGTGGTTCTTTCTTCGGTGGTCACGTCGTGTTTGGTGGAACTGTTGATGGGTGGAAAGTGCCCGTCGACGATAAGTGAAGACATGAGGATAGTCAATTCGAGGTGGAAACTGTATAACTCGCTATTATAGATTCCTTCTGCTCTTCCCTCGCTATTTATATATATATCCCTAAATAGAGTTTCCATTAATGACGCTTTCAATTTATCGAGTTACAGTCCGTGGCCTAGAATTTGCCTGAACCATGTCTTTATAAATATGTTTTGCTGTAACCGGTACTTCCGAAGCAGGTACCCGTGGAAGGAATACACTTAACATGGCAGAGCGTGATCGGTCAGCTCGGCAGTCTAGTACAGTGAGCTAGATTGCTCAAATGCGCTAATTAAAGTCATAATAATAGACTGACGCCAATGATTTAGCGCCTAGGGGGCTAAGCCACATGATACTCAGGGAGCAATTTCATTATTTAAGACTTCAAGGGTGTGCTCAGTTTTATGCAGTGAGTAAAAAGCGGTAAGGGGTGAGCAATAAAAGAAAGGGAAGGATATCTTGCGCGGCCTGATATCCGATGTATATGTTACAGCCAGTAGACGCCGAAGGATAAAGAATGATAAGAAGGCGCCGTGGCATATGAAATCGATATTTCACGGGACCCATAGACGCATGAATCCCCCAACTTCCTGACGGCAGGTCACACAGCTGCCAAAGTTGTTCATCGCAAGACTAACGCGGCAGTCTTCGCAAATGCAGAGACAGCGACAGGGCCAGGTGATGATAGCTCGGGGGCTAGTTTGGCAGACCACACAAGGCGGGCCATTAGGACCAAGACCTGTTGCACCAGACTCCCAAGACGAAGCATCCGCGTTAGGTGAAGTCTCCGCGCGACGGGAGAGGATGAGCTTCTCCAGAATCTCGGATTCTTCATCGGCGGTGGGCTTCCGCCCACTGGACCCGGAGTCCATGGCATTCAGTTGATGCAGACGAGACGAGAAAATGATTTTGGATTTCTCACGTTCAATCTCTTTGTGGTAGCGGCTGCGGGTCATGATCTGGGGACCGTCCTGGTTGGGTTTGAGATGCGCGGCTAGGATGCGGGCTTCTTCTCTGCTTTCCCGGTCACGGGGATCGAGAAGACGGGCGAGGGTGCCCATGTCAAGAAGAGGGTCTTGGAGCCGGACAGATCGTGCCCTGTCTGCGTATGGTTCACGTTGGGTGGGAGTACGACGTCCGTCGTCAGATGGGTAGTCCTCCCATTCCGATCCCGAGGCATTGGTCGACATGGACACCATGCTGGTAGTGTCAAAGTCATCGTCGGCTGTGGGTTGGTAGTCTGAGCTGTGGTCTTGGTTACCCCAGGCACCACCGGATCTCCACCAGCCGTACAACCTGTCGTCTAACCAGCCTTCATCCAGTCCCGATCGCTCCATTTGATTTGTCCGCTCTCGCTTCCTCATTTCTAGCTCAACATCGAAGTCACCGTTCTCGGGAAGTCGGATTTCTCCATCATCAGAGAGGATCCAGAAGTCTAATGTGCGAGATCCGCCGGGCTTGTCAGTCTCGGCCTTTTGTTGACGGTGTTCAATCAGGCGTTTCAGCCACATTGGACGAGCAGTGAATCCCAGTCGGTCAAGCACCGTGCTAAGTCCGAATGCAGCCCAACGCAGGACGAGCAACGAAATAGCACGGAAGAACGAGGCGACGTGCCACAGCCGAATGGATACGCGCACCGCTCCAACTCCGCCAAGCTCGGCCTGGGAGCGAACGGCGCGAGAACCATTCTTTTGTTTCTCAATCTTCTTTTCACGGCCGTAACCACTCTCCCAAGTGGGAGGTTCTTGTGGAAGATCAAAGCTTGCAAAGCCTAGGGCCTCGATCGGCCGAGTGTTGGATTCACTTTGCCAATTTCCATAGGAAGAATACTTCTTCCGAGAAGCTTCGATCTCAGCGAGTCGATCCTCTTCCAGCCAAGTCATGCGCCGCGCGATGACTGCTTTTCCTTCGTTCAAGAAAACGGCTTCGCTCGCAGCGGTGAGAGCGACATAGCCGATCCGAAGCAACGTCGTATAGAAATCCTCGTGTCTATTAATGCGAATGCTGCGGATCTGGTTGGATCCTTGCATATTTTCATGGGCGAGCATGAACCGCTCACGGAGTGAGACGGGCTGTTCATACTCTGGATGCAACGAGAAAGCGGTGATGGTAAGCGCAATTCCATAAATTGTCACACAGACAACGATGCCAAGCAACACAAGTATGTGAGGAATGAACCCGACAATGCAGACAGTTGGGAATTTCAGAACGCCAGTTTCAATGCTGATGGGCGGACCGCCTTCCAAACCCCATAACATGGCTGTCATGAAGCATGCACCCCAAAAGGCAGTATTGAGCAGTCGGTATCTGCTCTGCTTCCCGACAACGTCTAGGAGATGGGATGTAAGGCTGTTACAGCACGATATCAATGCGATGAGTAACAATTCAGGCGTGACATTCATGCGTTCCAAGACTTGCGATCTTGTGAGCATTTGAAGGACCGAGGCTGACGCTTCACCAGATGAACCAGCACTGAGAGGACTTTGTTTTGGAAGACCAAACATGCCCAGTCCGATCGATTTGCTGATCATCGACTCGGCTTCGGCGAATGCAAGCGAATGCTCAAAGATAGACATTCCTGTCTCAGTCATCACAGGCTTTCCTTGCAATGCGCATGACAGAGTTTCGGCAAAATGGCTCCCGCAAAGAAGCAAAAACGTCGGCCACAAGAGGGAAAAGGACCCATATGGAATCGGCGACGAGGTGCCTGCACGGCCCATTTTCACAGCGCTGCAGGACTGTTCGACGGACTCCCATCCCAGAAGCTTGGAACTGAACGAATAAAGAGCGCCCCCATCACTGGAATAGTCGAATATGAGTTGCTTTCCCGGCTTGCCGTATCGAAATGTAGAAAAGTCGGGCGATGTTTGGCACCTAATTCCGCGGAGCAGACTCAGGATTTGGAACACGAAGAGAAGAATAGGGATTAAACGGAGAGCCAGGCGTCTTTCCCAGCCTAGTCGAAGGTGTCGCCGAGTGGATGCATAGATTGTGATGCGGTTGAGAATAAGTGCCTGGAACGATTAGCATCATACACCTCCAACGGTGACAGTCCAAACCTACCTCCACCAAACACGCGAATGACCATAGACTAGTCAGATACCCAAAGAAGCCGCCAACTTTCTTGATAGCACTCAAGAACTCAGCAATGTAGTAGCCGCCTTCCTGGCCTACTCCTCCCGCAGTCCCATCTCCAGCCATATTCGCTGCCGCGTTGGCTGCCGTTGCCACTGCGTCACGCGCTCCGGTAGTCGTGTCTGCTCCGCTCCAAAAGTCCAAGCCTAGGGCATTCATTCCGGAAAATCTGGCGAGCGTTTGAGGAACTGTCCGGAGGGCAAAGGTCTCGGCGTGTTGGAAGGCGCGAAGGGGGGAAGTGAGGATCTGGAGTGGCAACGACGACAATGATGAAGCTTCAGGTAAAGTTGTGGATTCTAAATGCTGCAACAAAGGTGCACTAGACGTGCTGGCCATCGTAGAGGTCTCCACGATCCCAGACATTGTGAGCGTGGGATATGACCCTTATCGCTGATCCGGGGGAGATGCAATCAATGCAGAAGGCCGCCAGTGCATCCGGAAGGCGTGGGATCACGCAAATGGACGTTTTAATACGGGGTTATTGAAACAAGACCGGAGACTACAGAGAGCATCGCTCATGTGAACTGCATCCCGTAGACCGTTATGGTAAGAGCGGACTTTACGGCACTTGGCCTGGCACTTTGGGTATTCCGGGGGCTGAGTCAGCGCCGAGGCTCCCGCGGGGGCAGGCAATGCCGTACTTGGCAGATTGGAGGTAATTGCTGTGCTACCGACTTGTTTATTAAAGGGATTGATATTGAAGAAGACATTGAATAGGTTATGTATTTGCCACTGTTGTGCAATAAGGCAGTTATAACGTTATATACGAGGCCCTATGCTTCGTACTGGCAGCTCTGAGTGGCCAAACTATATTATATCCATCAAAATACGTGATATGTTTCCCTTCATGAAAAACCAAGATCAGTGGTAAGCTGGAAAAGGTGCAATCATTGGGATATTTGTTCTGCCATCCGTTTTAGACGTTTCGACCATAGAGCTAAGGGCCGAACGCATATGCTTAGATGGGGCGGGATTTCTCCCAGAGGATACTCCGTATGGATAGCGCCTTAGAGAAACGAAGATAAACAAGAAACAAGAAACAAGAAAAAATAAACAGTTTCAATGTGGTTAATACCCTGCATTCCATAGAATACATGTCCAGCATAATGCCATAGTGAACCTGCTTTGAGCCAGTCCGAAACTCCCAGTGGTATCTTTGTAAATGAAACGCCGTAGATCGTTGCGCCGTTAATAATTGCAGGGTTGGTAGGAACCGAACCGAGAATACTTGAAGCCCTAGACATCGATAACATTGAGAGACCGAAGGGCATGGTACCACGTACACCTCAAGTATCCAAGTAATCAGCAGCCATCAACAGCTCCAGGCACAATTCAGGCGGGATATCCATGTCCGGAACGTTAGTCTGGTCCTTGTGCTTATCATTGTAGCAAAAGTATTCGCAGACTTTTTCGAGGACGACACCACTGCAAAGAAATCGGGTTAGCATTGATCAAGGCGAGTAAAAATAAAGTAAGAGTCATACGTCATATCATCCAGCACACATCGGCCAGAGATTCCCTCGGAGAATTTGCCTGTGGATGGTTAGTGAAGCCCGAGTACCGGATCCCGAATCTACGTACTGGAGGGGTGCAGCATGCGGCGGATAGTGCCTGAAACACAAGCTGTGCTGCGGGGAAGAATAAATTCAAACCCATCACAAGACACCAGAGTCACATATTCCGACTGTGAGGAATCCATGGTGAAGTCCGTAGTTGCAGGAAGTTGGTGTGGTGGAGAGCGGAAGCCTTTTTGACCTCCGTGAGGTGGTCCGTGCGGAAGCTGCGTGATTTGATATTGAGACAGTTTAATGTATTCTTTTACTTCAGTCAACAGCATATGATGCAAATATGAACAGCTTGGAAGTATCAAGGGCATTCTTGCGACGGAAAGTCTCGTTTAACTGCATTTCACCCGGACAAATATATTCGCACAGCACTGGAAGCTTCAGTCAACAAGCACGACGTCATATCCATCCCAGATCAACCAAACGACTATTCTCATCGTCTCGAACAAACCATAGTAATAGCAATGTACAGTTCCAGCCTGCAAACCGGTTGCTGGGTCGAACATGCATGATCACAGGTGGGACATCGGGCATCGGATTCGCTATCGCCGAAAGATTCCTACAGGAAGGGGCATCATCAATTGTCCTAGTGGGAAGAACTCAAACACGTCTCCAAGAAGCAGCTACCAGACTAGCCTCCTTAACTGGTACATCGGCTGGTCTTGATGAAAGCAACGGCATAGTTGCAACACGCGCCCCAGAGGAGGACATCCAGCAAAGCACGCCAGAAAAGATCCGTCTTCTTGTTGGAGATGTTTCAGAAGCAGGAGGATCATGGGTGCGGGAACTCGAGAAGGAAATGGTATGCATATTTCATATCGCATTAAATTGCAGATATCTAACCCACAACCCAATCCAGGCGAATGTAGACATCCTAGTCAACGCAGCCGGAATCTCCATATCAAACATCTTGCCCAGGTCCGAGCTGGAGGATATCTCCAAGACATTGCGCACAAACCTCGAAGGCGCAATGATCACCTCACGAGCATTAATGCGCGCCTCGATTCGCAACCGGATGCGCAATCGAAATGATCCAGCTGCCGGGAACAGACCTTCAAAGTGCATTATTAACGTTTCTTCGTTGCTAGCCATCAAGGGTGGAACTGGTGCGGTTCCGTATGCGGCCTCTAAGGCTGGTCTGTTGGGGTTGACTCGGTCTTTGGCTGTTGAGGCGTCGGCTTCATTGAAGGATATTGTGATTCGGTCGAATGCGATTGTGCCGGGTTATATTGAAACGCCCATGATTGCAGGTATGCTGGTGCTATTCTTCATTCTTTGGGAGCTTGCTTACGTTGATGTAGATTTCACACCTGGAGAAATGAGCAGGCTGAAGGATCTCATTCCTCTTCATCGATTTGGAGATCCGCGCGAGATTGCCGATGCTGCTGTTTTCTTGGCGCAGAATGAATATGCGAATAATTGTGTGCTTAATATCGATGGTGGTTTGAGTGCTGTTTAGCTGCATAAAACTACTATAAATGCTAAAATGTACTTTTATGAAATGTCTGCAGCCCGGTACACCCTAGGAAAAGCGCTACCCATGCCAACAACTCATGGTTCATCCAAAATGTATTCCTGTCCGTATCTAAACTTGTTCGCCAGAAGGAAAGCTTGGACACTGCTTTTTGCAATTCAAAGAAAGTTCGCCTTTATGCCATATGGTACAGGGTGTCCGACGGAAAAGAAAAAAGAAAATCGTAAGAGCACGAATGAGAAGACCCCCCAATAAGACCCAGGAGACCAAAGACAAACCACGGTCTGCATTGTGAGATCAGACGGGGAGTTTTCTTGCGGCGGCATTTAATCATCGATCAAGATGGCCCCCTCGTCGTCGTCATCAAGAACGATAGGTCCGTTGCTATCCACGCCAGGCACGAATCCACTAGCGACGCGTTTGGAATTGTGCTCGTTGGTCAGGTCACTTGAGCCCTCTCTCTTGCGCTTTCCAGTCACAGTCTCACCATTGGTAGATGCCGCGGGTTCGGAACTTCGTTGCGCTGCCGTCTGAGGCTCGGCTTGCAGGGGAATATCGATCATTTCCTGCAGCTTTGCAGGCTTGCTATCCTTGACCTCCATGGCATCATCGGGAGAGGGTCTAGATCTGAGCGCCAATTAGCGGATAAACCATGGGAGATGGTTGTTGGAGAAACCTACTTTTCAAGGATGATGATCTCGATGTCGACACGCGCGTCTTCCTCGCTATAATCCGTCACAGTGAGGAAGGAATTCTGTCCGATGCCGAAATGCGAAAACTTCTTCTCCAAGTTGTCATCTAATTCACCGTCACCCGCGTAGATCTCTTCACTGCCATGGGTAATGGAGATATCCTTGCCATAACCCAGCTCCATTTGGAGAACGCCTTCCACTAGATCATTCACAGTTGCCAGGTCGGGGTCAGCTTCCACTCGGACCTGAAGCAACGAACAGACGGGGCAATTGGGATTTGGGGGATTCAAAGACTCCGAATTGATGGCGCGAGCACCGGACCTCTCTAGGAACACCTTTCAACACGATTTGTTAGCTTGGGGTGGCAGTGAGAGGGAGTTAGAAGTCTTACTGTCTTGGCATGCGCCATATCCTGCTGCAGTACCTTGAATGACTGAAGCACACAGAGCCCAGCCGTCATCGCATTTGTGGTAGCAATGGCCGGGATAATGTTGCCCGCCATTTCTGCAATAATTTTCAGCTGTGGCCACACTGATGGGACTAACGTAGGATGAACTCACGCTTAATGTCGAATTTGGATTTGGTTTCAATGTGGAAGATAATGGCTCGGAGATTCGCTGTCGCCGCAACGAAGTCCAAGGTATCCACATCATCTTTGTCGAATGTCAAGATCGGGGGCTGGTCTCCGGTTGGCTCAGCCCGTAGTTCCTTGAGGCGATTGCTCAGCCGATTGAAGCTGCAACGCGAGTTAGTCTCCACCTGATGCTGGGGATCACATTGGATTCCTACCTATCCCGGAAAACAGCGAAGTTTTCCTCAATGGTCCATGCTTCTTGGTCTTTCGTAGCAATGGCAGGATCAATGGACGAGAGCGTCTGGTCGAGGGTATCAAAGTCAAGCAACTGGGGTTGCTGACGTGTCTTCCACATATCCTTCATGCTTCTCAGGCGTTCAATATCCTTACCAAAGACCTTTTGGAAAACCTTTCGGTATCCTTCGTCGGTTCCCAGTGCTTCTCGGAGCTCCCGCATGTCGAATGCCTCCTTGCGCAGTTCCGCAATCTCGGTTGCTAGATTAACATCAGTCTGGTCCTGCATGTGTAAGATCATATTGAACAAACCATTGTCCGTGTTTTCATCATTTTGGATGTCTGCAGCTTCGTCTTCACTATTGCCGAACAGCTCTCTTTTCACCAGTTAGTATCCACGAGAGGTGAGTAGGTACTTCATTCTTACGGTAGAAGCCAGCTCTTCGCCCAAACAATGCAATGAATCGGCTGTGAGGGTGTGCTGCGAATGGTACAAATGGCAAACGTCTTCGGTACTTCTTTCGGGGTACAGTCATAGCACTCCGTTTCACCCTAGTGTATTCTGCAGTCAGTAACGTCCACATCTGATAGACAATGCGCTGCAAATCTTGCGCACCTTCCGGATCACCTGAACCTGCCCATTGAAACCTGTAGTTCCACTCTCAATGAGGGGCACTCCAGCCGCGAGACACATACGGTTGACATGGCGCCGCGCGGCGAGATTGTCTAGCGCATTGAAAACGACCGTGAAGCTTTGAAACCATGCGTGACTAAATTGCTTATCCATGATATTGTCGTGGTAGGCCTCGAGCTTGGCGTCAGGTCGGAACTTTTGCGCAACTTCCTTGGCCACCTAGATGACAATTCCATAAGTCAGTAAGCCGTTCTCATTATCACTGGAGCCTTCACTTCATGCGAATGCGCGGCGCGGGATACCGGAGGGTTTGTAAGGGAGCGGCGCGATCACGCGGGGAAGTCGATAGGACGTACCAGAGCCTTGGATTTCTTGATATGCTCATGACGGAAGAGAAATTGTCGGTTTAGGTTGCTCAGATCGATTGTATCCAGATCGACGATGTGGATCTCGCCAAACCCGGTCAGGACGAGGTTTTTGAGCAGCTCACAGCCGATCCCGCCAGCGCCGACGAGCAAGACACGAGACTAGAGGGACGAAGGAAATGTCAGCATGTAATCGTGAGAGTGTGTAGTATTAACGAGTAATGCGCGCCAGGGCTGTCCATACCGTCTTGACCATGGTGGTCAGGTCCGCCCCCAAGGACCGCTTCACGGAGCTGTCCCGCATGATGGAGCAAAAGAGGGTCGTGATCAGAGTCTGGTGTCTAATTGATCAAAAGAACATGTCGCGTTGCGAAGGAGAAATCGAAAAGGCAGGTGGCAAGGTGAAAAAGGTGACAAAGTCACGGCAGCAAGTGAAGGAAGAAAAGGGAAAGGAAGCGCTGCTTAGAACCGGAAACGTTGTGAGGCTGATGACGGCACGAATCTGGGGAAACCACCACGATGCAATTCTTCTTCTTCTTCTTCTTCTTCTTCTTCTTCTTCTTCTAAGTTACTACTACTACTACTTCTTCTCCTTTCTACTCTCTGATTAACAATATCGCTAAGCGGAAATTAACTGTGATCGCGATTGTCATCGTATTCCAGGCCTACCCATCTCCGACATTTTGCATCTATCATTCCCGTTCCAAAAGGGCAACCATAACACTCTTATATACAACTCTGGTTCTCTAAACTGAAGCCTTGGATATTGTTATTGTTCTCACGCTTACAGTGTTCCTATCCATGTCTGCATAGTGAATCAGCATAGCGTTACTTTATACCTGCATGATCTACAATACTTAGCTCTAGCGCGCCAAATGAACCTGTACCACATCCAAGTTACTTTACTCCCAAACAAAGCAGTATACCCTAACTATCAAACCATTTACTATTCACGTATAGAACATATAAGGGCCAGTTAAGAGTGGCCATTACCCCTGCTTACATAATCTTGACTCTATCCAAAGGCCATCGGGTCGAATTTTCGGTGTGGCGAGAGAACACTTGGGAAGATCACTCGAGGGATTTCTTGATCAAATAGTCCCTACGTTCATTTCTATTTCCAGACTACATCCAAGGATTCAACCAAGTCTCCCGGGGTGGACAGGATATCTACCCTGATCGCGTGGTTGACTCACCGCAGAATCCCCTGAATTGATATAAAGGGGATACTTCGATCATTTGCATCTTTCCACCCACATATCAATTGTTTCAGACTCACAAGAAGTGACACATCATGCCTTCAAGAGATCCGATCCCAGCTCAAAAAAACGAGCAGGTGGAAGTGAACTCCGATGATGAAGCAGACCCCGAGCTGGTAGAGCTCCTCCGCCAGCATCTCGGACTAGGCGGCGGGCAAGCCAAGAATGCACCACCAGAGACTAGGGTGTTGGAGGGTGCGCAATATGTCTTTGACAATGCCATTGATGTGGCAGTGAGCCGCGAATTCACCAAGGAAGCCGCCGAAACGATATGGCGTTTGATGCAGAAGAAAGAGTACTCCACACAGACTTGGTCAGAGCATGAATTACACCCCCAAACTAAGGATGAGAGTACTGTTGAGTTCATATTTACGATGGACTTGTTGAATTTCAGTTTCTGGTCTGATGAGGAAGAGGAGCCTAAGCGTTTCTGCGTTGAGTATCGTGGCAAGGTCTGGACGGGATACTGGAGTCTCGTTGCTATTTTGCAGAGAGCTTTGGATGAAGGTTGGTTCACGGAGATCATTTAGTTGATAGGACAAGGTCTAACTGAAAGCTCGCAGATATCCCAATTACAACCCCTGACTTCTGGGTGGATGAAGGGAGATGTACCGAGGAACTGCTTCGACATGTTTTCCGGTCAGCAACAGATGAAGAGATTCCTATGTTTAAGGAACGTGTGCAGTGCCTGCGCGAAGCAGGTGAAGTTCTTTGTGATGTATGGCTTCAATTACGAGTTTCTTCAAGACGATATACTGATTATAGTATAGGAATTTGGAGGCAGCTTCGCAAACTGCGTCGACAGTGCCAACTTCTCAGCCGCAGGACTGGTAAACATCCTAACAGAAAACTTCTCTTGTTTCCGCGATGAGGCAATCTTCCACGGAAAGAGAGTACGTCTCTACAAGCGTGCGCAGATCTTAGTTGCCGATCTCTGGGCCTGCTTCAACGGCGAAGATTTTGGTGAATTCCATGATATCGATAAGATCACCATGTTCGCAGGTAAGCTGCTTCATCTATGCGATCTCCTTTCACAGGTGAACCTAACATATACGCCAGACTACCGCATCCCCCAGATGCTCCACCAACTAAACTGCATTCGCTACGCCCCCAAGCTAGACAGCCACATCCGTGACCGGAAACCCATCGAGCCAGGCTCAAACTGGGAGATTGAGCTCCGAGGAACGAGTATTTGGTGTGTGGAGTTGATCAAGCGGGAGATTGAAA